GCAAAAGAGTAGCATCTGCTTAAATTTTCCAAGAACAGCACCTTTTTTTTATGATAGCATTGTAGATTATTCCGGAGAACATTGTCCACTGTTTCCGATAACACGACAAAATACTCAGACCGGCCTGTCTGCGACGTCAGACCGCCATCGCGTTCTTGCGCCTTAAGATAGGCACAAGAGGTCCCCATCTCTTCCAACGTATGAGGGGCTTTAAATCACAGGAGAAGGCGAATCAGAAGTCGCATCAAAGATGCATGAGCTCGGGAGCATCATGCATAATATGAGCTCCTTAGGCACTAGATATCAGCATGAAGGTTACACAAACCAACAATTTGGAATTTATGACTCGCTATAATCGGAGGAAGATGTGAAGGCCCAGGAAAGTGGTCTTTGTCACTAGTTATTTGGAAAAGTGAGTGGTTGTCCTATATATAGACCTATCACAAAGTTTTATTCTACAGAGAATTAATTGGTATTTTGCACCAAGAACAATCGATTTGCGAAACAACTGCGAAGAAAAGAAGGTAACAGAGATTTTTGCAAGATAGGATTGATTAAAACATCAAGAGATGAATATCTCAAACCTTGGTCTTCAAAGACTAAGAGCTTGGATTATCCGGCCTTTTTTGTTGGTTTGGGATGCAGCAGCTTTTATCCTCAGCTTCAAGGTGCTTCCACTTGCCTGGCACGTCAGTACATTCACAAAACCTCCAACTATGTGTCGAACAAAGCATTGAATTTCGTCCAGTGTCGAATATTTTTCTCCTACCTTTTTTGCTACCGGTTCAATCATACCCCAGTTCCGGAAAGCTCTGGTGAGAGGATCACGATATTCCAGCCTACAGTTTGGACATCTGGCACACCTCTAGGAGAGATTGATTTCCTCGGGCACAAGTCTAACTCAACTTACTTCACCGACTTCGATGCCGCCCGGGCTTATCATATATCATCCTTGCTTCATACCGGGTTTCATAAGTGGTCTGAACGTCAGCTTTGGCCCGTCCTTGCTGGAGTCCAATGCATATTCCGAGCACCCATCGCCCCAGGGCAAAAATATGATCTTGTCACTCGAATTGTGGCCTGGGACGAGAAATCATTTTATCTCCTGTCACATTTTGTCAAAAAAGACTCATTTCACCGTTCCCGGTTTTCTGATAACCCGAGACCGCGTCAAGCGGAGGGCGTATCTGGCAATGAAAAGTTAGAAGCTCACGAGAGTGACAAGGACGTGAGCCGAAAATCTGTCCTGGCAATAGCACTGGCACGGATGGTCCTGAAGTCCCATCGGGAAACTGTCTGCCCAACTAGGCTTTTTCAGGACTGTGGGCTTTTGCCAACTCAATCAGTTCCTTCCGACGACATTGATAATGTATCATACCCCATTCCGTCGAGCGCCGAGAACAACAACGAGAGCCTTCTGGCTAACATCGAATCTCGAAGAGCCCGGGGACTGATGATGGCTCAAAAAATCAATGCTTTGAATGAAGGAGTTGAGATCTTTGATGTCAATGAGCGTGAAGTGTATTCAAAGTTTTAGACTGATGATTTTTATCACAAATGTTCTTCGAACAGGTACTGCATGATAACTTGTGCCTAGAGCCGTGTAAAAATTAAATCAAAAAAGGAAAGTCCTTGGAAATTCATTTCAACCTTTTCAATCACTGAGATAATGGAGTAACTAACTCCCTTCACGCTCCCTGTGGCCACCATCGCATTTTCAGGTCTCTTAAATTACTCGAAATTAGTGTTCCTGGAGCGTAACTCAGGATTCCGAACTTGAGAAGGGTTGTTCTCAACCCTTGCAATTTGCATGGTAGACAGCAGATTGAGGGCGGCGTTTGAATGTGCATAAACCTCACCATGAAAAAGCTTGGTGCAGTCTTTGCCAATGTTGGTTTCCAGCAACCTTGCTCCCCCGGGGTGATCGTTTATGAAATTTGAGACATCATGCACAATATCATTGATGACGATGAGAGAACGACCATTATCAACGTGCTTGATGTATTGTGCCATACTTATTTTTCCCAGTTCATTTGGTGGGGTCCCCCAGGATATCTTGCCTCGTCGATCTTCCAACTGACGTTCCAATTGCTGAAAACGACACTTCTCGATCTCGTTCTCCGGGAATCTTTTGAGATCAAACGCGAGGTTTATATGAGCACATAGCCAAATGAACCACTTTGTCGGGTCGTAATGAACCCATCGAATACCGTTACGGTAGTCCATTGGAAATTCATGATGAAAGTTGTGATAACCCTCCCCGTAGGTAATCAGAGCCACAAGGAAATTGTCACAGGGTGATTTTGCAGAGAACGGCTTCTCTCCAACCCAGTGGGCTAAAGAGTTGATACAGAAGGTGGACTGTTGAATGAAAAACAATCTCAGACAGCTGGCGTAGACAAGACCCCCGTAAAAGTCATCAAAAAAGAGGGTAGATATCGTGACAGGGAAAACGTATGCAGTCAAAAACAGCAAAATTGAATAATAACTATGCTGCCACGCCACGATAGTGTTTTTGGTGAGATCGTCGATATTGACAAGGCCAATCCCACCTGGTTTTCGTTTGAGAACCACCCACCCATAATGCGCATAGAAAAGCCCCTTATGCACGGAATAAGGATCCCGATCGCTATCAACATAGCGATGGTGAGCTCGGTGGTCACCACACCATTTTTTGATACTGTTTTGTCCGGCACTCGCCCCAAGAATGGCCAGGAGTGTTTGCAAGATAGGGTGTGCAGAATAGGCACGATGGGACCATAGGCGATGGTAACCTATACCAATCCATGTTAGTCAAGCTTACGGGAGACGATACGGGAGCACAATATGGACACACCCGCTGTGATGGCAATACTCGAACACGCGGCGAAAATGGTAGTGAAAACCGCCGTTTGCGTCTTCAATGGAACCCATAAGATTCCTGCGACCGATGCCGCCATTGGTATAATGCCAGTAAAAAGGAGGTTGACCCAATGGATTTTGTGAATGATTTGCCACCGAAGCTTCGGTTCTGCGGCAATATTAGGATGACGTCCAAAATTTTCAGTCATTTTCATGTGTTGAAGCCAAAGCGAGTAACTTATTGTAGCAGCTTAACGGATGAAGCATGCATGTGGGTTTCCTCGTAAGGAATGAATATGAATCAAGTGAAAACAAAAGAACAAGGATGTGAGATAAAAGAACGTGAGATGATGTTGAGCTATAGCTTTTTGAAATGAGTGAGGAAACTTGGCTCGACCGATATACTATATTCACCGCTTCAGATATGCGCTCTAGGTTTTGTATTGCATGCACTTGGGCAGCAAGTGCCAAGTGCATTAGGTGAAATCTGATGAAATCTTGGTCACAGGATACATGAGAACATGCATTTTGTGTAACATCCATGTACCTCGCATTGAAGAAATTTCAAAAAGCACGAGAAGCCTGGAAGAGAAGCCTAGGAGAGAAGTCGGTGAGAAACAAGAAAACAGAGGAAAAATCTCATGGGCCTAGCCATAGCAAGGAGGAGGGTGCTATACCCTTGCCATGGAGATCCCCTAATCAAGAGGACAAAACTCCTAGGAACTAACTCAAGTTGGACATTCGGATCTACCAGTACTATCGGCTTAGGGTTCATGCCGTGTAACTGTTGAAATGCAGATGTGGGAAGATATAGGATGAAGATCTTGAATATCACCCAGGGCACATGACGTGCTTCAATCATCTACCAGGTAAGAAAAATCATCGAGAAAGCATGCATCAAAATAATCGTAAAGTCTCTATGGATGTCAGTTTAATTTGGTCACCTTATCACGATCTATTAGGATCTGCGCAGCCATGGGTGAAGTTGAAATTGAGAATTCGATATTGGGAGATCCCTCTAGGGCTGGTTCGGTCCCACGAGCCAACATCTATACTCCCAAACCAGGCAACATACTTGTAGGAATGATCTTTTTGTGGATTTTGCAGTTGAAATACTATAAGAAGCAAATCAGGGTAGAAAGATATTCTAAGATCACAATTAAAGAGAGAGAGAGAGAGGAAAGATAGAGAAAGGTCGTCTCTCACTTCTAGCAGATAGCTGAGGAATCGGGGCTAGTGGCCAGGTCTGCACCGGGCTCCTACGAACGTCTCAAACACTTTATCTTTCTCCACAATCTACCTTATACACTGATATCCTTCGCGACTTCCCATAGTACATGGCTGAGGGCCAGCTCCTCAGCTGCACTGGATCTCGTCTGGCAGACTGCCTACCGGGTGAGGTCGATCCTCTACATCTTTTCTTGTAACACATCCGACCAACCGGCGAGCTGTATCCTGTTTTCTAACAACAAATCATCCGCAGACTGTATCTAGCTCTCAAAACTTGCTGGAGTGGGAAACGAAAGGCTCCTAGACCTCGGGAGTTTATAAGATCGCAGAATCCTACTTCGTAATGTCCTACGTATATCATGTCACTGCTTCCTAGTCCAAAATTCACGCCCCAAGGCAGGCTTTGGGCGGTAGAATTCCGATCAAACCCACTGATCAGTTGGGATGTAGGTCTCAACCGCGCGTTCCTTGCATTGAAACAGCTTTGGGGCTTCCTTTCAAGTGGCATAGCAGGGTACAGATGCCACGGCGCTCAGTGATTTTCACTCGAGTTGTAATGGGAATATATCTCAATTCGGGCGATTTCTGGTTCCCGCGCAGATGAATTTCCAATTAACTGCTCTTCAGCCTTTTCAAGGTTTTAGCATGGCTTTTGAGTTCCATTTCGCGTAAAATACCCACTGCTTTCCAGATGAAGGTAATAGTTTGCCCGTGGGTAACACGAATACTCCCCCAGGCTTGCGGATGTGGGGTCCCGCCCTCCATGGGGACATGAGGGGTTACTGCGGCAAAGTGTCGACAAAGGGTATAGTAGATTCTCATATCATGCACGTACTTATACCCAGGCTTACACTCAAGAGTCGGTGCGGGGTTTGACTGACAACATCGTGTTAGTTTATCCTGAATATTGCACAACTTCACATCTCAAAATGACAGTCGACTTTGATTTGCGATCGAACTATGTTCAGATCATCAACGGAAAAGCCTCGCCCACCGAGGTGACTCGGCACGGACTGAACCCCGCTACCTTGGAGGCTCTTCCTGAAGTTCCGGTTGCCACGCCGGAGGATCTTGACCATGCTGCTGATGCCGCGAAAGCTGCTTTCAAGCTTTGGTCTGCGACGCCATATGAGGATCGCAAAAAGGCTGTATTGGCATATGCGGATGCTATTGAACAATATTCCGATCAGTTCCGAGACCTCTTGATCACCGAGCAGGGAAAGCCGGTTGGTCTCACTTTCTGATCCTGAATATTCTAGCTCTAATATCTTTTCTATTAGTCGTTCCAGGCCACCCTCGAGACTGAAAACGCGATCAAGTGGATTCGAGGCATGGCTGGGCTTCCACTTCTAGAAGACGTCATTGAGGATGATGAAACTAGAACTGTGATAACTAGACACGTCCCTATCGGTGTCGTCGGAGCTATTGTTCCTTGGAACTTCCCCTTGATGCTCGCAACTGGCAAGATTGCTCCTGCTTTATTGACCGGAAACGTGATTATTGTGAAGCCTTCGTCGGTTCCTCCCTTCACCTCCAAGGCCGCTGGTTACATTCTAACAGCAGACAAACAGGCCCTTTACTCCCTACGGTGGCTTGAAGCTCGTCGAATTGGCCCAGAAGTGCTTCCCCCCGGGTGTCGTGCAGTCTTTGAGTGGTGATGATAATTTGGGGCCCTGGCTCACAAGCCACCCAGGTATTGACAAGATTAGCTTCACTGGCTCGACGGCCACTGGTAAGAGGGTACTGCAGAGTGCTAGTCGCACTTTGAAACGCGTGACTCTTGAACTGTATGTTAATCCAAAGATTCACTATGGAGATTGCGTCTGCTAACGCGATGATCAGCGGTGGCAACGACCCTGCGATTGTGTTCCCTGACGTGGACATTGAGAAGGTTGCGGAGAAGGTGAGAATATCCCGGTGCCCGACCTGGAAGAACCATGCAAGAGACTGACTATGACAGGTCGCCTTTTTTGCATTCCTGAACTCGGGTCAGATATGTCTCAATCTGAAGCGGATCTATGTCCACAGCTCCATTTTTGATGAGTTCAGAGACGCCTTGGTTCGCCAGGTAAAGACCTACACTATCGGCGATGGCTCCGAACCCGGAATTACCCACGGGCCTCTCCAAAACGATATGCAATACTCCCGCGTCAAAACTTTCTTCGATGACATCGAGAAGCAGGGCTGGAAGGTTGCTACGGGGGGTCAGATTATGCCTTCGGCCGGATACATGGTCACTCCGACTATTATTGACCGCCCCCCTGACAATTCACGTATAGTAGTTGAGGAACCTTTTGGTGAGTCGGAAAATGTCACAAGCTTGCTCATAGGATCGTATACTTATGCTCACAGGCCCGATTGTACCGCTTATGTCGTGGGATGAGGAATCCGAGGTGATCGAACGGGCTAACGACACTTCGATGGGACTAGGTGCTTCGATCTGGACGGCCGATCTGGACCGTGCAGCACGGGTTGCACGTCAAATCCAAGCTGGATCTGTGTGGACAAATGATCACTTCAGTCTGAGTCCCACTGCTCCATTTGGCGGTCATAAGGAAAGTGGTGTTGGGGCTGAGTGGGGACTGAATGGACTGAAAGGCTTTTGCAATATTCAGACCCTGTTTTTGAAGAAGAGTGTTTGAAGAACTGTAGTAGAAATGATATTAGACCTCGGGATACAGCAATATGGCATCTGGGTAGCCTCTTTGACAAGATAAAGTGTATATTTGTTGAAGAAATCACGGTTTCAAGCTTGTACGGGCGAACCGTTTTTCTGAACACCAAGCTCTCCCTAACCATCATTGCGGTCTGTGACTTGGAAATACATAATAAGATATAACTTTTTCCGTAGAGCGTTTGCTCGAGTAAATAGTTTCTTACTTGATCACTCCTCGAGACTCGGGATTTGTCAACTGACACTTGGACAAATATATAAGGACATCCGCCAGGTGGAGTACCTAGTAGCAGTCGACGGTCTTAACATGCCCAGGTGATCGCTCCAGGCCGCAGGGTTCGAATCAGGTTCTCTGCCTGTCTATAGGCTATAGCGCACTAACCCTGTCATCCGACTTCAAAGCGGCGCTGAACTATCTCTCACTTGGTCTGTACCCGTCTCTGCCAGGGGAAGGGGTCGACTACACATCACTATTCTGATCAATTACATGCAGTGTAGTCTGCGAAAGACTGGAATATATTTTGTCTTCACTAGACCAAAAGCACATACGACCACAGGGTGTGGAAAACAGGGCTTCCCGTCCGCTCAGCCGTACTTAAGCCACACGCCGGTGAGTTAGTAGTTGGGTGGGTGACCACCAGCGAATCCTCACTGTTGTACGTTTTGTGTCTTTTTGTTTGATTCAGTAGATTTTTTATTCGGACAAGACGAAACCGGGGATAAAGTGAGCCGGGTACCTACCTAGGTAGGTATGAGAAATGTAGACTGTTCTTTAGGATATGCTGGAATATACAGCACACTCTTGGTTGACTTCACGCCCATATCGATCCTTTTCTCTACCCAGTGCTAGGAAATCTTCGAAAAGGAACGCTGTTTGAAAATATAAATGTTTGGTTTTTGTTGTTGGTCTTCTTTCGTGTTGATCAAATGTCGAAGATAAACACGACGCAATAGGCGCTTTGGGGTCGCCAAGTCTCCCACTCCGCTACTTTTCCAATTATCTACGGAATCTCTCCTTTGCCATGCTCTCTTCCCCTCACCAAACACACCATGGCGTCTTTAGTCTCACTTCCGATAGACTGCATCATCCGCGTTTTCCAAAGCTGCGACAGATTATCTCAGGCGATCGCTCTCTCTTCCACGTGCAAGCACCTGCACTCCGTCTACTCCGCGAGTACTTCCAGCGTGATTCGATATGTGGCACCACGTGAGGTTTTGGCATTCAGCGAGGCCTTGATGACAGTAGGAAAAACTCCATCAAGATCTTGAGTCAATTGTTTAACACATGATCATAGACCAGAGCAACAAGAATCGTGGTGGAGCATTTCAGCAAAGGACAACTCCCACCGCAGCCATTCCCACTTGATTCATTGAATAGCCCCGCAATTACCTTGGAGGATATCCAACAGGTCTTTGATTGGGACTATCTTATGAGATGTATCGAAGATATCTATTTGAACAACGTGGAGTGGGCTCAACAGATGTATGCCGAGCTAGGTATACCTGAACCCGAACAGCTTTCCCCGGCCTGGCTCACTTGGAAAGAGAATTTTCGTCGATCAATGTATCATTCCTTTCTGATGGGCGCGGTCCTATGTGGTGTCTATCAGAAGCCTCTTTCAGATTCTCCCGACCATCTTTTCCAGGACAGAGAAACACGACTCAAACAGCCACATTGTGAACCATTGCTGAAGGAAGAAGAGGTGGCGCACTTATTGAAGTACCCGATATTCAACTTTGAAGATTATGCTCGCCATGAATCTATCTACGAGGATCTAACAGAGTTCTTCAAGGGGCAAACAGAACATCGTCCATCAGCCCTTGATAACCCAGACTTAATAAACGCGTACCCAGAAGATGCCGTCTCTCAACTAGACAGGTCCCATGCCGAGACCTTCTACGTGGAGATGATCCAATGCCTTCTGTCAAGTTTGACATTGTTGGATCACACCGGACAGTCACAAATCTTCGAAGAACAGGCCGTGACTAATGAAGAGCCCTCGAAAAGAATCACGGTTATCTGTCTGGGGTCATTCTACCCCGAAACCGTCGCCTTGCCAGACAACCCGAAGGATTCACACAAAGCTCTCCTTTCGAAAAAGGTCATATCCGAATCCAAGGGTTCCGTGTGGCGCTCATGCTTCTCCCTCATGAGTCGCATTCTCGAGATCATGCATGCGTTCTCCGGCCAGCCAAATCATTACAAAGAGCGATACCCCACACCCCCTCCCCCTTTGCAGGTATTCCAGTACATCCTACGGAAGCACCTTGGACTTCGATTCTCCGAGGATGCATTTGAGCCAGAGGATCTTGACGCCCCGCATCATCTCTTTGTGCATCATCTAGACATGGGACATCTTCTTTTGGACGGGTGGCCTGAAGAAGTCCCGCCATTATTCGATCTGGACGACGGTACTGAATACGAAGCATACTACGCTTGAAACAAAGGTGGGTGACGGATCTGCGAACAAAGTGTCAGCCCCCTAAAAAAGAAAACTATCTAGTTATCGAGGTGACATCGGACCTTGCATTGCCAAGAAGCCAAGGCCTGCCGGGGGCGGCGGGGGGAGAGGCGAGGGCAAGGGAAGGGGGCGAACTCTTGACTACACTCCAACATCAAGAAATTTCCTTTATAGTAGATTTCCCCGACGAACCTAGCACATACGACCACAGGGTGTGGAGAACAGGGCTTCCCGTCCGCTCAGCCGTACTTAAGCCACACGCCGGTGAGTTAGTAGTTGGGTGGGTGACCACCAGCGAATCCTCACTGTTGTATGTTTTTGTTTCCTTTTTTTGCTTCTCGATTCCGTTTTCGTTACTCCGTACTCTGTAATGCGAAGAGGCATAGGTACATAGGTAGTCACCAGCCCTGGACGGGCCAAATAATTACTCATCCCAATTTTAGGGCTGGCAGAATGAAATATATGTTTGATATGTACAATACCTAGGTAACGGCTTGTTCTAGTCAGTCCTCAAGCTACCAAGGTGCCCACCTACTGAAGGCAAGTCCGCGGCTGGGCGGGTTCTAGGTGCCAAGAAAGGACCCCCGAAGACATTAGTAGTCTACTGTAACTCGGCTGCCCAATTCTTAAGGTAGCTCAGTCTAACGATACTTGGAAAGCCTAGACGTTGACGGGGGTGGATTAGACTTCTACACCAGCTTAGAAAGCCCAGACCCAACCCGGCAATGGGCTGGGTTTTGGGCCGGCCCTCGGGCCCAGTAGCACCATAGTCAAAATTGGCCAAATCAGGTCAAATTCGGGGTTTTCACATGAGGCAACACGAGACAGCATCCATCCTGTTCACATGAACCCACGTTCTAGATATTGTGACCACCCCAGCCCAACATAACCAACGTATGTGTCTGGTCTTATCACAACAACTGTTTCATGCCCATCATCGACCCAGTCACCTTGGAATTCATGAACCAGAGTTGTCTTCCTCTCATCATTGTCGTGAATACACCAAAACTCTGCTTTCTCCTGCATCTCGATCATTTGCCGCTGACAGTCAAACGAGGGTCCTCTTCCGAGGAACAAAATTTTGAATCGCCCATACTCGAACAATTCGTACAATCGAACCTTCTTGAAATCCTGGGCAGAGTGAAATTCGGGGAAATCGGCATACGATGAAGTGGGAGGAAGAGCCTTCACCCACAGGTCCGGACACCGACTTCCCGCCACAAAATCAGCATGAGAAGAAGCCTCAACCAAGACGTTAGATGGTGGATATGAGACCCCCATGCCTGAACAGAAACTCGTCAGTCATATATCTTTCCCAATCAAGCAGGGCCAGTTACCTGTGATATAGTTTGCGCTCTTCTCGATGAGATCGACGTATTCTAGCGCCGTCTTCACAGTCGAACGCACCAGCTTTGCAGCAACATCGATGACTTTTTCAGCTGTTATACGTCGCTCCTCATCATAGCTCCTTAAAAGAGCAGCTCCCCCAAGCCCCTTTACTGCAAAGGCAATGCGCCAGATCAGATTGAATGCATCTGCAAGGCCCGTGTTAAGACCTTGGCCGCCATTTACAGCGTGAACATGTGCTGCATCGCCTGCGAGGAAAATTCTTCCTTCTCCCTCATTCGAAATGAAGGTGCTGGCAACCCGCTCTTTGACTGAAACTCCCATAATTGTTAGCTTCTCACGACGAGATCATGATTTGCGTTTGAGCACTCGCCTTCATAAGAGCTGAACCATTCGGTCTTCATGAATTCAACTTTGTGTGGAGCCATGTGTTCTTGAATAGAAGACTCGGCTATTTCTTGAGTGATCTCTCCTTCTAACAGAATATAAAAGCGGCTCATTCCTCGCTCTCTATTATTCCAGTCAGAAACCAACGAGCGAGCTTGAATCACAGCAGAGGGAAGATAATAGCTGACCTTGGAATCCACGAAACACGCGACTGGCCGTCTTTTTGAAAGGTGATGATCTCCGGGCAGCATGGGAAATCCGTTTCGATGAAGGTGTCCAAAACTGCCCAGGTCATTCCTGGTTTTGTGCCCTTGAACGGGATGTTCAATGCAGTGCGGACAAAGGAACGCGCACCATCAGCCGCAATCGCATACTTGCCGACCACTGTATTTCCAAGATCAGTCGTCACCACGACGCCAGAGTCAAACTCAGCGATAGATGTGGCGCGACTTTTATAAACGACCGGCACATCAAGCTGGAAAAGAAGAGCTTCCTCGACCTTGGGCTGACCGATCATCAAGAAATGGGGTCTCTGGCAATTTGTCAAAGAAGTCCACCAATGTTTTTGCTGGGAAGTAAATGCCCCATTCTCAAATGTAGAACTTGCTGCAATAGAAGGTTTGATCAGTAAGCACTAGACGAACATAGCAGTACTAATTGTCTCATACTATTACAAGTCAAGCCGAAGGGCTCTAGTAGCGGGAGCGTTTTGGATACCTCAAGGTACTGCTGGGTGCGCGCATTTAGCGCATCAGCTCTTCCGAGATCAAGAAACGTATCCTTCGCGTCTGAAGAGCCGTTAGAATCCTGAAGTCAAGCTACCACTGTCACAGAAGGCGCGCGTCTCGTACCTAAAATGTATACCGAGAGGCTCAAGGATCTGGCAAGAACAGCAGATAGTAAACCAGTTGGTCCACCACCTACGATGACGAGATCAACCTGATATGCCTTTGTCGCAGATTCAGGCATTATAGTGCGTTTGTGTGCCTTGGGCTTGCGTGGAAAGTCGGGAATACTTCACCAATTGTTGGGAAATGGGAAAAAGATAACAAGTAGAATCAAATTGACCCTGCTAGGAATCAAGCCATGGTGCCTTTTCTTCAGTGCATTTCTAATCGCAGCGTGGACCAAAATAGGTTAGGCTCTAAACAATGCCTAGGGTTGCATTGTGAGATTTCGTCCCATTTTGGAAGTGGTAGGCCTGATACCTACCGAATACTACCGGCTTCTAAGGATCTAACATCTTCAAGATACATGTGTTTCATGTAAATCACCAGGCGGAATCCTCAGTGTCTGATTGTCGTACGATTGAAATGGGAGGCAAGATCGGCAATTTTGCCGATAGAAGGTGCTTAGCGTGCTCACAGCCCTCCGCAGATTAATGCACACGCGGATGTCTCTCGCATTGAAAGAGGCTACGTACGGAATGTCTCCGGAAAAGTGGAGGGTGAATCCTGGAGGGATATACTAGTAAAGTAATTTGGTGAGTGATGGCACCCAGTTAAATCAGTTTCAATGCGCTTATTAACCTGAATTAGATTCAAATCCTCTTCAAGAATTATTTCATTTTGCTTTTTTGTTGGGATAAGTACTTAAGTATCGCCGTTGATAGATATACTTTCCAGGGTTAGCACTAGTACATAGATTGATCAATCTGTCCAAGAAACATCGAAGTCAATTGGCAGAGTTCCCGGGGTTCCGAGTGATTTCCGCAGGGCAGCCCCACTTGGTTTTGCATAGATGAAGAGCTAGGACTTCAGGGTCTCAAGATCGTCGGGTCAGACCTCGGTATGATTCCAAGTGCGCTGGTGTTATAGATATTTCAAGCGGTACCGATAACTATACTGTCACATCCTTGGATACTTCCGAGCAGAAAATGGGTGTATACCTAGGTAACTCACATACTCAAGACTGTAAGCCAAATTTCAATGTATCGTACTGGGAGAAGGTCCGTAATGTGTAGTGTGGATAGAATCTGAAGTGAACATGCAATATCGTCAACCGTGGAAATTGATTGATAATCCCACGGGTTCCGCGACGGGAGGCCGGAATAGCGCCGCATGTGGCAACTAGTCGCAAAGTTTAAACCTAAACCCAATGCGCGACTACATCCGCAAGCTAGTATAGTGCCCCCAACAGGCTGACTGGAATTAACCAAAATGACTAGATCTCCCTCTGCTCGGCATACACGAGGGTAATCCCAGTGGCCTATATGCCGAGATACCATTTTATGACGCTGGATATGATTTCTCGGCGGATAAATCATTCTATGAAATAAAACATCCTTGCTCGAATAGGCCTAGCCTGCTTCTTCTAAACACATGGTATAGACTTGGCACCTTGGCAAGCATCGCACCAAACGACGACTGAAGGAAGTCACGGACTAGGCTTGATTGGAAGTGATGTAACATCGCTTAGATGAAAAGGGAGCGCTAGATTAAGCCATGCATTGTGGCACTTCTTCACCCGGGCAATGAACCTCAATGGCCTGATGGAACGTCTGGAAAATTGGACTCTTAGCTCTTGAATTTCATTAATTGTTCGGGGCTTGGAGTACAAATTGAAAGACAATTTTGAACTAATCTTCACACAGACAGCTTTCGGACCATCTCGAATTTGTTTTGAATCAGACATCTTCGCACAATGACCGTTGCCATGTTGCGGTCTCTGACTGCAACACAGTCGCCCGCATTGACGGCAGAGGCAGTGAATCCTCTCTTTGATTCAGTCACTCTCCAAAAAGCATGGGAGATCTTGGATATCATTCACCGGTATCGCATGCCAATTTCCCCCAACACGGTTGATCGCAGTGATGAAGGCACACTCAAGTTTCTTTCGATTATCTACACTCAAGTGCGATCCTCAAGTCGGATCCAAATGGTCTTGCCAGCTTTCCCTTTCAAGTCACCTAACCGTGTGAGCAAAACGCTAGGAGCACTGCCCGACAAAGGAGAAGAGCTTGGAATGGCCCATCTGAATGGGCTATGTGCTGCAATCGCAGACAAATATGAGCCGGGGGCCGAGTTGACCATCGCGTCAGATGGCCTTGTGTATAATGGTACGTGAGCGAGCTCACTTTGCTTTCATTTTGCTTTGGGGGCATGCTCTGACGCTGCCACCTTCTTTTCCAGATCTTTTAGGTGTTTCTGATGCCGAGGTATACTTCTACGGAGAACATTTGCGGCAAATGGTCAAAGACAATGGCTACAAGCATATTACATTCATCCGTCTCCGAGATCTCGTTCAATGGCAAGTCGAGACTCCACTCGATGTCGCTACCTACGAGAAGCACGCTGGCGAGTTTCGTCAAAGGTTGATTGATAGATTCACGCCATTAGACTACGACTGTCGTGAAAGTATCCTTGCAGACGAGGACGTCTGCTCTACATATCGCGGCTATATCAAATTCCTAGCCAAAGACTTGGAGCATACTGCGGAGTCGAATTCGTCGAAACGGTCCCACAAGCAGAAGCTGGAGGAGATAGCAAAGAAGATGATCGCCCGTGGAAAGGTGAATATCTGAGGTACATTATCACCGAGCTTCTGACTGACATTCTTATTCCCATCCAGGCATTCGCAGAAGCAATCAAAACAAATTATCCAGACCACGTCAGGCTCTCAATTCATCCTTCAAGTGGATCCACGAAGATTTCGATTCAGGTCTTACCTCTTGCGAAATTCGCAACTACTCCTTGGCATTCAACCCCATGCTTCAGGCTTGATGGCGGGGTCGAATATGGCATGAGGGAGATCTTCGATCAAAACCCCGATGTTGAGTTGGTTCACAAAAATGGGCAAGCTTGGTACTATCGATACAAGTCACCACTCTACTCATGGCCAGAGGAAGTAGAGATGGAACCCCTGTACCCCTGTGGCTTGATGATCCGCTCTCTGACGAACCTCTCTGTTCACGATGTTGACATGCAAATGATTCGGGACCTTGCTCAAGAGGTTTCCCCTGTGATCCTCCGTGGCTTCAAGGATACTCGGGATCGCGAGATATTTGTCAAAAAAGCCGAACAGATGGGAGAACCTCTTCCATGGAAGTTTGGGTTGGTTTTAGAGGTGAAGGATCATGGAAGTGATAGTAAGGGACTCAACAATGTCCTCTCGTCGGAATGGATGCCATTCCACTACGACGGGTTATTCAAGATCGAGAAGTCACTTGATGCAGATGGAAAGGAGGTAGTTCAATCTAAGCCTCCCAAGTAGGCAACCCCTTTCAAATATTTCTAAAGCAACGGCGAACTGACCGCTATCTTCTAGGTTCCAATTCTTCACCAGCTTGACACCCTCTCCCAAAGACTCGGGATTTACTCTGTTCTCCACATCGCGTCTCATATGGCACTACCTGCCCAGTGGATACTCGGTGGATAGTCTCCGCAAACTTTCCTGGACGGTGGAGACCGACTCGTTTGATAATGCGAAAGTGTCTGGTTTACCTCTGATTGAGGATCATTTCGCTCACCACCGGCCTTGTCTCCGCTACCATGAACCTTGGCCCCAGGAAAAGACTGTCTTCACTCCGACAAAGATCACCGTCCAAGGTACACCGGATTCTGCCGAAGTGTGTCGCACTCTGGATAGTCTCCTGCATGATCGACGGGTGGCTCTGTGGCATTGCTGGGAAGAGGGAGACTGGCTGATCAGCGACAATGTGACGACAATGCATACCCGGAGCTCCTTCATGGGGAACTCGGATCGCTGCCTGTGGCGAATCCACGTTGATTGAACTTGGTTTGCTCACAAATTGTTCCAACACTATCAGTATGAGCTGTACAACGAGACGAATAAACTGTATATGATGTACACTGTGATAAAATGCTCATACAACCTTCATTCCAAAAAGCTTTGAGGCCAGTCAGTTAAGACATGTCACATACTCCGACCATCCATTGGTACCCCGCATAAATCGATCTGCAAGTGCTTAATTCTTATGCCGAATCGGTACCCCGTAGTTCCCCATCTCCATATACCGAGACAATCCCGAGTTTGCTGCGTTTCTCTGAGTATGTTCGGCTTAAGCAGAGTCTCTCCGGTGCTCCGATATGAGTGCCCTTCCTCTGGCACGATGCCACATCATTTTCTGTTGAGCCTGTTCCAAAAATCTGGCCCGGAGAATTTGATACATCGATTGTGGTACGGGCATATGTAATGATATTCATTCATTATAGATCCATTTTCACTGATCCTCTCTCCAGATCCGCACGATAACCAACTTTTCCCACCCGGCCTGCATGCCACTTGATCCCACCGATTCAGCTTGCCACCCGCCCCAGGCACGAATACGATCTTTCACTTCATCAGGTTTGTTCTGCTTGCACAGCAGAACATACGCCACACCGCGCGCCGAAAGCACACCGGGAATAGCATCCAGCAACCGATCCGTAGTCTCCATGCCATCCGCACCACCCGCATAAGTCAACGACAAAAAGTAAGAGTCATTATCAAACTTATCAGAGCGAGACATCGCCTCCGCAGTAGCGGGATCATTGTCTACCGCGGAAGGCAGGCGGGGAAGATCCTCAGTTGGGACATAAGGCGGGTTGAAAAGAAGGACATCCACACTTCCAGGTCGGAGAGGCGCACATAGATCAGCTGTCAGTGATGAGGTGTGGATCGATTGAGGAGATGGCTGCTGCTCTGCTTTAATGGCTGTTGTTGCAGTTTGCCGTGTTGCGATGCAAGCATTTCGGTTCACGTCTGTGCCTAGCGTGAGAACGTCGCGCCGGCCGAAGATTTGCTGGGACTGTGCGGCTGTGAAGGCGAGGACCACGCCAGAGCCGGTTCCTACTTCCACAACTAGTGGCGATGTACTCTGTTGTGGGAATCGTTCGGCGAGCCATTTGGACTCTGAATCCGAAGCCAGTGTATCTAGGAAGAGATATGAGTCTTCGGATGGCTCGTAAATGGTGTCGAATGACACATGTGAGGTGTCTGGGGTGGGAAGCATGTTGTATAATTGGTCGTCAGTCGTGGGGTGTGAATATTCAATCGTTCAATGTCCAGTGGGGTATCGATATGCCCAGGTCGCTGCGGTAGAACCTTCCCACGTTCAGAGATCTTCAGGCTGATGCTATAAGAGAGAATGCCACTTTCAAATGCGAATGTCAAATATCAAAATGATCGCCAAATCGCAAAATGATCCCGAGTCGTCCCGACGCGCTGATTCGTGCGTTCCGCTCGCCGCCTTCCCGAGGCTGTTCCCCCGGGGAAATTATGTCATTTTCTTGACTCTGCGTCTCTTCACTTGACACCTCACCATGCGGGTTGCTCAACGTTTGCTCATGGCCACGCCGGCCTCCATCGGCTCCAAGTCAAGTCTCAGTGAGGCCCTCGCCCTCCTCCCGCCTCTGCAGCTGTACCGGCGCATTCTACGCGTCCACCGCAAACTCGAACCGGAAATGCGCGTATTGGGCGACTCGTACGTCAAGAACGAATTCCGCGCTCACCGGAGCGTGGAGAACCCGTTGCATATTGTATGTTTGAAATCCTGGGGTGGTTGGGGTGGGGGAGCAGAATCGCAAGCCGGGCGTGACACATCGGAAGCGGACGGAGGATAAGGGAAGCTCTGGCTGACGTTGAGAATCATAGATCGGGTTCCTGACCGAGTGGCAACTCTATGCGCAGAAGTTGGAGGGCTCGCAGTGGAAGGGAGAGAAGCTGGATAAGTCGAAGTTGGATAAAATGAGTGGTATGACATGCTATCTTCGCGCAACATTGGATCAGAATGCTAACATCTCGTTTTTGCTCAGATCAACAACTTGGACAACTGCTTGAGCTCATGCAGGCTCTCAAGAATGACGGAGAGAACCAATGAGCGTTTATCGATTACATTAGACCGACAGCATTGAGTCTGGGGACGAGAATCTCTCACAGGGTCTTGCTTGTTGTCGGGCTACTGCATTCGGTCAGACCGTCGATGGCAGGGCTGTATAAATTCAAGGTGGGATCTCAGAGATGCAGGCATCTCTCATCCTTCCAGTCTGCATGTACCTACGGAGTACTAGGTGTAAGATTAGAGTAGACGAGTAGCAGTTAGTGGCGAAGAATTGAGCGTGCACTATTGTTTACTTGTTGGTATATTCATCTGTCGTCCATGCATCTAGCAAAGAACTATACGCAACTCGGAGCTAAACATCATCGGGCCTCGGGGCCGTTTGAAGAACAGTCCAATTGAGGCTCAATCCCCACGTTGAGAGATCACCAAGCCTCCGGGCTATAGCAGAGAGAACTAGTAGCCAGATATCAAGAGTAATACGAGCAACATATGAAGTTCAAACAAAGTGCTCACCCCGGACAGGTGGAGAACGCCCTATGAACGACAAGCTGACTCATATAGCATCGGCTGCCGATGCCGACGAGAGCTCCGATATCTTGAGCTTTTTTCTTAAAAGACAGTATTTCTACTTCCAAGGCTTCCAATTCCCATCTCGACCCACTCAATCACCAAAAACCACCCCCAACCTGCCCCAATGCCCGCTCTACTAGAAGACCCCTCCACCCGCAACCCCCCACCACAAGCGCACATGGATGCCGCGCCGAGCCTATCAGCCCGGCGAACAACGCTTCCCAAATCTGAAAATGCTCCAATGACCCTGCATCCCATTACTGGGGGGCCGCAAGCTGTCCCCAAGGACTTGATCAAGTTCCTGCATGAGGAATTCAGTGCCGAGATTGTCCGCGGCAACACATATCCCATGGAGCAGCCAATGGCACTTGATCAATTTGCTGATTACTGGTTCGGGACGTTTGCTGTTCTGGCTATTCTCGATGACGAGGGTGAAGGTTTGCGAGAGGGTAGAGACTGGGAGAATGTTTGTCTGGGCACTTTCTATATCAAGCCCAATTATCCCGGTATGTTGAACTGTCGATTGAGATTCGGGGATCGTCTTTGCGCGGATTGACTTGGTTGAATCGAATATTTGGGGTGCAATTTACTAATAGCTGGTAGGCCGTTGCTCTCACATCTGCAATGCAGGCTTCATGACTACTACTGCGGCTCGGGGTCGGGGTGTCGGACAAGCCATGGGTGAAGCATACCTGGAATTTGCGCCGAGACTGGTAAGAATTGATTCTCGATAGAATTGTATCACATCGCTTACGTTTTACCTACAGGGATACACATACTCAGTGTTCAATCTGGTGTTTGCGAACAACCCAGCCTCCATCCGTATTTGGGAAAAGCTCGGCTTCAACGTTATTGGGCGGGTCCCCAAGGCAGCGCGTTTGGCCAACAGTGAAGAACTGGTAGATGCGTTGATTTTCGGCCGGGAGCTCGGAAATTAATGAACTATCTTGTGTGGACTGCGTCTGGTTCCCAGGTTTCATGTCGTGCTTGAACGGGCGTTTCAGGTATAGAATAGATTGAAGCCTTATGAATGACGAGCTTGTGAATATTCTTAAGGTGAAACATGTGCATACTTGCTGAGGATGGTTGGAAATGGAAAATTCAACGCCGTTACCAAAACCCGGACCAAGATCGTATAAAACTACAGAGCAGAATATTCACATTGTGGAAGAGGTGGAAGAGAATCAAATAGGCAAACCGGTAATGATGAATGAACCCAACGCTTAGACCGTACAATGCAAATAATATGGATATCACGCAAAACTCGACAGTCAGGATAATGTGGCTCCTCGCGCTATATTGAATGCTTGCGGAGAATGGTGCTGAATCATAAGAGTGCCCGATGCACATGCAGTGCATATAAATAGAAATGATGTATTTAAACAAGGGAGTCGCGGCGTATGCAATCGGGGAGTACGCGCGAATGGGCGACGAGCGTGGGCAATCATGGCAAACGACGGCAGATGGCCGGCGTTGCATAATCAGCTAGCTTGTGACTTAACGCCACCGTGGACGATTGTCCACGACCTTGGGAACAGAAGGACCATCTTGTCTTTTTGGCAGTGGAAGCAGACTGATCCTTCTGTTGGTAGAGTGGCCCAGTGCTGTCCCCGGCCGTGAAGATTTGCTCGGACTCTCCGAGACATCTGTAGTGCCCGAGACGCTGCGGGCGAAGGATAGAGGAGGCGCACCAGCAAAGCTTTGTCGACTTCGAGGGGTGTTGGGGATCCCTGACTGCCGACGAAGTCGACTGTAAGGAGGTGGGTCGAGGATCGAGGAGCGGACGGGGGTGGGGGAGGCTGCGTTCCGGTGAGGGCTTCGAGAGCGAAGACGACTGGAAACTCGACTGTTTGTCCGGAGGCCATTCGGGTTTGGAGATGCAGACAGGTCTCGTCGATAGGAGTGGTGGAATGGAGTGGCTGATGCAGGTCGAGGTGTACGGGCTATCGGGGCGGACGACAGTCGTTTCTGATCTGTCCAGTTTCTGTTCATGTCGTTCAAATTTGCGCTCCCGTTCCAGCGAGGGCGATTGGGAATTGCAGATACTGGTGCTGGTGCCGGTGTGCGAGAACGGGCGGCTGGAGTTGGTGTGTAGAGGTTGGAGTGTTTGTATGAGGGAGTGGGAGATATGAAACCAGACGGTTGGGGAATCGAGGATTTCCTGCCTGTATGGCCGCCGACGGGCTGTGGTAGGCTAGAGTACCGGCGATTCGGTTGGAGGGCGGAACGAGCTGCTGCCATGCTGACAGAACTTCCACGGCGGCTCGAACCACCCATCGGAGTCAAAGCGCCTTTGTATCCGTTTCCAGTCATAATGACTGAAGAGGCAGGGGAGCTTCCCGGGGTTTCGGCAGCACTGCCTGGTCCCGGGCTATCCATGGTGAGAATGCTGGAGATTGAATCCCGGAGCTGATGGCCCTTGAGAACCTGCACGTCTTCAAGAGATGCGTCCATGACTCTGGTGCTAGCTTTCAGGGCATCCGTCCGGGTCGTCATGTCCGACAAAAGTCGTAGGATTTCTCCATTGACGGTCAAGCGGTCGTGGACACCCTTTTGAATGATCGAGACCACACGCTCTATGGCAGGAATGTAATGCATCTTTTTGGCCTCGTAGTTCTCAATGCGCTTGGTGATTGTCGAAGGGTTATGTACCGGCATGCCACTTTCCAATCCTTCCTGCAGTTTTCCGATACTTCGCTCAACAGACTCGAACATCTTGTGGGCCTGAGCTCCAGCGTTGCGGAAGACCAGAATCCACTTGTCTTCGCCAAGCTCCTTGCGGAGTGCCTCGGCATCAGTCTCAAGGACTTTGTAGCTTTTCTCCAACCGTTCGCGACGGTCTTCGATCTCTTCACAAGCACTTGGGAAGATATCCTCAGCGCGCGACTGGAACATGGAGAGTCGCATGGGTAGGAAGTCCAATGATGCGCGCAACGGTTGCATTCGGGCAAAGATGGCCATCAGGTTAGAGTGACTCGTATCGTCCTGCGGGGTCTTGATGATAGGAGCACCGGACGCAGTGGCCAGCATGGGGCCAATACTCAAGCGGCCATGTGAGGCCGAGCGACCCTTGGAAGGGGTCTCTTCCACGATAGTCTCCAGTTCATTGATATCGAGACCACCAGTGGTCTCGCCTGTATCCATCAATGCTTGGTGCCGTTGCTCTTCCATTTCGAAGATCAGCCCGCTCAGATTGTCAACTTCCATTCCAACATCACCCAGGACATTGGACCAGAGCTCTTCCCATTCCATTGCAAGCTCAACCTGCTCTTTGACGCCCTTCAGCTTGTTCTTTATCTGAGTCCAGTTTTGTAAAATGCTCTCCATCTGGCTGACGATGGTCTTCAGGCTCTCTTTGTCGACGCTCGCAATGTCGTCTCGTGATTGAACATTTTCGATAGATCTCACATAGACCTCGACCAAAGACTGAAAGCGCGTAATTGCCTTATCAACTTCGTCTAGCCCCTCTCGGCCACCGGCCGCAGCCCATTCCACATCATCCTCAGAGTCCAAGCCACTCAAGACGTCTGAGGCCTTCTTAATCCAGATCTGGATCTGCTCTGCGGCACCGTTGAGAGCTCGGACTGCCGAGACCGATGTCTGAATGTTCGTAATGCTTGTCTCAAGTGAATCTGGCTGCGGGAGGGGTATTGAGGTCAACTGGGAGAGCTGATTACTGAAAGATGCGCGGGAGAATGAGTATATCGAGTCGGCCCGCTGGAGACCCATGGGATTGAAGTAAGATTGCGAGTTCATGGAAGATGAGCGCGAGTGCCCTGGATATACGGGGGGAGAGTCTTTGGGCGGCGGGGGAGGAGCGCGCTGCTCTTCCGTAGACTGTTCCTCCTTCAAGGCAGTATCAGCGACATACTTCTCGAAGTCTGTCCGGTTATCGGGCACTTCTTTTCGAGGTATGGTGTGTTGCAAGGGATCCACCCGCGGCTGCGCGAGGACCGGCTCTGCGACAGACATTGGTGTGGGTGTGCTTGGAGCACTGCTGGGTTCGTGGGTGTCGACCGTCACTGCTTCCGTGGGCGTTGGGGTGCGCAACTCCGGGGCTTCGACGGACACTGACTCAGTGGTGACGATTGGGGTTTCCGGCTCTGGGGTTGCGACGGACACTGGCGCGGGTGTCGGTGTCGGTGTGCGCAGTTCGGGCCCTTCCTCGGCCACCTCCACTGACTCTGGGTCCAATCCTTGCGCGTTGGAGATCTCCTGGAGAATATCTTGATGGGGTAGCTCGAGCTGGTTTGACGCGCTGCGTTTGAAGTTCTGAGTCTGTCCTGGCGATATGTCTTTACCATTCCACGCCTGGCCCCTCCTCTCTACCTTTATTGACAGATCCTGGTGAAGACTGTCGAGCTCCTTCAGGTGCTCTTCGGGGATTCGACCGACAGCATTAGCGGTTCGACCAGGCGATACGACCTTGGTGCTTCCATCCAAGAGCTTGACCCGGGCCGCGAGAGCGGGTGACAGCCGGCGGAGAACAGATGCCCGACCGGCGCTGGCGGGTTCGGGAGTCAGAGCTTCCTCGTCGTTATTGCTGCTCCCGAGAGACCACAAGGACGATTTGGTGTTCAGGCGGTGGGTGCCGGGGTCATTTGGAGATACGGACAGCGTGGGGGTGAGCGACGGGGGTGATGTGGACGTTACGGACGCGCTGGAGGGTTGCGGCACGTTTTCGGTCGCAAGAGTTGGGCCGTCAGTTGTGGCATGCATGGGGACAGGCCCTGTATCGAGCGGGCAAAAGGACCAAAGGATGCGGTTGTTGCAGGGATAGACAAGGAATGTGTCGTTTGATTCGGCGTTCGGCAAAGTCAAGGGCCCCGTCTAGATGAAACAAGCTGGCTTTGGCGGGTCGAAATGAAAGAATGCTACATGACAAGAATGCGATTAAGAGGTTGTGGGATCGGGCAGCAACCGTTGAGACAAAAAGAGGGATGAAGTGGCCATGACCGTTGACTTTTGCAGAATGGGTACTTCCAGCCCCGTACTATTCACTATGGAGCCCGATGTACTCCGTGCCTCCTCGGCATGTTCAGACCTCAAGGGATTAGCGGCGATCAGAATCCATTGTTTTGCCTGTTATTTTCGACGTGTCTTAAACAAACTGCTCAGAAATTTAATCCACGTCCAGCCTTGGAGGGCTCTAAGGCTTGTCGACTCAATTACTCCGCACGACGATCTATACTGCATGGCTCATGTCAGAACGTATGATTCCCACTAGAACAGTTAGCCGTCAAGTAGATTCTGATCAGCAACTATGTCCCTCGCTTAGACAAGCGTCAGCACGTTTCTTAGGAACTTGACGCGCAGCATTTTTAGTCCTCGCCTCGTAGCCCTAGAAGATATTTTTTATTAGATGGTGCGCAAATCATGTACACTAAAGCAGTCCCAAACAACCAGATGTACAATTAAAAGGTACAATTGCAAAAGAAACCAAGAATCAGAGTAAACTAAAATACACGGAGACGGGCAGAACAGTCGGCGACAATTCAGGGGTATCGTATCAAATGCCCGGAAAGGAATCAAGGACAAAAAAAGGAGAAGCGAGGAAAACAAAAATAACCGAAATGCAATGATGAACCTCAATTCAAGCATCTCCCTCAAATCAACCCAGCACTGGGTGGTCGTCCAGGATTGGCCTCCTGCCAATCTCGAACCAATTCCTCCCGAACAGTCTTGCACCAGGCCAAAAGTGCAGCGTCAAACTGGCCCCAAGCAGCGGGGCCACTGTCCTGTACGACACCCATCACATCGACATCCAGACGAAGCTCCCACCGGAGCTCTGCAGCTTTCACCCAGAACCGAAGATTCTCAGCCTGCCGATACGGCTTGGCAATGTCCAAATGGTATGCGGTGATCTCACCAAATTGGCGTTTCGACTTCTTGATGGCAAGATTGTGTAGCTGGACCAGGGCACGGCCGTCCCGGAAGCGATCCAGGAAGGCAGTGGGGAGAGATTCACCGGCCTCTTCAATTGGTGTCCAGGTCGGCAAGGAGTCACCGCCAGGCATGAGGCTGCGCAGGAAGGACTCCTCACGTGGACGCTCCCGACCTCTCCAGTCCCCAGCCGCCCAATCCCAATTCTCTCGTTCTTGGGCCTCGAGGTCCTCAAGCGCTTTCTCCCGGGTTATCATGGTGCGGACGCCAGACATCCACCCCTGAATACGTTCGCGCTCCTCTTCGCGCAGACCACTGGCGAAATGCCGGGCGGCCCACCGCTTCAGAACCTCGAGGACGTCGAAGAGTTCTTTGCGGATCTCGCGCTCGCTTTTTATTGAGGCCAGACGTTCTGGCTTCTCGTGTGATGTATAATAGATCTTGGCTGCTCGGATTGCATTCGTCATATCGTCCAGAATGCACATCCCCTGTGCCTCTTCCTTGTTCATTGGAGTCGGCACCTGTGCGGACTGGTCATCCTCTTGGGTCTCGGGGATATCCCCCGGGGCGAGGCTTGACCGAATGGGTTCACGGGGAGGAGGCTCCGCGCCATTTTCAATGGCCTCGATGTTAGTTTCTGCCTTGTCCAGCGCCAGCAAAAGCTTCCGGCGCAACGAGATCAGATCTGGCGGAGGGGGGATATGGTGTGTCTTGATGCTGTATGTGCTGACTGTGGGCGGCAGCATCACCTCGGGATCTTCCTCATATTCACCTCCGGCCGGGTCTGCCATGTCCGAGGGGCTCGCGACTAAGTCGTCGTCCATGTGTCGCTGATTGGGAGTGATCAGGACCCTCGGCACATTATCCTTATTCTTCTTGTCCTTGTCCCATTCCTTGCCACGCCCGCTCTTGCCGTCGAGTAGACCCGTCCGGGCGAAGTAGTACTGTAAGTGGGCGATACTGCCGAGACTCATGACGCTATCGCGATGGCGGGCAGATTCGGCGAACTCGGCGCCCAGTGCACGGGTGTACCCATGGCGGCGCGACGAGGTTGAGACCGACGACCTGGCATCTGCGGAGGTGGCGGAGGATGTGGAGCGGGATGACTCGGAGGAGAACGTGCGGTCCGGGGAGGAGTAGGAGGAGATCGCTGGCGTAGCTGGAACGGATGGCGAGGGCGAGGAGGCTCGCATTGGTACCATTCCAGTCGACTCCATTGATTGCCGCGGCTCGTCCATTTTGCAATGCCGTTTTCGTGAGGGGCTAATCACACTGGCCCACGCGGATCTAGGTCGCGTGAAGATCGATCACTGGAATGCTGTCTCAAAATTTCCAGCGAGGGAAGCTGCGACGGTGACAGTCGAGGCTAGACCAGTCGTCGGCAAGCAATGGTGTTAATATAATCGCGTAAATGAAAGGACGGAGGTTTAATGAGACCTGCAGGATCGACGGACGAGAAACTGCTTCGGGTCAAAAGGGGGGCTTTCGTCCAACCGGGGCTAAAAGGGGAAGCGGGTCACCTAACGCACCGCGACATCGTGAAAGAAACAATTGACCTCCAAAAAAAGAAACCCCAAGATGCCACAGTAGTCTTTCCCCTTCGCCTCGCGACATTTGAATCTTCCAAGGCTGAGAGGCGTGAACTCCGAGGTCCAACACATTTCCCAGTTAGGCTTAGCTGCCCCGCGTTCCATGGTTCAACGTTCTATAAAATCCTTACGCCCGGACGTGGTTCACAGCTCATTCAGCATGTTCAATTACTAGAGAGGAGATACTATGTCGCTAATTCTGATTTTTCTGGCTCAATGCCCATGCTCAACTCAGTTCTTCGGAAGTGTCGGGAAGATGTCCTTCCGCTCCCATCCAGTCCCCCTCACAGTGTCAATGCCCTTACTCGGGTGATCGCCGGTGGGGTCCGTGTATTCCGTTTGATACGGGTTGGGGTCCATAGTCTGGCTGAGGTTTCCGAGAGTGTGATTGACCTCGCGGTGCTTCGCTTCGTCGGCACGGACATACATCAGCAGATCTTTCATCTTCTGCTGCCCGGCTGGCATCTTCCAGTATTGAATGGCAATCTCGGGTGCATCGAGATCGTTCCACTGGGGGAGCTTTCCGGCCTCCAGTTCCTCGATAGCACGGGTATATGTGATGACAGCCTCCTCCTCGAGGTATCCGACAAATCGGTGGCAGATGCGCGGAGACATGAGGTAGGCAAGGAAGAATCCGTTGAAAAAGACACCCTGGGCACCGAGGACCATGACACGCATAAACAATCCTGGCTCCGCTAGCTTGAGGAATGTCAAAAGGTGCATGCGCTCATTGAATGCTTCTTCGAGGAGGGTTTCGATCCTAGCACAACAGAATTAGCGGGGGCGTGATGTTGAGGGATTGCGGTCCACATACCATCCATTGTCTCGTTTCATTTTCCGCAGACTGCGCAAGTGTCGCAGCATGCCGCCAACCATTCCAGGTACACCTGCCACGCTCTCCAAGAAGACAAATCGTGCGAGCCATTTCTTCTCGGTCATCTTGAACATGGCTGGAAGTTCCTGACCTGGTTTGGGGTGTCTGTAGCCCGTCGCAAGGTCCATGCCCCATCGGAAGACGCGTACGGTTCCTAAAGCGACCCAGTCGGACCAATTTGAAGCTTTGCGGTGTGCAATGCTGATCTGTCGCATTTGAGCATCAGTGTAACTGAGATCCTGTCAGCTTGCTTCTTTTTTTCTTGAAGGTTGCTTGGTGAATACGTACACTGGGTGTGCCCATGCCGTTTTCACTTCCTTGACATTCGGGGTCTTTGGTGCAGGGAAGTACTCGGTGGTTTGCTTTTGCTGTGTTGATGAAATATGGCGTTTAGGTGTGAGGGTGTGAGACTTGGCTCGGGATGCTGAGTTGTAGGTGGTGGATGCAACACCTGAGTATGTGCGCAGGGCCAGATTCAAGTACTGTGGATTGACCACAGTCCGCCGGACTGCTGATAGAGAGGACATCGTGCGAGATGTGATGTGATGTGAAGATGTGAAGATGTGATGTTGAAGGTGTAAAGTATGAAGTAGACCTTGGAAGTCAAGTGAAATGATAGTGAAATCTTATTCAAGCAGGAGCCCATGAAACTCCCTTAAATACCTGCCTGACTTAGGGCTCCCGGGAAAGAAAGGGAGGTAAAATCCTATACTCCGTACAAAACCCGGTTTGGGCGATGACCTTCCGTATCAAACTCATTGGCTCGCTCTATACATCCCTGTTTCCCCACGATCTGCGGCTCCATCGACCACCAATTGCATGACTGAACTCTCGACTATCTCGTACTAGTAGTCTCCTCAAACAAGAATTAGAATTATTCGCCTTCCCATTATCTCAATACACAAGAAGAACGGTCTCGAAAGGAGGCAGGTGACCTCGGGATGGATCGGCCTGCCGGGAGGCGAAATGAGTCAGCCTCAATCGCCGATGGATCGATCCCGAAATCTCCCAGACCCCGAGAGTTCTTTTGAGGCTGTTTCTCAATTATTCCTTTGAGGGCATTCTTGTTTTTTTCTTGGAAACCCCTGACCCGGAAAATACCGAATGCTGTACTCGTATTTCATCATTCTGATCTAAATCTTCTAAATATATTTCTCCATACCTCGCCGTGGACATCACTTGGCAACTTCCAGATTCTACCTAGGCTAAAATGGCGTGAAGTGTCAGGGTAATAAGGACAATTCTGTTCCTTTCACCAATTGCTTCTTTTGTCCGGGTGGCTTATCCCCTTCATGTGACCGCGCCAATGCCTGACGTGGTCAAAGTGCCCATGCAACGGCGGGAATATCCCCATCAAGCTCTTTCTCGGTCCAGAGCTTCCCAGGACGTCCTGTGGCTTTGTTCCATTGCACAACAGCCACCTTTTGGCTTTGCTCCAGAGCAACACCCATCAAGCCCAGCCTACCAGTAATATCGAAGTTGCGAACCGAAGAGCCATACGCGGGGTACAAGCCAAGGAACTGAACGCCGGTAAAGGACGCCCCGCTGATATCAGCGCATGAAAATACGGCGAGGGAGTCGTTCTTCCGGCCGAAGGTGTTGTCCAGGCGGTTGCTGACAACAATGTGGTTGTTTTCGGGCTAGCGGTTTAGATGTCAGCATAAACACTGTCAAATGTTCCAGGACATGGAGGTAGAAGACGACGTACCGAGATTGCAATTTCGGCCACCTTGGAACCAGAGGGAGCAGTGCTGTTTCCGAACGAGCTCTCCTCGAAGAACTTGGAAAAGTGAATTCGACCCTCTGTGTAGCTGACGCGGAAGCCACTGAGGAGGTTGTTCAGCTCGTGCACAAGGAAGAAATAGACATTCGCATCGGTGCCGTGAGACCCTTTGGGGGTCCAGAAAACCCCGTGCCTAGGTCCTGATCCAGGAGCTGCAACATATGGGTCTATTGGCTCCAGGTGTCCCGTTGTCGGGTGGATGTGGAAGATGCGCACCAGGTCTGCCCCTAGGTCCGGCACCAGAACAAAACGACCGGTGGGGTCCACCGTCACTCCGTGGGGATGAGGAGCATCCTGGCGCTCGGCGTTTGGTCCCGGGGCAGACATGTTGTATGTGAACGTTTGGATCAGCTTGAAGTGGCCTCGGATGGGGTCGACGGCGTATGTTGTGACGATCGATGTCTCACTGAATAGCAAGACGTTAGCAATCAACAACGATGGGGCAAGCGATTCGAACTCACTAGTGGGCAACAGCAAAGAATTTATGGTTATGGACCCCAGGAGCAGAGTACATAGCAGACATGACAGGGCCACCGGGAACGGTCAAGGTGTTAATGGCATCGAGGGATCCATTGCCTTGGGTATTGAAGGATGTGATGCTACCATTAGATGCTCCAATGGCTTCATTCAGACAATACAGGATCTTGTTGTCACCATCCAACATCAACCACGATGGACTTGTCCCACATTCTGTCGACAGGGACTGTGTGGACAGACCAAGTGTTCCATTTGCTTTGCTCAGGGCTAGGGAATGGACAGAGCCTGCATACGACGCCGCGTATAGAGTTTGCGCAACACTTTGGCCACAAAGAGTGGCAAGGGCAATCAGGGTGCTCTTCATCCTGAGTCTCTGATCTGCAGTTTCCTCAGGTTACCCATAACACTTCTTATACTTCCAAGGTTCGCATTGATGTGGGTCAAACGAAGCCAATCGGGGCAAAAAAGGAGAGCAAAAAGGAAATGGCGGTACCCGGATTCGAACCGGGGCCAACACAGCATTGTAGGTGCGAATTGCTTCACAGCTCACCACAATGTGGTATCCTACCCCTAGACCATACCACCTGTTTGATGGAAGAAGGTGCAATATTTGGCTCTACATTCTAAACGAACACCCACGTCTATCCCAGATTCCCAGATTCCCCGTCTCTGTTCAGCCCTGCAAGACCCAGTCTATAAAACATTAAATTCGTCAAGCACTACATATTTTCACCGACATCTGAATTTGATCATCTACCATCCACCCCGAAGTCGGAGCTTTATCTTTTCTCGGCATCCCAAGATGACGAGGAGACAGCTTGGCGCCAACGTGGACTGACCGGCATCCCACCAATCCCGTCCAACCTTCTCGGCATGCCGAAGATGACGGACCGGCATGCCGTTCTCCTTTCCATCTGCCCTGTCCCGGGACCCACCCAGGAGTTCGATTATGAAGAACTCATGGCCGAGACTGCGCTAGAACGAACGTCAACGGCCATTCCATCCTGCACCTGCCAAGGTGCTCTCATCTAGCCCCACCCGCTTATAGATCAGGCACCTGAAGAAACTCGGATGACACTAGGCTCGGGCATTAGGGGATGCACTCGGAGTTTAGGGCATGTTCGCCAAGATGCTCTGCTCAATTTAACTCTAGCCAAGAAAATACCGGTCTACGCTTTGGGTGGGTGAATCTTATGGTTCCTGTGGCCTTGTTCCCTGTTATCGGATTAAGATATAGGCTTATTGACGCAGCCATGATTTCATTTTCTGGATGAGTTACTCTGCTAGGAAGATATTGAGGCTCGGTGTAGATAGATGGATGCGTGGCATGTGCTACCCATGGATATTTCATGGAGTACGTGGAAGCCAAGATATAATTCCAAGGTTAGTTCCAACTTGGAAGGCTGTGCTTTTGAATTTCTCCCAATCTATTACAGCAAACCTTAGCACATTGCTACATGATCTCGTATTGATTGTCCCCCTGCTCGGGCTATGCAGTGTCTATTTTAGTGTCTATAATTGATGATCAAGGATCCAAGCTGACCGAGTCTACCCACTCGGTGATCCTTTCGACTGTCGCCACGAAGTGGCAGGTCGAATCCCTCAGGCCCCCGAGATATCAGCGATGAAGTGCTAGTAGGTAGGGCCAACAAATGAATTCGTTCTCAGGGTCGATCGCCACTTTTGGTGCCTTCCAGCAGGTCCACCCCATCCACCACCGTAGTACAGCTCAATGGTGCTCAACATCAAGATGGCTCCGGGTTAAGCAATAGCGCATCAACACTGGACAGACAACACGATGCCGAGATGGTCTGAGTCTGAAGGCGTCCACATTACTTCCTCTAAGGTCTTCGCTTGGAAAATCAAACTTTAGTCTCTTCTGGTCATATCATGAGTGCCTATCATACCCACGGGGGTCCTTCGGTGTAGATCCGGAAGTTGCAGCAACATGTCGCTCTACCCTGTCTTCCAGGGTTGGACTTGACCGGATCATACATCCCGTCAACCTATCAGTCTCTAGCAAGGATCACGAGAAGCGGCCTGCCAGATGCCAGTATGTCCTCCCGATGCCTCGCCATCCTTCATTTGCCAGATGTGGTCCATCCGCCGGCATGATCCTGCGTGCATAGCGCGGTGCAGCCTTCCCCTTTTAAGGCAATTGATGCTCATCAATATCTTAGCCTAGGGTACGATGATCAAGGTACGCCTCTTGGCAGGAAGAAGGTTTCTTATACGATACCAGCAAAGACGTAGCTATCCACTCAGATGTGCAGTCCCTTGTCGGCCAGTGAAGTTGCACGTGTGTGGGTAATTTATTCAGGTCAGCCTTGTCGGATTGATATTGGTAAACAGGTCGATCTAGCTCTGACGAATGTCTTGTCCGGCCAAGCGGAAGGAGGGGGTGAATCCCATGCCACGGGCTGTCAGGGTCGAGGTCTATAAATCCGGCTGCATGACTGTCTACTGGAATTGATAATCAAGCCTCGAACTCTTCTTTCTTTGCCATTCTCTTCCAAGGTTCCAACATGAAGTTCAACCTGCTGGACATCCTGACTCTTTTGGCATCCACGGCCCACGCTTTCGTGCCTGGAAACCCAATTGATGTCCAGTCTCACCTCATCTCGGATCCTCGTGAGGTTGCCGGCAAAGAGTACGACTATGTCATCGCTGGTGGTGGCTTGACCGGTCTCACAGTTGCAGCAGAGCTCAGCGCAAACCCCAACATCAGCGTCCTGGTCATCGAGAAAGGATTCTACGAGTCCAACAATGGCCCGATTATCGAGGACCCTAATACCTATGGTGAAATCTTCGAGACCACCGTCGACCAACAATACTCTACCTCCGAACTCGCGATCAACAATATGACCATGCCCATCAAGTCCGGCAAGGGACTAGGTGGCTCGACGCTGGTCAATGGCGCCTCCTGGACTCGTCCTGACAAAGTGCAAATTGACTCATGGGAGAAAGTCTTTGGCATGGAAGGATGGAACTGGGACACTGTTTTTGAAGCCATGAACAAGATCGAGCGAGCCCGCCCTCCTACCGCAGCTCAGATATCCGCAGGACATTCTTTTGATCCGTCGTGCCATGGCTTCAACGGCACTGTCCATGTCGGTCCTCGTGATGATGGAAAGTCCTTCTCTCCCATCATGCGAGCCTTGATGAATACCACATCCGACTCTGGTGTCCCAACCCAAAGAGACTTGCTTTGCGGCCATCCTCGCGGAGTTTCCATGATCTACAACAATGTTGACGATGATCAAGTTCGTGGTGACGCCGCTCGCATGTGGCTTCTTCCCAACTACCAGCGCAAGAACTTGAACATCCTGACTGGTCAGATGGTTGGAAAAGTTCTGTTCGATGACTCCGGTCTCAAGGCTACTGGCGTCAACTTTGGCGTAAACAAGGCTGTGAACTTCAATGTTTCTGCAAAGCATGAAGTCTTGCTGGCTGCCGGCTCCGCCATCTCCCCTCTCATCCTCGAGTACTCTGGCATTGGACTAAAGTCTGTTCTTGACAAGGCCGGCATTGAGCAACGTTTGGAATTGCCTGTCGGTCTCAACATGCAAGATCAAACGACCACGACTGTGCACTCTCGTGCCAATGCCCAAGGACAAGGACAGGCAGCCTACTTTGCCAACTTCACCGAGGTTTTCGGTGACGATTCCTCTCACGCCATTGAACTCCTCAACAACAACCTCGACAAATGGGCCGAAGAGACCGTTGCCCGCGGTGGATTCCACAATGTGACCGCTTTGAAGATCCAGTACTCAACCTACCGTGACTGGCTTCTTGAGGAAGACGTTGCCTTTGCAGAACTCTTCATGGACACACTGGGTAACATCAACTTTGACGTCTGGGATCTCATTCCTTTCACTCGCGGCTCAGTTCATGTTCTGAGCAACGATCCCTACCTCCTCCAATACGCCAATGACCCCATGTTCTTCCTCAATGAGCTTGATCTCCTCGGTCAAGCTGCTGCTACCAAGCTTGCTCGTGAACTTTCATCAAAAGGCGTCATGAAGCAGTACTTTGGTGGAGAAGTGCTGCCCGGAGACAAGCTGGATCAAGATGCCGACCTGGACCAGTGGGTGGCCTACGTGCAGCAAAACTTCCGACCTAATTACCATGCCATCGGAACTTGCTCGATGATGTCGCGGGAACTTGGTGGTGTTGTTGATGCCAATGCCAAGGTCTATGATACTCAGGGCCTTCGTGTTATCGATGGATCTATCCCACCCACTCAGGTGTCTGCTCATGTCATGTCCGTGTTTTATGGTATGGCATTGAAGATCTCCGAGTCTGTGCTGGCCGACTATGCCCGTTCATCGTAGCGGTGTTTGGGTGAGACTTGGAATATTCCGCTCCGTTTCAGAGGGTGCGGAGAACTTCCAAGTTGAGAGATAACTCTCATGGATGGAGTATAGAGAGGCTTGCTGTGGCAGCCACGCAATAGACAAGAACAGATAGACAAGAATAGACATAGACTTGTGATTTTGAGATTTACCGAGTTAATCCCGTTTGAGGAAATCCGAGGCCTCAGCCCTCTCTCCTGCCAGTTGCAGGCAGACATCTATTCCAAGGGTGTGAGTATGAACCGTCCTACATAGCAGTCAACCTTCAGTCCTGGCAAGCGTAATTCACACCAGTAAGTATTCTGCTGCTGAAGAATATGAAATGAAGTCGATTTAATTCTCAAAATTGCTGCATAGATGCCGTATTGTGAAGACTGGCCGACTTTCCAGTGCCGAGAGATCCTATACTTCATTTTTCGGAGTCAAACATCGAGTCTGTCGTCCGCGTCACGGAAAAATGATCCTCGCCTTCACGAGGCTCGAGATCCCGCTTCTCCAACTTCACCACATGGGCCATGCGTGGGCCCTTGTTGATCTGCTGGAAGAACTTTTGCAAGATATCATCGCTGCCCTGGGCCTCGCCCTCGACCTGATGATGTCTTTAGTAAGATTTTTTATATGACAGTTTGAGGACTTACTCTACCACAAGTGGTGTTTCTCACGAAGCCTTTCAGATCATAGCTGGTGGCACATTTCTGGGTGAAGTCGCTGTGTTGAATGCAGTTGATCAGTTATGATGTCATTGATTTGGCCGTTCGCTGCAGGGATGCCTTACCGGAAGCCGACGCCTGGATGTTTCGCATGAGTCCTGTAATTGTCTCGGTTTTGGAATTAGGTAGAGACAGTGTTTCGACTCACCTTGAACAGTGCCGGAGACCTTAAAGGCGATCTGCAGACTGTTAGCTACCAAGGTTTGTGTGGGGTTGTTGGGTTGGGCTGAGTGTGAAGGGAAAGCCGAAAGACATGTAGCCATGTAGACTCACCCGAGTGGTTGACATGATTGGAAATGGGTGATGTGTGAGTGGGAGGTTCACATCCGAGTGTAGGGCGGGATATATACTTGCCTGACATCACATCAATTGTAGATCTTGACCTCCACCAAGTCGAACAAAAATGAAGGAAATATCCTTGGAACACACTTAGTATTAAATTGTCCATAAAATTGCACTTGATTTATATATTGAATTGCTCAGCCTCTATGGTTGGGTACTGCGTACAGGCATCATGCCTGTCCAACGCTGGCTCGAATAAAATGCAAAAAATCATGAAGACTAAATAAAACAAATAAAACTCCAGTGCAACGCAAGGATCAGACAGACCAATATGCAATGTCGGTGGGCGAAATACGCCGAAAGGCCAGCGCTTGAGGCGGTGCCTCGGTCCCCTGAGTAAACATTGCCTCTCCGACTTCAACTTCCCCAAACCCGCGCCATGCCACTGCGATAAAATGCCCTCCATCTTCACCTGGCTCCGGCGAGTCTACTCGCTGGACACCCTCGACACTCGCTTTACATCCACCGCAAACACCGACTCGCGACGTCCCAAGGATGCCCGCGCCAATGCAATCGCTCAAGGCGCGTCGCCATCATTATGGCGCACCCCGGAATTCTTCATCTACTATGTCTTCTTCATTGTCCTAGTCCCATTGATGTTCAAAACCGTCTACGATGCATCCAAAGGTGAGCCCAGAGAAACGCAGCCAGGATCTCAGTACTGACAAGTCTCTAATGTCAGACACCACCCCGATCTACTCGAAATACTCACATCTCCTATCTTCCGGTTGGATTCCCGGCCGTCTGGTCGTAAGTAACACCCGAATGCGCATAGTCTATACCCACAGAGTCCGGTCGAACTGACCATCGCCATGCTTCCAGGACAACTCCGATACGCAATATGCGAGCTTCCGCGATAACATCCCCCCTCTCTTCCTACTCCTCATCGCACACCCATTACTCCGTCGTGCCTACCATAATTACATGAACCGCTCGAAGGCCGAAACGAAATCATCCAGTCATGCAGTGGCTAGCGCGGGCGAAGCGAGGTTCGAACAACGCATGCACTTCGACTTTTGGTTCGGACTGGTGTTCATCACTGCGCTGCATGGAGTTTCGGCCTTGAAGGTGCTTTCGATTTTGTATATCAACTTCCGGATTGGCAAGGATGTGCCTCGCGCTTACGTGCCCGCCGCCACTTGGGGCTTCAACCTTTGCATTCTCTTTGCCAATGAACTATGCGGTGGCTACCCGTTGGAGAGGATCGTGAAGCTATTCGTAGGATCCGGCTCCGCGGTCGAGGAAGGCAGCAGCCTGGTTCAATGGGCACAGGTTGTCGATGATCTGGGAGGACTCATGCCGCGATGGGAAGTTCTCTTCAAAGTTACAGTCTTGCGCCTGATCAGCTTCAACATGGATAACTACTGGAGTGTTGACTACCCGGCGGCAAGTCCAATTGAAGTGAGTATCCACACAAAAACCCCATTCAAACGACTGTGCGACTGACCGAATTTCACAAGAAGAAGCAACTTGACCCTGCAGCTCTGTCTGATCGTGACCGCGTCAAAATCCCCGCAGATCCCGCAGCCTTCACTTTGCGCAATTACATTGCCTATGTGCTCTACTCTCCACTGTACTTAGCTGGCCCCATCTTGACATTTAACGACTATGCATCCCAGCAGCGACACAAGGCTACATCAGTCCTCCGTTCCCGCACCGTGATGTACGGCATCCGCTTTGGTCTCACTCTACTCTGCATGGAGCTGATCCTCCACTACATTTACGCCGTTGCAATCTCCAAATCCAACCCAGATTGGTCGGTATTCACACCAGGCCAACTGAGCATGCTGGCATTCTTCAATCTACACATCATCTGGCTGAAGCTCCTCATCCCATGGCGCTTCTTCCGCCTCTGGGCTCTCGTCGATGGCATCGACCCACCCGAGAACATGGTACGATGCATGTCCAACAACTACTCCGCCTTCGCGTTCTGGCGAGCCTGGCACCGCTCCTACAACCGGTGGATCGTGCGCTACATCTACGTGCCCCTCGGCGGCGGCGGTGGCGGCCACCAAGCACCCGGAACGCCTAGACCAGCATCGCCGCCGAAGTCGGGGTTCATGAGCAAGTTCTTGCAAATTCGAAACTTCCTGATGGTGTTCACTTTCGTCGCTTTGTGGCACGATATCAATCTTCGTCTACTGATGTGGGGTTGGCTCGTTACTCTCTTCGTTCTGCCGGAGGTTCTGGGTGGTATGATGTTCCCTGCTCATCGTTGGCGCTCTCGCCCGACTGCGTATCGTGTCATTTGCGGCATTGGCTCCGTTGGAAACATTTTCATGATGATGGTTGCAAATCTGGTTGGATTTGCACTGGGATTGGATGGACTGAAAGATCTACTTGCAGGCCTCACGGGCTCTTACTCAGGTCTGGCATACTTGGTTTCGTGCTGTGTGGTGCTCTTCGTCGGCGTTCAGGTTATGTTCGAAGTGCGTGAGGACGAGCTCCGCATGGGCATCAACCTGAAGTGCTGACCTGTGCATTCATATCTGCGCGCAGAGCCTTCGATTCACCCGCTTATAGTCATAAAAATATATAAGACTTGTTATATCCCGAGGTCCCCATCCATAGCATTAACTGTTATACATTTTTGGTATCAAATCGTAAAGTCGTGATAGAGATTTCATCTCCAATAGTAATACAAACATATCCCCGGACTTCAATCTTGGAAGCCTAAAAGAAAGCACCACACCTCGAATCCTCATGAACCTTATAGCAATCCAAGCTACAGGTCCTCAAATGACAACTCTTGCACCGAATCTTCCCCCAATAGCCACACATGCAACAGAAATGACGACCCGGCCGCGCAGACGAAGGTGGCTTCACCCTCGAAGCATTATAAGAAAGCGGCGGCTCCGCCAAAAGCCTCTGCATAAGCCGATCCGACGGCATGAGAGGCGCATAAGACTTCAAAAGCGGATCATTATCATATTCCGATTTGATGAGCTTCGGCTTCCGCTCTTCCTCCTCAACATCCGTCTCGGCATCCGTCTCAGCAGGCGTCGAAACTCCAGTCGCGACAGCAGCAGACCTCTTCCGTCCAGCCGTACTAGCAGGCGTTGAACTCCGACGCGCAGCAGCGACTCTGTGTGCCTTGGCTGGATTCGGGATATTCGCAGCCACAGTTCCAGTCCCCAGTGCAATGGCGGCTTCTTCGTCGTCGAGATGATTCCGGAACGTCTTTTGGGATTGCAGGATACGGCGAACGGCGGATGTGGTCTTTGCGCGTGTGCCGCGTGCGCCGGCTTCTTTGGCTTGTTTGACGGGGACGGGGATTGAGACGTCACGCTGATTTTCACGGTCGAGCTCTGAGATGTGTCGGGCGATTGCGTTGGCTTGTCGCGAGGAAATGTCGCCGCCTTTGCCGGCGTCGCGGATGTTGCGTTTGCGGCCTAGGGTTGGTGCCATGGCTTGCGTGGGGTCGAAGCCCCGCGTTGGCGCGTAGGACCAGCCTGGTGTGGCGGCGGATTTATCCTGGAGGAGTTCGACGCGAAACATTTTGGGTAGTGATGTGAAGGTCGGGCGAGTTGATGGCACCGGGGCCTTGAATGAGGAGTTGGGGGATGTGTGTTTGTTTTGTTTGCACTGCAGCTCAGGAGCTACGGAGCTAAGGAGCTTAGCATTTCAAGATGTGCGAGCTTGAAGTATCAAAAGGAGAGTACAATTCAAAATTGCTATTCAAAGCTAAATACGGAGTTTCATGCGAAACAAAAATAAAAGACCTTCCAACCGTTCAAGTAAACCAATGGCTGTCAAGGTTGGCAAACTTCAAAATGCATAAACACCACACCCAACACCCATAATAAATACAAAATTCACCGATCCGAGAGCCTATTTCTTTTTCTGTATTTGGTCGACCTTGGACTCCAATTCTGTGATGTACGACTGGAGCTTGATGGTGGCCATTTGGAGTGCCTGGATTAGAAATCATATGATTAGCCCGGGCTGCCCAGCTCCGAACGCGACAAAGGGGAGCTCTAAGGGAGCGAGAGAAAGTATTGGAAGCTGAAGACATACCGAAATGTCATCAGACAGCATCTCATTGGCGATTTTGTATTCTGCTAGGACGTAATAGTACACCGACGCGCTGGCGGCGACAGATCCAGCCAGGAACCCGAAAACGCTGACGTAGTTAGCACCCGAGCAAGCAGAAAGCGAAACCCACGCGGAAGCGCCGGGACAGCGCGAGAGAAGGAGAAATTCAGGGGGTCAGGGGAGGGATTGGCAAAAAAGGGATTGGGCCAAAAAATCACAAAGAGAGCTCCAAACATACCCTCCTCGGAAAGCTCCAACAGGCTTGCTTGATGGCAGTGGCGCGACGTTGAAACGAGCGCAGGATGATGAGAAGGACCGGATACCGGCGGGTCGCAGGGGGAGGATTCTGGTGAACATGGCGATATGGACAGAGAGGTCGGCAGTGGTATGTAATGGAGGAAGTGGCAGAGAGGAAGTGACGTTGAATTGCGGAGGTTCGGGCGGTTCGGAAGTTGGGGTAACGTTTGGGCAGGGAAGAGACTATACCCGCAGTGCACTCGTATATACTCGTATAGTACGGAGTAGATCATCTTGGTATTGATGCTTTCCTATTTAATTTTGGCTTCTCTAATTCGCCATCGTACTCTCGTTGAACAGATCTGCTAAAAGATCATCCCGACACACGGTGAAATCTACACTACCCATGCCATACGTGCTCTCAAACACAAAGATGCTCAAGCGATCAAAGAACGGGCGCAGAACACGCTCCACGATTTCATCCTTGGCCGTCTCCCGGATCCAGTCGGAGAGAAGCCACGGTCGCTTCAGATTACTGCGAGCTGGGGGCTCGTTGGTCTCGGTCACAGTGGGTGAACCCGCGATCCGAGGGCCAAAGCTTTGAGAAACCTCGTCTGCGAGTGCAACCGGTTCCCAGCGATCCGGTGGGTATACTGCATCAATAGTGTCGGTAACAAACAGCCACTCGAGGAGTTGGAAGTCGTCTGGACCGAGCACAAGCAGAACGTCGAGGAGCTTGCATGCTTGAAGCAATGAGTAGGAATTGTATAGCTCTGCCTGAGACCCGCGGGGAACCGCAGAGATGGCCTCTTGTAGCTCTGTGTTGATCAAGGGCCAGAAGGGCGCCATGGCAGAGGCGGAGGTCTTGAGCGCAACAGCACGTAGGACCATGAATACTTCTGCCCGGGTGGCGGCAGACGGCGAGGAGGAACTGGTTGCGCCAAGAAGATCCTCTAATTTCTGGACCAAGGCTGGCATTTCTCCAACGAAGTAATCTTCATTTGCTGACAAGAGGAGAAGTGCAATGCGTCGAAGGTTGAGCTGGGCTTTGCGATCGGCCTCTAAGCGGGCTGCGGAGGCTCCCACGCCAAACATGATACCGGCTGTGCTTGGTGGTGGAAGGCGAACGAGGAGCTCGGAGAATCGCTCCTTGTCTGCAAGAACCCACTGCCGCAAGAGGTCCATCCAGCTGCTCTTGACCAGATCCATTTGCAAACCAAAGAATCGGGGATCGTTGAACGCATCGGAGATGTCTTTCTTCCACATCTTGGCCGCTGCAGGCACTTTGGCCATGTGTTGCAACAGGATCATGACGTTGCGGTTGAGATTGTTAGGGAACAGACGTGATCGAATCAGAGGACCAACTACATTGGTCGAGACACCGGTGATGGCGGTGTTAACTCGGTCGGAGTCGCCCAGCGTCGTGATAAAGGACGGCATAGAGACCGCGAGGATGCTCAGCATGTCGTCGGGTCCTGTATGTGAAACCGAAGTACGATCGTAATCCACGGAAGATCTCGCCAATGGCCCATTGTCTTGGCTAAGGCCCAAAGGTTTACTAGTGAAGACTGCTGTAAGTAGCCGCAGAAGTACATCCTATAGCGGACAGGTTAGTAAAAATCAGGACGATGACAGAAACGGCATATACATACCCCGAGTTCCTTTCGCATACGGCGGTCTTCGCCGAACGTCGTGTTCTCTAACTTAACGCCTAGAATAGCAGCGAACTCAATCAGGCGTGGAAGAATCTGCCGATGTGGGAACGGATTGCTCAGCACATCACGCAAAAAGGTTGTACAGTCGGTCCAGATCTCATCGAGAACATCATCATCAAGCGAGCGCGCGTAGGTCACCAGGAAGCTAGCAAGCTCCGACTCCGTGAGGCTGGAAGTCAGCGACGACTTGCGGCTATGATCCAAAGCACTGGGGTTGGTTCGGGTGTAGATCGCGTTGAAAATGGCTGGGATCGTTATCTTAGGACTTGACCCATCGAGCGTGTGGAGAAGGTTGAAGATCAGTGACGCTGTCTCCGTGTCAGACTTAGACCACATCTCTACCAATGTCTCCAGACATTCAAGTGCTTCTGCGGTGAAGAAATGTTCCAGAATGCGCCGTGATCGATTTCTCATTCGCAGCGAGGTATACTGGAACGAAGCCATGGACACGGAATCAATGGCAGAGCCACTGTTATCACCCGCGCCCCATGACCATATAGAGAAGCACAGCCTAACGGCATCCTGGAAACATAGCAGCACGGTCAGTCGATCATTGGCTGTGTTGGGGCGGCCTTGCCCGCCTTCGGAGTTGAATACTCCGGATACCATGTTGCCAAAGAAGCCCTGGGGTTGATCAGGGCTCTTCACAGTTGGAACATTGGTCTCTTCGACTCTGAGGCGCTCGTGCGCATTTGCAATACAAGTCTCAAGACCGGATAGGAGAGCAATCGTTACATGCTCAGAACGGTCTTGCGGCCAGTCTTCCGTTTGGTGGAACGACAGCTGGAGCCTGCCGTAGGAAGCTCGTATCTCCCGGCAGAAACATTCTGAAAGCATCAACAGAATCTGGAATATTGAGCCCGAGTATAGCGGGAGAACTTCGCAAAGTAGGAAAATCCACTTTTCGACGATTTCACGAGACTTGGGCGAGCTGATGCCCTTGAGAAGACAATCCAACAGTCTCTCGGGGGGCTGCGGAGCCGGGGGCGTTGAGAGTCTCCTGTCGCCTTTGTCGCTGGTGAAGGACAAAAGCGAAGGACTGGTGAGACGATCCCTAGAGCTTGCACGCAAATGCTTCTGCCGAGGTGGAGGTGGAGGCAGATATGCTTGTGCGAATCGCACCTTCAATGCAGCAAGGAGTGCATCAATCAGGGCGCCTTGAACCACAATGCTACCACCCTCGGATGAAACAAGCAGGCGTTCGACTAGGAAATCGTCAATGCCGTTTTCAACCAACTCCTCAGCCTCTGGGCCAAGAAGCAGTTGTCGCATGAGTTGAAGAGCATCCTTCTGCAGGCGTTCCCATTCAAGGCTGACTTCTGTGGGGGCTGACTTCTGCGTGCTCACCACGCGAAGAGAAGCCTCGAAAATGGCAGCATGGAGACTCTTGCTACCTGCATTGTCTATAGCAAGCCGGTCGTTAGCAAAGATCATTGATGATGGATGTGTGATTACCTTCTGATTTCGACTTTTCTGGGCGCCTTTCATTACCCAAAACGTGTGTGAGAAGAATGATCCATCCGTTCTGCGACAAGGCAGCGATGATGTTTGAAGCAGTCTGCAATAGATAATCACATTCTTTGTAGTCCTCGGGGGAGATCGACTGGCTCTCTGGGTCTGCATCGTTAGGGTCATGCTCAAAGAGCTCATCGAATTTGGACATGATGACGTGGAACACCCTGTCCGATTATTAGAATGGTACATTCATTGGTCGAGGGGCATGGTACTCACTTGTGGATGCTTGGCAGATCCTGGAGCCAGAGCTGGACGCTCTGAGAGCTATCGCTGGACTCCTGGGAAAGAAGATCAAGCACAACGAATAGTGGGCGTTCCAGCATCGAGCACTGGTAAGAAAACAGAGTTCCTCCAACATCAAGGACCTGCTTCGGGGGCTGTTCATGGGTGTTATGGTGGCTATGGTTCCAAAGGACATAGAAACGTTCAGCTTGCTGCTCAGCAGAAATGTGGCGAGAGCCTGATGCGGAAGAATCGATCATCAATGAGGTTAATGATGCTTCGACGAGATGGTCAATCCAAGAGATGGAGTGCAAGAGCCACAGACAACGAACGGCCTCGACGTGGAATTTTGGGCTCAGCGGTGAGAGATACCACCAAAGTTGATTGACCAGGGGAGTAATCAGATCACAAGCATCTTCATAGCTAACATAAAACCCTGGAGCGTGGATGAAGAATAGATTCGTGACTGTAGAAGCGATGGTTGAAATGACCGAGAAAGAGGTCGTCGTTGGCTTGTCTTTCCCTACATCCAATCTCTGGGAGAGTGCTTTATAAAGCTTGCGATCTCGCAGAACGCGCGACTTTGGAAGCTTCTTGAGCAAAGACACAAGAATTTCCAGACTTTCGTGAACAGACACGGTGTTGTCACGGGCTTCTAGCGTTGTGATAGCCAATTCATAGGCCTCCCGAATGATCATTTCACTGAGAATTCTTGGGGCATAAGGAAGGGGCGGGAGCTCCAGACTTGCTTTGCTTTGTTCATAGAAGCCATGGACCGTATTCAAAACATCAGTACCTCGACTTTTCGCGTCGGTGCTTGTATTTTTTTCAGATCCAGTCTTCTTAGAGAAACCTCGCTCTGAAAGTAAGCCAATCAACGACTTGAGAACCTTATTAAGGGCCACCGAGACAGCTCCTTTAGTGGCCGAGTCCTGAACGACAGAAGTATTCTTCAATTTCACAAGCACAGACAATGCCAACAACGGAACATGGATCTGAACCATGTCTTCCTCACGGACATTGAAATTTTCAATGATGAACTGTGCAAGGCTCAAGTCGCTTAGGATTCGATCAGCGTCGCTGTTCAGATCGGAAGGCTGGTAATCGACCAGTCTCAATAGTTCGGAGAAGATGACTGCACTTTCGACACCATCGAAGAAGGCGCTTGCGCTGCGGAATACTTCTTCGAAGTGGGGTTTGGAAGCTTCAGTTTCGAAAGCCTTGACACTGCGTACAGTCGGCAAGAACACCGCAGGGACAATGTATCCTCCAATCTCCCAGCGATCCATTAGCGACAATGCTATGCGGAAAGGCTTAGTTCTGTCAGATGGGAGACTGGGCGCTTGGCTGATCATTTCTAGGAGGCCAGTAACCAAAGGCTGCAAGCCCACACGGCTAAAGTACTGTGATTGAGTGAGTCCCTGGCCCCCAGCAGAGGCTGATCTGGAGGTATCCGAGGAGAGCTTCCGATCATCCATGGAAGAGGTCTCGTTGGGGGAGTCTGGTCCCAGGAACCAAGCCCAGAGCCGGCGGTTCAAGCCCATCTCTCGTCGAGTGACTACTCCTACTGCCGCAATTACCAAGGTTCGGAGATCACTGGGAGCAATCTTATTTTGTAAGATGGGAGAGCTCAGTGGAAGATGTGTGACAAGTAGATCGAGGAAATTACGCTGCACAAGGAGCTGGTCGTCAGACAAGCCCGATGCAATGCAACGAATCAGGAGCCCAGGCTCTGGAAGAATGACCGAGTCTGCTGCGGCGAGCATCTCGGGTGGGGTATCAGGAAGATCATTTGCAGCGGTCGTACTCGATCGGCGATCTGAAACACCCAGTTTTGGGAGATATCGGTTCAGATATGCGAGGACACCGAGTCGCCGGCTGGGGTTGGTTATGGAGGCCAAGAAGAGACATTGCCAAAAGTACTGTCCTGATGCCCCGGCTTCGGCTGTTCTTTGGGTCTCAAGGCGGCCGGCAGCATCCTTAAGCTTGTTGATCGTGCGCAGTGTGGGCTCAAAGTCATCACTTGTCTCCTCTTCGAGACCCGGAAGTAGGGCAAGAATGATAGACTTCAAAGCAGGCCGAATGGCCCACGGCTCCAGATCAACAACATAGCCCTCAACCAAAGATAGAAACAGTGGTCGAACTGTCAAGGAAGCGAATGTCAAGGTAGGCGCAAGGCCAGGGAGATACAAAGGTAGGTCGTGCGACAACCCCTCAAGCTAATTGTCACCACATGAATCAGCGAGCCCTAGCAACCATTTCAAGAATGAAACACACCTTAATCAATCCAAATATGTATGTGTAGACTTCGAGGGCCTTCTGGTGCACGCCCGAAGGCAATGATGGATTCAAACATTGGGCGAGTCGCTTGGATACTAGCACTTTATGAGGGACAACTGGTTGGTCGGGCGGGTGGGTTTGGAGCGCCTAGCCATTTATGAGCGACAGCGCATGGTATAACGGATGTTTGCATGTCTCACCTTCAATAGGCGACTGAGAAAAGAGATGTAATCTGCCCATTCCTGTAGAGCGTTATCGAAAAGGGAGAGGGCTCGTTCGACGCTGGAGGCATATCGGCGGTAGTTTTTGTCTTTCTTGACGGAACCTAGGATCGAACCGATTAGACATGGTCTTCATAGAGGACAAAGTGCTCAGCTTTGCGCATACCTTCTTTGCCTTGTAGCCGGGAGCGCGTCAGGGAGCTCTCGGAGCTTGCGGGGGAGTCCGACCTCGGAAAAGCACCTGGATCAAGGCTCATGGTGCCAATGACGGACGTAGAATTCGTGTGAAAGCTTTAGACTGCCCTCCGTCATGTTTGGGGCATCAAGAAAGGCCCTTAGGGGAAAGGGAGGTGGTGGTTGCGTGTAGGCCAGAAGCCACGCAGGCGGCCACGTTCAATTGTTTTGTTCCGCCCTGGAGCTCCGACTTGCGACGTCAGCGATTCACCTCCCCCAAGGACTTCAATGTTCAGATCTTCGGCACAGACGATGCGCATCTGAAGCATTTATTTTTCCCGCGACTAGCGACCGCGTGCGAAAGCGCATGCCCGCAGCGGGCATGGATTCACATCTTGACGAAGGCCAGGAGCCGAACGATGTCTCCGAGCAACCCGATCTCCACAAGCCATCAGCCCCAGAGGACGATGGGCGGAGTGAGAGCTCAGAGGGCGAGCGACCACCTCTGCCACCACGGCCAAATACATTGAGTCTATTGAACGATGAAACAGCCTCCCGTGCGACCTTGCAGGCAGAGGCAACGACTGCAATCTCGCGAGCCGAGATCGGGACACATTCACCGGGGAAGGGTGGGAGCCCATATTCAACGTTGACTGCCCGCGGTCTATCCCTGGGTCCTAAAGCCAAGGCCAGCCTCAGCCAGTTGGCGAGTCCCCGAGATAGCGAGGCTGGTGATTCGGCTAGCATTCGAAGCTCGATCCCGAATGCCGACGCTGGGGACGTGGAGGGGCTGTTCTTGGACTTTGCTGCCACGGGGGCTAGCGGCCAAGAAGGCCAGGGCACAGGCTTACTTGAGTTCCCTGAATTTGCAGCCGACGATATAGACGACGACGGTATTTTGAGCGAGTTTGAGTCAGTCGGCGAGCTGAATGAGGATGGCGATAACGAAGGTATGATACCACTATTGCACTGGATATTTTGTATCCTTTACATGATTCTGACACAAGCCAGAATTGCTACTTGAACGATGGAAGGCAAAGCGCAAGCACTATGTGATTCTCTCCGCGGCTGGTAAGCCGATTTGGACGAGGCATGGTGACAGCGGACTGATATCTGGCTATGTCGGAGTTATCCAAACCATCATATCATTCTATGAAGACGCAGACGACCATCTGCGCAGCTTCACAGCCGGCGATACCAGGTTTGTCATTCTGACTCGAGGGTCATTGCATCTAGTTGCAATTAGTCGCATGATGGAAAGCGAAAATCAGCTGCGGCTGCAACTGGAAGCATTGTACATGCAAATCCTATCTACATTGACCCTTCCTTCTCTCACTCATCTCTTCTCGGTGCGACCTTCCACCGATCTATCACGGCCTCTCCAAGGCACGGAATCACTTCTCTCATCTTTGGCAGACAGCTTTACCCGAGGATCTCCATCCACATTGCTCTCAGCTTTGGAATGTCTCAAAATTCGCAAGCAACATCGCCAAAGTATCAGCAATGCACTGCTAAAGACCAAAGCTAGCAATCTGCTTTATGGTCTAGTTGTGGCCGGCGGGCGCCTCGTCAGCGTCATAAGACCCAAGAAGCATTCTTTGCATCCAGGCGACTTACAGCTCTTATTCAACATGGTTTTCGAAGCCGATGGAGTGAAGGCTGGCGGCGGAGAGAACTGGATTCCCGTCTGCTTACCTGGATTCAACAGCAGTGGCTATCTGTATATGTATGTCAGCTTTCTGGATCTCCGTGACGACATTGAGAACAGCGCAGAAATCACGAAAGATGAATCTGTTGCGATCGTTTTCATCAGTCCGGATAAGGAAGCTTTCTATGACATGCAAGAAATGCGCGACGCTTTTGTAGAGGTATGGTTACGTTTCCACCCTAAATTACCCCGGCGCATGGAACTGACATCGTGATAGCAAATGGAGAAGAACGGCAGCCTTAAGGAGATCAAAATTGCAATTGATAATGGCCGTCCTGCAACGACTGATATAGTTCCCGGGACGGTCCTTCATCATTTCTTATATAAATCGCGTGCGAATGTGCAATTCACTATGTCTTCGTACACCCCTGAATTCTCCTCATTAACACGACGACGGAGGTGCGTTAAGCTTTTTCTTTCAAGCATCTTGGAGCCTGCTAACATTTTTCTATCAATAGGTTGATGTCTATGTACAACAACCTACACTCTAGCATACATGCCAAAAACACTCACGTCAAGGTCCATCACTGTGTTTCGCGCTCAGCAAGCTCTTTTGGATGGGTCACGCCAGTGTTCGAACTCTATTGCATTGCAGAGCCAAACACAAACCGAAATGCACTTGCGCAAAGCGCAAGCAAGATTGCTCAGTGGGTACAGCGGGAAGAGGAGAGACTCTTTATTATCGGGGGTGCAGTACGTGTTTCTACATTGATTTCGGTCTCGAAAATAGAGCTAACCATGTTCAACAGGTTTTCTAATCGCACGGTGAATTCATGGATGATATCCGGACCCCCGAAAGATACCTAGGTAACTGTACATACCTTGAATCTTCCAAAAAAAGGTTCTTGTACCCAATAAGATACATATCCTCGCAGTTTCGTACATATACTGGGATCTCAGTCTGGTTTCGTAGTTCTGCATCGTTGCCCCCTCGACAAATACTTTCCAAGGTTGCTCTAGGTTCAATACCGCGGTGGCTAAATGTCATGTATGTATTTCATTCATCGATTCCCTAGGTCCACACTATTCAAACATCGCTTAGTAGATCCAAGGTTTTACCTAGTACATTCTACCGCACCTTCTCAAACAGCAGGCTGCGAGCCTCAAAGGTCATACATGTTAACGATCGCCTTGTCTCCCGCTTCCAATGTCCAGGTGATGATCATAGAAACTCGGATAATCTGGCAACATTGTCGGACTCAGGCTGATCCCTGCCGAGGTCACTGGGAGAAGAACGATGCTGATTTCAACCGCACAACTCTCTATGATACCCTTCTCAATAACCTGAGCGCAGCCATTGGCACAATCAAGCTTGGACTTGAGCTTGACGAGCCCCTTTTAATCAATTGTATCTTCCCGCAGATTAAAAAGCTGACGCATGATCTCGCCAGACTTGCTCCGCAATCCATCGTGGTAGATGTTGTTGGTGATGAACTGCTTTGTGTTCTTGATCTTGGAAGCAGTGGCAGTTGCCAAGTCAAAGTGAACGTACATGTCTTCCATGTAAGTAGCAGCATAGACTGGCACTGTGTTCCTGGCTAACTGAGACTCATCATAGAGAGCAGGCCAATCGTCGATCGTAGCCAGCCTCTGGGCAGCGGTTGAAACTTCCCCGAGTTCCGTGTAGGACTCGAGCATATCTTTGAAAACCTAGTGGTGGTAGACTTGGGTTAGATCGGTTTGATCATGTAGCGAACATGAGTCAGAATATGCTGCTTACCATCTCACCAGTGAAGTAAATGGTTGGAACCGAATCGTTGATTTCGAACTGACGGTCGTTGGCGCGCAGCCTGTCAGCGGACCAGTTCGATGATTGTCTGTATGCAATGTTAGACACGCCTGTGGTGCTCCCAGATCCAAGGCCCGCAAGACGCCTGTGCTCACCCTTGGCAGTAGATTGACTCATGGAGGAGAGCGTAAATGATGTTCTTATCCATACCACCATTGCCATCAATGGTAGAGAGGGTAGGGAGGGTGAGGAAGCCGAAGATATCCAAATCATTGCAAGCCCTCACAACGATGTCTGGTCTCAAGTCAGTATTCCTCCCGGTCTCGGTAGAAGTCGTGATAGTTACCGTGTAGAGAATCCACACCACCTAGGCCATGTTAGATTTCAATCATTCACTAGACCATGGATCTTCTTACCATGGAAACCAAACAAGATGCCCAATTGCTGGAAGCGAGCTGGGGTCAGCAGCCCCGATGGCAGCTTGACCTTGTTTTCCTTGAGGTACCGCATGATTCTCTTCACGCGTTCCACATCCTCGGGATATTTTTCATAATAGGCCTCATTCCTCTGCTTCACCTTTTCTATACGCTGGTCAGCATGAGGCTCCTCGAATGGGAAATCAATGGTAGAATTACCATAGGTCTTCTTATACACGGGGTCCGGGCCACTGGTCAGAGGAGGAAGGCCACCGGTAAGGAAAGCTTCTCTCAAGCCTTCTGGGCTGTTCAGAGAAAAGCGTCAGAAGAAATACAAACCAAATCTTTCATCATCACATGAGTTGAGACATACAATTTGGACAAATAAGTCACTGCGCAGAAGCCGCCAAAGCTTTGCCCGAGGATGCTCCACTTGCGCTGATCCTCCGGGTAATCATTGGTCAAAATCTTTCGAATTGCTTCACAGTCGCGGACGATGTTGTCTGCGCGGAAGTTCTTGAGATACTCCGCCTGCTTACCGCCATCACCCTGCAGGGCAAGTGTAGCAGCCGTAATCGTCGAGCTCAGACCGGTACCTCTCTGGTCGAGAAACAGGACCTGCAAACAATCAGCACACGAACTGGAACCATTTGCAAGACCATACCTGATATCCTTTGCTGAGGATGAAGTCCACCCAGGGGTAAGACTGCGGGGTACCACATCCAAAGCCAGGGCCACCTTGCAAATAGACCAGCCAAGGAAGTTTCCCTCCTTTGCTCTCCTCCGATGGCTCAATAGGCGTGTTTTTGCGAGCAATGCTGCGCGCAAAGAGTCTCAGGGTGTCACCTGCGGGTTTACTGTAGTCCACGGGCACATCAAAGAACAGCTCGGAGACCCGAAGTTTGCCTGGAGGGGGATCAGCGATATTCTGAGAGATGAGACGATAAACAGACCTGCCACATTGTGGAATCGGCGATCGATCAATTTGGCAGTCATGGTTGCGGTGTTGACAAAACTCGGAGGGAGCGCGCTTGATCCCGTCGACCGTACCACTTTCGGCCGTGGACTCCGACACTTTTTGTTTGGACTCTTTCGATTTGGCTTCATCTATATGGTCTGCTCGGATCTACACTGCTTTTACCTCCTTCCAAATTGTTCTTCACTTTTTTTCACACCCACCCAGAAAGACTACAGCCGGGAGTACTATTGTGTCTTGGCCAATAACGAGATAGTATAAATCACCCCCATCTTGACGATCTGGTGTCTTATCTGCAAGCCTGACCTAAACATACTCTCGAAGCGAAGAGATGAACATTCAAAAGTAAATCCTCAATTTGAATACATCGGAGAACGGAAATGAATTTCAAAACGCCTTGTTTACGTGCAGGATAGCCGACAATTCTCGCATCGCTTCATTGTTGTCTTTTGGCTGCAAGTTGCCGACCGGACTTCAGCAGAAGCAGGGTTGCAGGCAGCTGGGCAGCCGCGAAACCAATCATGACTCTCAGCTGTGTCGTGTAGCTGCTAGCGAACACATCTCTTATATGCTCCCGCAAATGGGGAGATAAGTCGTGGGTTAGTTTGACATTCTCAAGGAATAAATGCAGCCTATGAGAGGAGAGAACACCCCCCAAAGACCGGACCAGTTGACCATTCTGGATGTTGGATGCAATGGCAAGACCGATAGCTCCACCGAGGAACCGGAACTGAACAACAGCACCGGTTCCAATTGCTGAGAGTTAAGCGACATGTTAGCGGCTGTCTTCAGTACTTCAAAGCAGTGGGTTGCAACGAATACATACCCAAATCTCGGTCCTCAACGATATATGGGGTCGATAGCACGAGGATACCTAGAGTTAGCCCCATTCCTGCTCCTGCGATGACCTCGTATACAATATCGGTAGCGTGGAATCCCTTTGAAGAGGCAATCGTCGAGAGAAGTCCGACGCCGACGGTGTGGATGATACAGCCAGCCAGCAGAGTATAGATGAACGGAATACGCCATCGGGAGCTGGCGATATTGATCAGACCTGCAGCAACCATGGCTACTGCAGAATATCCAATCAAATAAATACCGGCATCGAACGGCGACTTCCCAAGCAGCAATTCTGCCTGTTGCGGGACATAGACCAAAACAACGTTGAAAGGTGCACCAATGACAAAAGAAGAGCTAACAGTTCGTCAGATTGGCTTCCCCCGACTGTTTAGTTGTACTCACATGAGAATTCCCATCCAAGGCCGATCAAATAGCCATCGTTTGGGAAATATCGGGTCTTTCCCTGGAATCCCTGAGATGTACCACTCCCAGGCAAAGAATGCGATCCACGAGACTCCCATCAGGACTAGCAGCGCAATTGCATTCCTCGATGACCAAGAAAAGGCGAGATTGGTTTCGTTAAAGACAGCAACTAGCAAGAAGGAGCTGGCCATCATCAGGAAAGACCCCACGATGTCGAGATTCGCAAAGGAGCGATAAGATGCTCGTGTTCTGAACGACGGTGTGTGTTGGTCAAGACCGAAGTTGATCGGCATCGCGACAAGAATGATGACTATCGCAATAGCGCATATTGGCGCACTGAATACGGGATTAGTACGAGATCGAGCGCCAGAAGCATGGGACAATCACATACTTGACGAAGAAGGTCCACCGCCATGCGCCGTTCTGTGCAAAAGCGCCCCCGATAATGGGGCCTATCAGTGATGCCAGAATCAGACAGATCGACATGAGGGCGCTGTAGATGGGGAGCTTTGACTTCGGAGCAATCTCATAGACGCATAGTATGGTGAGTGCATATGCACCCGCGCCACCTATTCCTTGAAAAGCGCGACAGACAATACTGTCCGCAGTTAGGGTTGGAGCTAAGAAGAGTTTAAATGGGATCTCACAGCTGGTTTACGGTCTGAGCGCACCCGCATCCGATCGAGAAGGCGAGAAGTATAACCAGAGCCGTGATGGTGGTCGATTTTCTTCCAACTATATCACTCACTTTGGTCCATATTGCCATGGAGCCTGTGTACATTAGACACCTGTCACATTATCGGGGGGTTTGCGAGAGGTGGGACCAGACGTCTGAAAGGACACCACCTTGCACAATCATAGACTCACCTGTGTAAGTTGCTAAGTACCCAGTGACGATCCAGCTCCTCTTCTCGAAGCCCTCCAGGCTATCGGTGATGCTGGTCAGAGCCGAGCTGACAATCGTCACATCCAAATTCGACAGGAAAAAGGCAAGCAAAAGCCTATCGACGATCAGTCATCTCGAACAAGCAAGAAACCCAGTGGTAAGTACCCGATGGTGGTCATTACGAGTCTCCATCCTGTCGGGTAAACGATTTCACTTCCGGGGGACGGTGCTCGTTGTGCGGACCCCTTTTCCTGCGTATTGGACCTGGTTCGTCCGATGTTCGATTTCTTCGAGATCGGCTCGGCGAACTTGATGTGACTAGACATGACTGTCGACCTCAAGTGGCGGAGGTGATGAGAACGTCCATGGCCAGAAAGTTACGAAAGGAACCGTGTAGGACCAAGCCCCGCGTATCTTCACAGGGGCTTCATGTGGAACGCAGGAGACGCACGATGACAGAATGTGGAATATTTACCTGTAGGAAGGTGATCCTCGCCGATCATTGAACCTAGATAGTGGGGACTGAACATATAGCTTGGCCGGTGTTTTGCTTTTTCAGTCTCGGTTTGTCATTCAGATCTGTCTTCCTTCGTTGAATCTATTCTCCCTCGGCATCTGAGTGGTCCATTTGCTCTGTGTTAAGGGGGTTCATTCTTGTGAACCTACAAGGCTGGATTCGCGCGATTTTAAGTCGAATTCCTCCTTGCGGGATACCGTCACCCCTGGCTCCAATAGACACAGCTTCAATTTGTTTCTCATGCGTGTGTTAGTAGTTTGTCTCATGTCATCAAGTAAGGATTGGTCTCTTATCTACCCTGTACTCCATATTGAGTCTGCTGCAGTTGATATAAATCAATGAGACACGACTTGTGTGGCTGCAATACTCCACATACTCTGCAATGTTTTGCAGACTCAACTCAGAACGACATGACCGAGCTGAAACATATGGAATGCCAGGATCGAGACCTTCACGTCGATGCGATTTACAGAGAGATCTGACAGGTACCCCGGACTTGCCGCGTCGACAGGGGCACTTTGACACAACACCACCTCCGTACTTAGTACTGACGACAACCTTTGATGCCCACCATTGACGGAGTACTTAGCTGGACACAACTGCGCACTTTTTATGCCATTGGATTCTTAGAAGTCACAATTGTGGTGACAAAAACATGGCGATGTCAGATCGACAGCCCACTCCACTCTGGCCCATGCAGATCTGGGGATAGGGGCTGACACAAATGGCACCTGCGCACTTGCTATGCGAATTACTGAATGTAACAGAAGTGGCAATTCATCAAATATCAACTCCAATACGGATTGCTTGAGTCCTCGAGGCTGAAGACGTGATATCCACACCCCCTTTAGGGAGGTCCAGCCGAAGCTTATGGCGAGCCTCGCGCAAACCCCGAAGATCCCGGCGACATAAGTTGACTCAATATCCCGAATATCCCAGAACAACCTCGGAGTCCAACAATGAACCATCTGCAAGATCTATGGAAAGTCGCCCAGGGGCCCTGGGAATCCGGGGTCCTTCCCAGCGCCGAGAATTTGGCGCGGGCAAGAGCCTCGCTTCCCGCGACATTGCCGGAGACCGGTTCCAGCCTCGATTCTGTCCAGCGCCACATTCTAGATGATATCGCGCCGGCTTTCAATGGTGGTAGCATCAGCGCAAACTACTACGGCTTCATCACGGGTGGAGCAACGCCGGCTGCGCTTTTCGCCGACAATGTCGTCTCGGCCTATGACCAGAACGTCCAGGTCCATCTGCCGAACCACTCCATTGTCACGGATGTTGAGTATAATGCAATTGGATTGCTTCTGGATCTCTTCCGATTGGATCGCTCATCCTGGTATAATGGAACCTTCACCACTGGAGCCACCGCGAGCAACATCCTCGGCTTGGCCTGCGGACGCGAGTACGTGTTGCAGAAGGCGGCGCAGAGGAAGGGCATTCAGCAACAGAGCGTTGGCGAAGAGGGCTTGTTCGAAGTGCTGAGCGCACTCGGTCTGTCTGGTGTGCAGGTGCTGTCAACGCTACCCCACTCGTCTCTGGTGAAGGCTGCGGGCGTTCTGGGTATTGGTCGATCCAACGTTCGCAGTATTTGTCGAGCCGATGACCCGCTTCGTTTCGACCTGGAGCAGCTGGAGAAGGAGTTGTCAAGAAGCGACAAGGTCAGCATAGTCGCTATTTCCTGTGGCGAGGTCAATACCGGCCGTTTCGCGACAAACGGTTCGGATTTGAGCGACGTTCGCCAGCTGTGCGACAAGTATGGGGCGTGGTTGCATGCCGATGGGGCATTCGGAATCTTCGGCCGAATTCTCGATGATAGCCCGGACTTTGCAGCTGTCAGAAATGGTTCCGATGGCATCGAATTGGTTGACTCGATCACTGGTGACGGTCACAAGCTTCTCAATGTTCCCTACGACTGTGGCTTTTTCTTCACTCGACACCCGGACGTGGCCTCGCAGGTGTTTCAGAATGCAAACGCGGCCTATTTGACTGCTGGCAGCTCCCAGGGACCCTCGATTCCTTCTCCTCTAAATATTGGAATTGAGAATTCCCGTCGTTTCAGGGCGCTCCCGGTGTATGCTTCCCTTTTGTCGTACGGCAAATCCGGATATCAGGAAATGCTTGGCCGCCAGATCAAGCTTGCTCGCAAGATATACGAGTGGTTATTTGATCATCCTGAGTACACCCCACTGCCGCAGGCATCTTCGAAGGCTGAGCTGCTTGATCAGGCATTCATGAGCGTTCTGTTCCGGGCAAATGATGCAGAGTTGAACCAGAACTTGAGTAACAGGATCAACGATAGCTCACGTATGTTTGTCTCCGGTACCAGCTGGGATGGAAACCCTGCCTGCCGTATTGCTATCTCCAATTGGCGGGTTGACGTCGAGCGGGATTTTGCGCTGGTAATCGATGTGCTGGCTAAGAGCGCCGAGAAGCTCTAAGGTCTATAAGGTTTTATATTGGTGAGTTCTTTTGTATATAATAGTGATACGAGGATACGAAGATTGAACAGTCTTAGAATTGGAAATATGAAATTTTGATGGTATCAACGACGGCGGCCAGCTCCTCCCATGTTCTCGGTCCGGTCAGCCATACTGACGACCTCACCGATACCCGCAGCCTCCTGCTCATCTTCCAGAGCCATGATCTCCTCACGGCTATCCCACCATCTCTCTTCGGCAACGGAGAATGCAGCCTTGCGAAGTTCTTTGACCGTCTTCTCGGTGGCATTGTCTCTTTCCCGAGCAATATCCATCATGATGTTCTGCCAGTCTTCAGATGTGCGACTAAAGAACTCGCGCAGACTTTCAAATGGTCGCGGAAGAGGTCGACTGTCATTGACGTTCTGCTCTTCTGACTCCTCCACCTCGAGTTGTTCCATTTCCTTGGTGACAGATGGCACGGTTGTGTCTGCAGGAGCTGGCGAAGCGGCATCAACAGACATAGCCTCTGCATCAGCCTCGTCCTCTTCCTCGTCCATCTCCTCGTCATCCTCGTCATCCATTTCTTCGTCGCTGTCATCAGTCTCCTTGAGAAGGTTCCAGTTCTCGGGCTCGCGGTAGAAGATCTCTTTGACGCCGTCCATCTTGACAAGATCGATGGAGTACATGTCATCAAAGGTGAACTCACGATCACCCTTTTCAAAAGTACCACCAAAGATGAAAAGTGTATCATCTTGGACCGCAAGCTGAGCATTGAAACGCCGGTGAGGCATCTCAAAGCGAACGACAGAGGGCTTCTCGGGCTCAGCCGGCTCCTCAGGCTGAGGTGTGCTCTGCATTTCCTCATCATCGTCATCGTCACGAATGCCAACCTTGGCCTCCAAAGCCTTGAGGTTAGCCAAAAGCTCCTCCTCATCCGCCTTTCCTCTATTCTTGCCCTTGGCATTCTGGTTTGCCTGCTGCTTCTTTCCAGGCGCGCGAGGGCGTCGCAGAGTCAAGGGGAAGAATCTGTTTCTGTCGGTATTCCACGCAAATAGCGTGTCAAAGAACTCGCTCTCGATACCTTCCTCGGTCAACTCCACGTCATGGACACCACCGAACATGATACCACGACCCTTGTGGTATGCCATAGTCGTGCCCACTCGCGGGGGATTGGGTGTGTTGGCAGGCTTCTTTCGGCGCTCCCATCGAACTGCGGGTCCAGCTGAAGATGGAGCTTCGGGCGCTGGAGGCGTGATTCTCAAGAACCAAGTATCCTGGTGGACCATGGGTCGCAGGGCCATCTTTTGGGGTCCACCCTTGCCCTGCTTGCCGCCACCACCGGCGCTGGCTTTGACTCGAGAGTAACCGCCGTAAATCACAGCGCCAGTCTCATGGGGTAGGAATGAAAATGATGAGCGGGGGTCAGGCTTCTGAGAAGAGAGAGATGGTGTGGGGTTGGACCAGGTGTACTGGTTGCAATCGTAGATCCACAGATCTTGCAGATACTTGGTCTGCTGGGAAGTATCCTGGAATCCACCGAACAGGATGATGTAGTTCTGCATTTCTGTTAGCATGCAATCATCAAAGGTGAGGTCAGGCCACTGACCTTGTAGTAGGTCATACGGTGACCACTGCGCGCGGGTGGTCCTTTGCCCTTGGTCTCGAGTCGAGTCCATTCTCTTGTAGCGGTGTCTAAGTGCCAGAAGTCATTGTAGTGGTAGAAAGTACCCTGCTTTGGCGAAGAGAACTCTCCTGTTTATCATCAGTATACGTGTCATGGGCATCTGAATACCTCCCACGACTTTCAAATCTTACCTCCAAACATATAGATGCCTCCGGTGTTTCCTCCACGACACCAAGCGTGTCCACTTCGAGGAAGCGGGCTGTTGGGACTCGTCACCTCTCTCCATTCACCACGGTCAATCAGGTAGACGAAGAGATTGTTGAAGAAAGTCGCATGCGTTCCGTCGAAGTACTCTCCGCCATAGAGCAACAGTTCATTTCGATTGGAAGGAGACGCCAGCACAGTGGCCGACGATCGTGGAACTGGGGGCTCCGAGGTCACTTCCGTGACCTTCAAGAACTTGGCTTGTTCTTCGGCGTACTGGGCCAAGATGGCATCCAGGTCCGCATCTTCGACGTCACTGTCTGCGTCCTTGCCCTTGGCTTTCGATCGCTTTTCCTTTTTATCGGACTTCTTTGTCTGCTTGGCAGCCACACGCTCCTTGTGCTCGGCCGTCTTCTTGCCTTTTTTTCCCATTTTGGCGTAATTGTCTGGGATGTGAATTTTGCTGTTCGTGGGGCAGAATTTATGTTTCCCCACACGCCCCTCCAGATCTACAGTGTGAAGGTGTCTCAACGATACATTTCCACCGCAGATATCAACTATAGATCAACGTGTATGCTACATTTCGAATGCAATTTGAATACAAATTCCCTAGGATCTGCAAGGAAATCAGTTATGACCACAACGCCGAAATCGCCAATTGATTTCAGTCGCGACTGACCGCTCACGTGCCGACGCGTCCGATATTAGCGCGATTGACCTGGTTGTTCCCCAAACAACGACGGCCATGAGAGCAGCACGCCCCCATGACGAAGAATAACTTGGCTGTTCATCTCAAATGGCTGAAAACCCAAGGGAAGCCCACGTACCCTCAACTGGCGCAATCTAGCCCGCGACGCGACAATCACGCCCCGCAACACCCTCCCGTCGAGCCCGTTTCGACCCTGCACGATATCCCGGAAGACGTGGAGAATGAGACGGATGAAGAGATGGCACGATTGCTCTTTGCGCCTCAATCGGCGAGCAAGCCTCGGATGTTGAGTCGGCCTGATGTCGTCCCCGCCGGTACACCATCGACCTTGAGGAAACAAAGCGCGTCAACACAGTCTAGCGTGATACGAGGTATGCGACTGATATGTACCGGGGATTGTATCACGAATGCGACTGACATCAAGCGCTTGCTGAACAGATTCATTTCGCGACACAGCGTCATCGTCTAAGCCCACCAAACCAAAATCAACACCGTTACGAACAGACAAACCCAAGCCTCCTGCGTACGATGACATTGAATCGATTGACTTGACAGGCGGTCTTGATCGGTCTCTGTTGTCTTCTGGATCTATCCAAGCTGGCGGGCCACGCGGTCCGTGGCCAGACCAGAGCACGCCGTGTGAAGCGATCAAAGAGAAGCGCGGCAAAAAACGCAAAAGTGATGAATATACGTCTGATCTACTTTCGCCTTCGAAACATGCGACTAAAGTGCGAACCCTACCCGGGGCATCCAGGGCTCTGGTGATGGAGAATAAGGCGTCGAACGAGCTGGCAACGCCACATCAGACAAGCCAGATGAACGCCCAAAGCGTTATGAAACGACCCGGACACAGTCCATACGCGCATGGAAGCGATCGCAAACAAGTCATCGCCGACTCCGACGATGATGAGAGCATTTTTGATGACTGGATAGACAATGACGACCAAGATAACGTGATGTTGGATGTCGAGGAAAGCCTATACCCAATACTGCCTGAAATGAGTCCAGCGAGTGATGAGAAAACCGAGAACAAACCCGACACCAAGCCGCCGCGGATTGAAAGTTTTACGCCCAAAGCGCCTCTGCCATCTGCGCAACCATCGACTCAGATCAAAGGGAGGGTGGATGCACAAGATTCAATTCCATCAACCCCATGGTCGAAACCATCGGGATCACAGGAAAAGGATCCGGCCGTCATGGAATTCTTGGGCCTTGGGAACAAGGCATTTGGGCACTCAATCGCCAAATTGAGGGCGACTTTGGAGAAGAATGCCGAAATCGTTTACCAACAGGCAATGGAGGGTCAGCCTGTCCCCGAATTGATTGCCGCAAACAAGAACCTGGTCTCTCAGATTGAGGCAGTCAACTTGTTGCAAAAGCAGCAAAAAGCCCATGTTGACTGCCTTTCACGCAAGCAAAAGCTCAAGCAGAACCTGATGCGTGTGATCTCACAAGGTCTCGATCCGACAAGTATGCCAGAGCTTGCACAGAGTCGAGCCGTTGAGATGGAATTGGAGCAAATCGAACAAAACATCTCCAAGCTCCTTTGTAAGGTTAACATTCTCGAGCTCGCTCATGACTGCCCCGCCGAGTCTCGTCCCATAGAGCGTACAGAGCCAACTGTCTCAAAAAACCCCTTCACTCGCGAAACGATCCCCGCCTCATCTTCCCGAACAAATATCAAAACTGAGAAGGATCATTCTCAACGCTCGGCTTTCATCAGCCCCCCAAAGACGAAACAACCAAGTCAGTGGAATGGCAGCGCAAACCACGTCGCCCGAAATATGGGCTCTCCGCAGCTCAATTCGATGGATATCGACGAGTTTGACTGGAATGATAGCGATGACGAAATACTCGAAGCAGCCGGGAGCTTCAGTGGTGCTGATCAATTACCCATCCGTGACACAAGTAGCCAAGCCCGCAAAGTATTCGCAGAAACTTCCGGAAACACTCAGAAGGCGCCTGTCCCCAAGAAGTCGCCTGCTCACAGCGCCTTCTGGTCGAATCACCCATGGTCTCAAGAAGTCCGAAAGGTCCTGAAAGATCGATTCCATCTCCGTGGGTTCCGACCCAATCAGCTGGAGGCCATTGATGCAACCCTTGCTGGTAAAGACACATTCATTCTCATGCCTACCGGCGGAGGAAAGTCTTTGTGCTATCAATTACCTTCCATCGTCACTACTGGGCGAACTCGAGGAATCACAATCGTGATATCTCCATTGTTGAGTTTGATGGAGGATCAGGTCATGCATTTGCGAAAATTGAAGGTCAAGGCCTTTGTAATCAATGGTGAAACCGACAGACAGGAAAAATCGTGGATCATGAGCCAGCTCTCACGTCCAGAAGCAGAGGCCCTAGAGGTGCTTTACATCACACCCGAGATGATCAACAAGAATCAAACATTGGTCCGAGCTCTTGAGAACCTCAATGACAAGAACAGATTAGCCCGTCTCGTTATCGATGAAGCACATTGCGTCAGCCAATGGGGCCACGACTTTCGACCGGACTACAAAGAGCTTGGAGAAATCCGAAGCCGGCTCCCCGGAGTACCGCTTATGGCTCTGACGGCTACTGCCACAGAGAATGTCAAGGTCGATGTCATGCACAATTTGAAAATGGAGGGATGTGAGGTGTTCTTGCAGAGTTTCAATCGCCCAAATCTTACGTACGAGGTACGGACGAAAGGGAAGAATGATGAAGTCTTGGCCAGCATGGCGGAGACCATTAAGCAATCCTACCGAAACCAATGTGGAATTATCTACTGCCTCTCCCGCAAGACATGTGAGAATGTTGCACAGGCCCTGCGAGGAAAGCATCACCTCAGCGCAGAACATTACCATGCCGCCATGAAAACAGAAGAGAAGTCGAACGTGCAGAGCAAATGGCAGGCGGGCGAAGTGCATATTATTGTTGCCACTATTGCTTTTGGTATGGGAATTGACAAGCCAGATGTCCGGTTTGTGATGCATCACAGCATCCCAAAGAGTCTCGAAGGATACTATCAAGAGACTGGTCGTGCTGGACGAGATGGAAAGCGCTCCGGTTGTTATCTTTACTACAGTTACAGAGACACCTCAACTCTGAAGCGCATGATAGACAAGGGCGACGGCAATGGCCAGCAAAAAGCTCGTCAAAAGCAGATGTTACGGAATGTTGTCCAGTTTTGTGAGAACCGCAGCGATTGCAGACGTGTGCAAGTTCTCGCTTACTTCGCCGAGTACTTCCGCCGAGACGATTGCAACAACACCTGCGATAACTGCAAGTCTGACTTGGTTTTCGAAATACATGACTTCACTGAACAGGCATCCTGGGCCATCAAGATCGTGCGATATTTCCAGAAGGCAGCCGTGAAAGTGACCGTTGTCTATTGCACCGAGATACTCCGTGGAGACTGCAAACGCCCCAAAGACCCATCACATCGCCAAATTCCAGGTTACGGGAAAGGCGCTGATCTCGAACGTGGAGAAGCCGAACGTCTTTTCTACAGACTTTTGGGCGAAGATGCCTTGGCCGAAGACAATGTGGTCAACAACGGCAATTTTGCCATTTCATATATCATTCTCGGTCGTCGTGCAGCAGAGTACGAGAGTGGCCAGCGGCAAATGAAACTCGAGGTGCGCGCATCGCCGAACAGCAAGGCCAAGCGCCAGACCAAGAGCAAAACCTCGACTGCAGCGAAGAAAGGAAACTCTGGTTCTTCGGGGTATCCCCAGTCGACCATGGTCTCGTCCCCTGTTCAATCAGCCCAAGATCGCCGTCTCGAACGCTTCCAGTACGCCGAAGCCTCGGGGCAACAGTTCTCGGATGATGAGAGCGACGGGTTTGAGCCAATTCGGGTTACCGGAAAGCCTCGGCGAAACAACACGCATGAGATGGGCCCCCCAATCACCAGCGACCAGAGGTTGGATCGACTCAACCATATGCATCGGGTGGTTGTAGAAGATTTCCAGGAGCATGCCAAGATCATGCTTCAAGATCTCGTTGTCAAGAAAGGCCTTCGTTGCCAGCCTTTCTCTGATCACTCACTCCGTGAGATGGCCATATCTTTCCCCAAGAGTCTTACTGAATTGGCTATGATTCCTGACATTGACCAAGACAAGGTCAAACGGTATGGCCGGCAAATCCTGGAACTCGTTGGCAATGCAAAGCGGCGCTACGAGGAAATGACGCAGGAAGCAGAGACGAACGGAGTCGTTGCGGATCCCAACCACCATAATGTCATCAACTTGAGCAGCAGCGACGAGTACAGCGACGATGATCTATTCATGGACGAGGGTACATTCAATTTCGACAACCCCATTCAACAACCACCGCCCAGCAACACGGCAGAGAGCATCACAAGTCGTTACTTCCCTCCGCCGGCTTCACCGGGTTATGACACGGGTGACGACTTTGACTCCGGGCCTGCGGCTTCGGGCCCCAAGGGCCGCAAACGTGCACCTGCCAAACGCGCACCGCGACGAAAGTCTGGCTCCACTAGTACCTGGAAGGGCAAGGGCTCGCGGCCCAAGGCCAAGTCAGATCGACCAGCAAGCCAATCCGCACCTCGAAGGAGTGCCAAAAGCAAGACTCCCAAGTCTACGATCGGAATGATGCCCCTTTGAAATTTTGTGACCTTTTCTTTTCTTTGCTTTTCTTTTCTGTTGACATATCATGATTGATTCGGCGTTTGCACAAGAAGCATTCCTAGGTGTTGTTGGTTTTGATATGGTCCACACGGCTTCATGGCGTGGAATTCAGGCTAGGTCTCATACTTGGCATGATCACATAACTAGAATTAGGATATAAATGATACCAATAATATCTAACACTTTGTCACGAAAGAATGAGCAATCAGGCCCCCCTGCTTCAATTTCCAAGCGAGCGACCGAAATCAATCAAACGGAGTCGTCGTGCATCGCGAGGGTGGAACTGAGCGACCTTGGCTCTCACTAGGAACCTCGATGAAGCTGAATCACGCTCAAGGTCGATGTAAGAAGATCCACCCTCCAACATGGCATCAAGCAGGGCATGCATCTCTTTCGCCGCAGCCTCCCTTTTATTTGCAGGGGCTTCATCCGCATTGCGTTGCAGGAATTGATCGATGCGTTGCTGCGATCCACCTTCCTCTTCAACAGGCTCCTTTTGCTTCTTAGGCTTGCCATGTGCAGTATAACCGGCTTTAAGTGTAGCATCAGACACCTCGAATTCATCGCCAACAGTCGGGCCGCCCAGGTCCTCAGCAGCGAGCATGGGCGCAAGAGTATCATCTATAAACTTGTCCAGCGACACCTTGAGTTTTGCAGAGGTGCGATCCAGCTCTTTATTCTGCTTCTTTTGCTGCGCGACATGTTCACGCGCTATCTGTTCTGGAGTCTGTTCTTCCTTTCTCGAGCTTTCATCGCGGATTCGCTGAATCCGCTCTCGAAGCCCGCTTGCGATTGATTGGGAGTCGTGGAGATTAGCTTCTTCGACTCGAAGGCGCTCTCGGTCCACAGAGAGCTGCTCAGCGGTCAATTTCACTGACACCTTGGTTTCTTGGACTAGATTTGAAGTTTCTTGAAGAGCTAAGAGCGAAGGCAGGACGGAGTTTGTTGACGGAAGCTCGTCATCGGACTTCATGAGTGAGTCGTATGCTTTCTTGGCCCGTCGGGCTTGAGAAATGCGAGCCCAGGGATCATTGCTTGTTCCCGAGAGATCGTTAGAGTGCAGCTCTCGTAGCTGGGGAGTCAGGTTAGCATAAAGTAAGCTATATCCAGGTGATTTGGCGCACCTTGTTTAATTCCTCCTGTTGGCGTTTAATTTGCTCCTGGAATCCTTGCAATGTTGCATCTAGCCGGCGCGTATAGACATGCAAGGCTGTCCCACTGAGAGGCTCTTTTGCCCCCTCACGTTCTGCTTCGTGACGGTTTTCTGCGAATTTCTGGATTCTCTCCACGGTCTCGTCGGAGACATCCATGTTTGTGGCCTTGTTTTTGTAGGGGCGCAAACTATGCACAGCCTAATCCCAGATGAGACACAATTTGAGTCAGAAATCAATTCCAATTCAGACCTGTCGAATGTTTGCCAAGTACGGTGTACAAAGTCGAGACAATCAGAAAGGCGATACATCCATGGATCACACCCCGACGTCATGTGACCCAGCTCACTCGACCTCCCATCTTCTCCATCATCTCTCCTTTCTCCCCGAAATACCCCATTCCATCGTCGCCAACCTAATTCTCACTTGGACCTCTGATCTCTTCAGTTCCTCACTTCTGAAGCTCATCAATTCGCCGATTGAGAGTTTTCTCCACGTCTTCCCCGACCTCAGATTGGACGTTATCGGAGGCACAGCGTGGTACAGCAGGCAACGGTTTCTAGCGCTTGATAACTTTCTTGCCTGATTTCCTATTTCCCATCGCATCTACTCAAGGACCCTGTATTCTTTTCCCGCGTCGTCCACTTCGAGCATCTCGGCAACCCGTGAAGCTTCCCCGGTCGTGACTCCCTCTCACAGCACTTCAAACCTCCACTTCCTCCCGTCCTGCGTCGGCACTTCCTCACCACTTTTCCTTCCAGCCTATCCAACCCTCTCAAAAGCACCAGTCTCCCCCTTTCGATCGTCAGCACCAGCACCTATCGTGGGATACCCTGGTGTACATAGTCGATCATAAGAGAAAGCAGATTTCCATCTTGACACTTTTCGATCTTTCACTCGTAAGTGAAGAAAAAAAAAAAAAGGAAGACAAAAGACAGCAGCGCAGATAATTCACGATGTCTGCTTCCCCATCCAACCTTCAATCGGCCAAGCGTCCCCTCGAGGACCCATCCTCCCCTTCCGGCCCCAATGACCAGCCCGAGGCCAAACGCCCGGCACTGGACAAAGTAGTCAAGAGCGATGACGCCGAGGCCGAGGCAGATGTCTCCAGTGAGAAGGTCCCGACTACTGATGGCGCCAAGGACACCCAAGGAGATACTGTGGTCCCTGATGCTCCCAATGGCAAGGGTGCCCCTGCCGAACCCCAACCGATCCAATCAACAGCTTCCCAGGCTGACCGGACGGCTTCTGACCAGCCCCCCGTGGATGAGTCAAGCTGGGTCCACATCCGTGCCGTCATCTCCAGCCAGGAAGCTGCCACTGTCATCGGAAAGGGAGGTGAGAACGTGTCTCAGATCCGTCAGCTGTCAGGTGCCAAGTGCACCGTCAGTGACTATTCCCGAGGTGCCATTGAGCGTATCCTGACCGTGAGCGGTCCTCAGGATGCTGCTGCCAAGGTGAGTTCTCTCAACAGTGAATGGTTCATCAAGATGGTTCGCATGCTAATATTGAATCCCAGGCATTTGGCCTCATCATTCGTACCCTTAACAATGAGCCTCTTGAGGCTGCCTCTACTGCCCAATCCAAGACATACCCCCTCCGCTTGCTAATCCCTCACATTCTGATTGGCTCCATCATTGGAAAGGGTGGCAGCCGCATCCGTGAGATCCAGGAAGCCTCTGGCGCTCGTCTGAACGCCTCTGATGCCTGCCTTCCTCTTTCGACCGAACGCTCACTCGTCATTCTCGGCGTCGCAGATGCCGTGCACATCGCAACCTACTATGTTGCCTCCACATTGGTCGAACAGTTGACCGAGCGTTTCGGCGGTCCCGCCGCTTCGGCCTATGCCACTCGCAGCGGCGGTCCTGCTGGCGCTGTCCCCGGGGGCATGCAGGTTGTTCCCTATGTTCCCCAGCCCGCTGGCGGCCAGTACGGCCACCCCGAAACCTTCAAGCGTCACCACCCCCACCCCAACCGCGCCGGTGGCGGTGCTTACGGGGTCCCCTATCTTCACGGCCAACCTGCCCCCGCCCCAATTCCCCAAACCCCCATGCACTTTGCACCTGCGCCTCAAGCCCCCTATGGCGGCACCGGACCCCACCAGCCCGCTCCCTTTGTGGGCGGTCCTCAACAGCCCACTCCTGGACGGGGCCCCCCGGCTGCCCCTGCACCCGTGGCCGGCGCCGGCGCCATGCCTGGCCAGCCACTAACCCAGCAGATTTTCATTCCTAACGACATGGTCGGTGCCATCATCGGAAAGGGTGGTGCAAAGATCAACGAAATACGCCACCTGAGCGGCAGCGTCATCAAGATTAACGAGCCCCAGGAGAGCAGCAATGAGCGTCTTGTCACCATCACTGGCACGGCCGAATGCAACCAGATGGCACTCTACATGCTCTATTCACGACTTGGTTCGTACCTCCCTCCATCCTCCAGCTCTACAAGCTCTAACCGATTCATACAGAAAGCGAAAAGCACCGGATCTAAGCACAGCTGCCAGACCTACTCCCGACCTACAGGTCTCAAGTCTGCTGCATTCGCTCAAAAGTCCACGGTGGTTTATGAAGTCTCTTTTTCCTTTGCTTTCAATCTCCTAGGTGTCTCTTTCCTACTTTTCTCGTTGTATCTTATTCGAGGGCGTGTGATTTCGTTTTCTGCCTTCCTAATAACAATTCCCACAATTTTCCCTTGAACCAAGTAGCCCTTTCTCCTTGCCATCTCGTCTAATCCTCACCAATATTCCATACTCTCAGCGACAATACACAACCCCCGCAGCCTTAATCATCCCTCTCCCCTTCTTGGCAACCGCCTAAATCTTCTGAAAACTGACATGTTTCATCTCCAGCCCTGGAATAGGTGCCAACATCTTCTCCCGGAGGGGTCCAATCCCCTCGACAAATTTCTCGGTCTCTTTAGCCTTCAGGTGCGCATCCACGCTATCCCAACCAACAGCCATGAAATGCACCGTGGCCTTGCCACTCGGGCTGAGCGCATGGTCCAACTTACAAGGCCGGTCCAACTGTCCCATCGCCCATGACCGCGGGCCCGCCATCTGCGGCACTTGCTCCATCAGAGCAGTGCGGAAGCTAATGAGATTCGCATTTATCTGCTTTGCTTCGAGCACGGAAAGCGTGCTCGCATAGGGAAGCGCGCACAGCTCCGTCACTGGGTTTTGGGTGAGGGTTGCTGTCGCGGAGATGGGTGGACTGAGCGTGACGTAGACCGAGGTTGGCTGCTGCGCGTTGTCTTCGGCGAGAAATGGATCGAGCATGTTCTGGTCAGTTGAACTGCGTGCATCGCTCCAGTCCGTTTGATTCGTTAGCTCTCGTCTCACCAGATACTTTGGTGCTCGTGCACGGGGGAACCAGGCGACTTGGTGAGCTGTACAGTAGGGGCACGACTCACCCATTACCCAGACGATCAGGTCCTGGTCTTCGGATGTACGACCCCAGGCGGAGTCCTGGTGGCCACTTTGGTGTTTGGTCGTGCGGAAGACGTTCAGTAGAGCCTCGCCTTCCTCGCTGGACGGATCCTCGGGTCTGACAGAAGGCTTGACGCGGAAGAAGATGAACTGACATATGGATTGAGACATGCTGGATGATGATTAGTGTCCAGTCAACTGGACTCAGCACCGCTGAGCTGATCGAGGTCAAAGGGTGATGTCACTGTCATGTCAGCGGTCCCAATTGGGAACTATACGCTTTGTCGACACTTTCGACACTCGGAACAAGATGCAGTGAGCCAATGGACTTGTTTTGATCATTGTCTGCAACAGAGACACAATGCCCTTTGGCCGAATAAAGAAACACTCAAGAAAGATGATGATTTCCCGCTTTGATCAACACATGTAGGCCTTGGACGGCACAAAGGCAATGAAGTACACAAAGAACCATTGTATCTCCCAGCAGACCGACTATATATGAGTCCTGGAGAACACACATAGCCTCGAAAGTATCAACATTCGCAAACAGAAATAACACAGACTAAACCAACACAACAGCTTTAACCAAATCACAGCAATGGCAAACACCCAGTTGAGCGTATTCATGGAGGGTCCCCGGACTCTACCAGACCCTCTCGACCACGAACCAGTCTGCTGGGTTACGGTAAGATTCCATTCCAAAATGGCCGAGACTCACTGGGACGAGGACCTTATGAAGTTTGTTATCGCGGTCCTTCAGAACGGAGGTGGTGAGATCGGCTATGCATCGAGACATGGCCTGTCCTGCAAGTGCATCTCGTTACCTATAACGGGGGTCCCGGCCTGTGACCAGGTTGGAGTGAGGAAAGCGGCCGAACGAATCGCCGAAGGATGGCATATGCGAATCCTTGACAAGACGGTCCGTCTTGACCGGGAGCGGATCTTCTTCCAGCGGGGTGGTAAGCCGACGTCGCCGCCTGAGGTGGTGGGTGATAACGGGTCTGTTCTGAGCCCGAAGACTAGATCATACTAAACAGCAGAGTACAGCTACTAGTAGGTAGTTCAATCGAGTATATTGACATCGTGCCGAGATTCTTTCAAGTAGAAATTGATGCTCAAATGTAGATCAAATAGAAATATGTTAAAAATCCATCTAGCTAAAGATTGTAAAAAAAGACATGCATTTCATAGCTCAATTCGCGCTGGAAGAACACGCTACGCGCATGCTAGAAGACTCCCCGGCCATATTAAGACCATCCAGATACCAATACACGCCAATGCCAAGAGACATCCCCCAAGTCTGGATGGGCAATCCCCGCCAATAAAGCAAATTTCAAAGATTGCGACTACCAATCAACACCGCGCACCTTCACCTGCTTGTCTTCGAATGCTTTCTTCAGGTTGACATTCAAGTGTTCGCGGCGGGTTTGCTTGGCCTTGTAAACAGTCCTATCTTCCTCGGGGAAGTCAGGCTCACCGGGACCCTCCACGCTGCGGAGACGGCTCTTCCGAACCGAGCCATTGATGCTGGCGCGGAAGTTGATACCGCGAGAGGCAGACTCAGGAGTGTGGTAGGAGCTGCCATCGATAGATCCACGCGACCCAGGGGTCATGGGGATGCGGCCAGCAGCACCCTTGCGAGGAGTATTGAATGGGGAACCTTCGCGGCTGGAGGAGCCAGCTGCTGATACGTCCACGCCCAGTCTGCGCATCTGAGATTCAAGGACATCGATGTCTGTCCGCTTGCCTTCAACCATGCTCATCATGGTGGCGATGGTCTTGGTGACAGCCTCGACGGTGGGTCGGTTGCGAGCTGCGCCCTTCACCTGGGACATGTCGGCGAGTTTGGCGCGTAGGAGGGAGACTGCCTGTTCGAGATCGACGGTGTGAGCTTGCAAATTGGTGAAGGTTGTGCGCAGGTCGTGTTGGAGAGCGCCTTGTTCGGCGGAGAGGGGTGCCTCGAGGATGGCAACACGGTCTGTGTGCGCGTCGAGAATCTTGCGGATGCTTGCGAACTGGGAAAGGAGGGCCACGATCTGCTTGGTGAGCAGGTCACGGCAAGCATTGAGCTTCTCGTCCACTCCTTGCACACGTTGATCATTCAACGACTTTTCAACGGACTTAATCATTTCCTCGAATTTCTCGATGTCCTTCAAGGCCATCTTGGTATCAAGGATGTCGGCGGGCTGATCGCCATTGAGAACCATGACCCAGTCGTCGATATTAGATTCTTGCTTGGGCTGTTGGTGTAGAAGGAATCCAGCCAGTGATCTGGCGTTGATTCCCAAGGTGTCGACCATGGAATTAATGTCACGATAGAGTCGCTCAACCTGTCCTGCAATCCCTGGCTTCGCGGTCTCGCCCATGTAATTTTGGTGAGGCAAGAATGGATCTAGTGTATCCACAGGCTCAACAGGCTTAGCCAATTCATCACGAAGTCTGTCATCGTCATCGTCATCAGACAACGACAAGACATCATCTTCCCGTGCCTGGGCCGCGGCCGCGGCATGAGCGCGCTCCTGTGCTTCTTGCTGCTGACGAGCAACGTCACTGGCCTTTCGCAGGTGGCCATCACGCTCCGCAAGCTGGGTGAGCGATGCCTTGCGCGAGTGCAAGGCGCTTCCAGATTCTTTGCGAGCGTGAGGCTCTGGGGAAAAGAGAACGTTCTTCTTTGAAGCGCCGTGGCGGACAGGGCTTGGTGATCGATAAGGCTCACGGTTGCTTTGAGCGATAGGGCCAGGGGGAGGAAGCAGCGGTTGTTTGGGAATCTCCCCAAACAGCTGTCGCGGAAGACGACCTTTATCTTCAGCAGGCTTGGAAGGGCCACTGAAGAATCCTCCAGTGGAGCTTTTGTCGGAAAGTCCTCCAAACGAACTTTCTGCCGATTGCTTGGGCTTTCCAGTCGTTGCTTCATCGTGGGTGATTTCTTCTCCGCTATCGTTGAAGTCCGATTCATCTCCGGCCTCGGATTCTAACTCGGAACCACCAGAGTCAGATTCGTCTGGAATGGGAACTGCCTCTTCAGTAGGCTTGGATTTTGGCTTCGCAGTGAAGTCGGGAGGCAATGGCGCATCCTCTGGAACAGCCGGAGGGTCTGATTTCTTGGGCTTTGATAGGAAATCCGGAGGAAGAGGAGCATCATCTGTCTCCGGCGCGGGCTTCTTCTTGGTGATGAAATCGGGAGGTAGAGGGGCATCATCAACCTTGGGTGTGGATTTGCTCTTTGGGAGGAAATCAGGTGGTAGAGGGGCATCGTTCTCGGGCTTAGGTGCAGACTTGCTTGGTTTGGTGAAATCTGGAGGCAGTGGAGCATCTTCGGCAGAGCTTTTTGAGACATTAGAAGAGGCGGATGTGTCTCCAGCCGCATAGCTTGCCCGACTAGTAGAGTCTGGAGGCAAAGGAGTTTCCACGTCGATGCCAGAGGCGGATTGGTCTTTCTTAGGTGTCTCCGTCTTATCAGAAGGAGGTGACAATGGACTGGTCATTCGGTTTTGATCCGCATTGCCAAACATCGAGAACGAGGATTTCTTCTCGGTCGAGGATTGCGTCTTCGAGCTGAACATGGATGTAGGGGTTTGCGAGTCTGGTTTCTTGGCCCCGCCGAATATTGAGAATGTGCTCTTGTCCACGGGTGGCACGTCGTCGGTGTCATCCATCGACTCACTTGGAGACTCACTTCCCTTGCGTGGTGTTGACACCATGTCATCAAAGGAGCTTCCAAACGAGAAAGCACCCGCTGAGGATTTGTCCGTCTTCTTGTCCTCGTTAGAAGCCGAACCATCGCCCTTGAAGCTTGACTTAAGTTGGAAGCCGCCTGACGAGGAAGGGAACGGGTTATTTGGTTCATCGCGACGCGCGGGAGGTGAAAAGAACGTTTGGGGCTTGTGACCAGGCGGTGGCCCGAAAGTATCTCCACCGGATGGTTTGCCGAATGGCGACTGTCCCGTGGCTGGCTTTGCGGCAAATGGCAAATCTCCCGTTGCTGGCTTTGCGGCAAATGGTGATGCTGCTGCTGGCTTGGCAGCAAATGGTGATTCCCCTGTTGCGGGCTTGGCGCCGAATGGTGATGCTGCTGCTGACTTGGCAGCAAATGGTGATTCCCCTGTTGCGGGCTTGGCGCCGAATGGTGATGCTGCTGCTGCTGGCTTAGCAGCAAATGGTGATTCCCCTGTTGCGGGCTTGGCGCCGAATGGCGAATCTCCCGTCGCTGGTTTGGCACCGAAAGGCGACTCGCCCGCAGGCTTCGCCCCAAACGGCGATGCGCCAGGCTTGGCAGATGCGAAGCTACTGAACCCTCCTCCGCCCGAGAACGAGCTGAAGCCACCCCCATTGGCTGGTTTACCACTGGCACCGAAGGCGTTCCCCGAGGCACTAGGTTGCCCGAAGCTGGGCTTCCCGAACTGTGCTCCTGGGGTACTTGGGGTTCCAAAAGTTGTAGCCCCGGATCCCAGCTGGGAAGACGCTCCAAATGCGGGTCCTGGGGTGGAGGGTTTTCCAAAAGGTGAGTTTCCACCAAGTGGAGAGGGGCTGCCAAATCCTGGGGTGCTCTGTTGTGCAAATGCAGGTTGAGCTAAGCTCGTGGGCGCATTTCCGTTGACAGAGGCTCCTGCTGGCTTTCCAAAGGTAGATTGCCCAAAGGCTGGAGCTGCAGCCACGGCCGGAGCCGGAGTCTGAGCTGGAGCCTGGGCCGGAGCCTTGGGTGTCTGGCCAGATGAGACCAGGCCGGAGTATGGAACATTTTGGCGAATGGATTCCGCATAGATGAACCACCAAGATGAGAGGATACCCTCGTTGTTCAAAAGCAAGATACCGGGGAGAGGTGTTGAGCTCTCCATAATGTCGGTTCCAGGGAGGGGCGCAATGACGTTCTTTGTGGCTGACAGGTTAGGTGCCAAACCAATGACTGATGTCTCATCCCCAGATTCCTTTAGTGGGATACTAGCTCGCTTGGTATCATCGTTTACTTCTGTAGTCATGAACTGTCCGACGTGAAGCTTGGCTCTTTCATCATTCGCCAGGGCCTGGTCAGATCGCGTGATAAGCCCAACGTCAGTCGACGCGGTGGATGAGACGATCAGGGCATCTCTCAAATGAGGCTTGTAATCTCTGATTCTTGTGATGAATTGGAACGCAGGGGCGCGCTTGAGCATAAAGCCCATGGTCGAGCAGATTTCAGGCAATTTCTGAATCAGGAATGGCTGCTGCTTGCGCCGTGTGATGATGTAGTAGGAAGAGGCAGGGTTCATTCCCATATCGTCTTCCGCTGCATTGGGGGTGTAAGTCATGAAAAATAAGTCATTCTCAAGCCACATAGCGGAAGATACTAAATACTTGTCAGTAAAGGATATAGGAGGTCTAGCATTCGGAGCTCGGACTGACCATGGCAATCTCCTTCCAAATCTGAAGGTTTCGGAATATCGGCTTTCTTTGCGCCATCTGGAGTCATCTGGTAACCAGTACCATCGGCCAGACCGGCCATAAGCTGCTTTCCTTTACTGCTCCATGAAACACAGCTCACGCCATCCTTGAGAACCGGACCGTTCGGACCAGGCAAGAGGTTTCCAGCCTTGAGATCCGCAATCAAAAGGTCACCGTTCACAGTGACGAGTGCGACAAGTGTGGAGGCGGGATCGGGGTTGGGCGCAAGAGCACGTAGGGACACCCCATTCGTTGGGATTGAAATGGCTGGTTGCGCATTGCCTTGCGCCAAAGTGTTTGTGTCGAATACGGAAAGAGATGCGCCATTTTCCGTCGCAAGGATCAAACCGTCCTCACCCGGAGTAAAAGCCACATGTGTGGGACGAGAGGGAAGAGGAATGGTAGCCTGGGGTTGGAACGCCTTGGTCTTTTCCATGTTCTCCCCTGCCGGCGCCTCGATCGAACTTTGGATGGTCTCGGTCGTGCTGATTGCCAGCGCATTCGGGCCAGCACCAACAACAAGGCCCTTGGTGTGCGCGACAGCCAAAAGAGACGAGGTAGGTGCCGGAAGCGCGTCGTCGGGCCAGGCGGTAGGAAGGAATCGAACGTTGGCATCGCCAGATACGCCCTTGAAGCCGATTTCCTAAATATTTGTTAGTACTGGTAATAATGATGACTGAAGGCGTCAGCGGGGCGGGCATACATCTGTGAAGACATCGGGAAGCTCTGGGCCAAGCTCCGCAGAGGCGACTGCCCCGGCGGGGTTGGACGCGCCAAAGCTGAAGGCCATCCTGAGCTTGTCTGAATGGAAGGTTCCAGAGATAGACCGTGTGCTTTCGCTTAGTGGCGAGCTTGTCCTGAAAGCATTGGGTGAAGGTGAGGTTGGGGGAGTTGAAAGCGAGCGTCGATGGAGTGATTGAGGACTCCGGGAGAAGAGGCTGAGGGTATGCGCGAAAATCTTGAGATCGCGCTACTTCTCAGTTCTGAGAAGACAAGCTAAGAGTGAGGATAACGCAACGAGAACCTCCGATGCGCAAAGGTTGGAGAGAATACGGAGACTAAAGATCATTGAAGTCCCGAAAATAATGTCCGGCAAAAACACCTTGTTGGTGCCTCGATAATCAGGCCGTCATCAGGCTGCGGGAGCTTCGTCACTCCAGACAGCTCACTTCACTCTTTACATCCATCTTGAGCTATCTCATTCGTCCGTCCACCTCCCTCAATCTCGATATACGGAATTTATCTTCGCTCGCCTCGCACTTCCCTTCTCGATTTTGATAATCTGTCCAGCCGGTCGCGAATACCAGCGTTATCACAATGCCGGGCTTTGACTTCTCCAACTACAACCGCAACGCGGCGCTCCACGCCAGAGGCGTCCCCCTTCCCAAAGCCACGAGCACCGGTACAACAATTGTGGGATGCGTTTATGATAAGGGTGTTGTGGTATGTCCGACGATAACGCGAGAAGCTCCCAAGAAGCTATGATCCAGGAGCTGACCTGAATCCCCATTACAGATTGCAGCAGATACTCGTGCCACAAGCGGTCCTATAGTAGCAGACAAGGTATGAAAATCTGATCTTTTCGACAAATCTCACTTCTGGATCTCTCTGACATAATGCGTCTTGTGATAGAACTGCGAGAAGCTACACTACATCGCGCCCAAGATCTGGTGTGCCGGAGCCGGTACCGCCGCCGACACCGAGTTCACCACAGCACTCATCAGTTCCAATGTCGAACTGCACTCTCTATCAACAGGCCGTGACCCCCGTGTCATTACCTGCATGACCATGCTCAAGCAGCACCTCTTCCGCTACCAAGGCCACATCGGAGCGTACCTCGTGGTGGCTGGTGTTGACCCGACCGGCACTGGACTGTACACTGTGCACGCACACGGTTCGACAGACAAGCTTCCTTACGTGACCATGGGATCTGGATCTCTGGCAGCGATGTCCGTGTTCGAGTCGACCTGGCAACCGAACCTTGACCGCCAGGGCGCCATCGACATCTGTGCCGAAGCGATCAAGGCCGGTATCTTCAACGACTTGGGCTCTGGTAGCAATGTCGATGTCTGCGTTATTGAGAAGGACCAGCCCACTCAGTTGCTCCGCAACTACATGACTCCCAACGACCGCCCACAAAAGGAGCGCAACTACCGCTTCCAGCGCGGTACGACTGCTTACTTGGACCAGCGGGTCATCAGCAAGGAGGATATGAAGAAATATGTTACGATCGAAACTCTGTCCGGTGATGATAACCTCGCCGCCGGAGACAACATGGAGGTTGATTCTTAGATACTCAAAAGACTTCAGACCAAATGTCTTTTGGGATTGATTTAATGCACGCACGGGCTCTTTTTCCTTTGATAACACATTCTGTTATTGTCTCTATGAGGTCTATACATTGTACTAGGGTAACTGGTCGTACTTCATGAATGACAAAATCCTCCAGTTGAGGCGCTCCAAGTCACCTAGGCATGCTATCTTCGTTGTACAAGGATATGCTTAATTCAACGCCCCGTGGGCGAACTAACATGGGTATCACGCTATTTTACAAAATGCCCGGCAACGGATGCATCTAAACTTCCTTGGCCGAATCGCAAGCTTTCAGTCCGCCAATGCTCGATTCGCCAATCTGATATGGGGCAGTGAGCTGTTTAACAACTTCACGCCCCTCAAATTTGCCCACGATCCAAAGAATGTACTCGTACTGAGTCGCTGGTATGCGGAGACCTTCATGGCGTCTGCGTACAACACCGGCATGGTACATAGCGCGGACAAATTCAGGATCGACAGGCCCGCCGTGTCTGCGCAGATACCCATATAGCCAGTGAACCATGTGGAAGGACTGAGATGGGCTCAAGCTTCTGCAGCAGGAGATTGCCACAGCCAGCCTGTTGATGAGACTGATGGCAGCATGGGGATCGGGGCATCGGTTTGTGCGTGGGCCAGGGTGGTATCGCATGAGGATCATCTCATCGGGGTCAGGGATCTCTTGGTATGCTTTGTTGAGACTGATTTTGAATGGTGTGTTGTTATTTAGCAGTCTGAGGATGGATCTGGTATTGCTCGGGTCTCCTGATCGCACAATTTGCAACAGCTCCTCGGCTGTTTCTGGGCTGGTGAGATCCATGCGGTTAAACATCTGATCAAATGAAGCATGGAAAAGGTTTCGGATTCCCTTATGTGTAGATGGGGTCTTCCACACATCTGTGAGGGACAGCTTGGATGTCTCGAGCTGCTCGAGTGTTTGACGAACGGTTTTTGAGATGGAATTCCTCCCCATTCTGTCGAGGGCTAAAATGAGAAGCCTGTTGTAGGGAAGGTCGAGATCACGGATATCGCACAAGAGCTCAGGGAATAGATGGCCGTCGGTGCTCTTGACCACCAGGTTGTAGAGATTGAGCAGCACGTAAATTGGCCAGTCTGTCGGCTTCGAGCTCTGGTTATACATGTATCCAGTAGTCCGACAAAGGGTACGTAAGAGCCATAATCGCAGGACGATTTGGCCTTGGGTGGAATGCTTCTCTGCGGCATGTTCCTGGGCTCCAACGCGCGGAAGGGGAAAATCACACCAGACCCTCGAGTCCGCGACGGTCGAAATGATTTCAGCATTTGCGAGACAGTCTCGCCATCGGTGAAGCAGGTGGTTTCTGGACTCTCTGTCACCTGAAGAAGATATTGACTCTGTCACCCGGATAACACAGTCCGCGGCAGAGTCTACATCAAGTTGATTGAATATTTTGTTTGGAAACGGTGCGCTTGTCTCCAAATCTGCCTCCTTGGCTTGCAGCCAAGTTTGGACCAAGACAGATGGCCACTGGCTGCGAACAGTTGCGTCGTGTGTTTCGATGATGATTTCCTCCGCAAAACGAAAGCTGCGGATATTCAAAAGCTCTCCAAGCCAAGCATCCACAATCTTTTTATCCAGATCTTGATACCCCAAAATGTTGCAACGGCCAATGGCTCTCCACATTGCCCGGTAGTGTTTCAGCAGGGCGTAGTGATCCCACGACCCCAAGGTCTTCTTGTTCTCAACAAGGACATTAGGCAAAGTCTTGATGATCAAACAGATGTCCTCGGTTGGAATCAGCCCCAACTCTAAACCACGTTTTATCGAATCTAGAACAGCGGTCCGTCTAGCGCGTTTCGCTTTTGTTCGAACAAAAACTTCAATGGCTGCGATGTAGTTTCCCGAGCCGCGAGTGTTCATAAATGGGTCGTCCAAGAAGGCAATAGCTTCATCCATATGTTGATCTGAGCGAGCGAGCAATCGGTCAAATATTTGTCGGCTGTATCGAGGATCCCGGTGGAGGTCAATCCTCATGTGGCGCGCGAACTCCCTAGCATCTTCAATGCCCCAACTCGAGCTGCTCAGAAAGTCCTCCAACATTTGCTCTGGTATTTGTAGATCAGACCGAGTGGGGTCCGAAGAGGGATCGAAGAATTCACTTTGTCCTGGCTGGGTTTCTCGGGGTTCGAAGGTGTGGGGGGCCTCGGAATAGGCTGGTGTAGGGTCGATAAAGCCTGGGAAAAAAGATGAGAAAGACTATTCACGCAATTGAATGGTGCGCAATACTCACCCTGGCTTTCAAATGGCACACCGTGCCATGGATTATCAGTCCATTTCATGTGCTCCCTCCCATTGCGGCCGAATAGACACGAGATGTCCTCCAAAGGCCCTCCTCCAATGCTAGCCAGTGCGGTATTTCTTCGCTTTGCGAGGCGTCGCCGTGCTTCCAAGGGCCCAGGAACACAGCTACCATGGCGCCGCTGGCCGTTGGCAAAGCGACGGAACGTAGCTGCTAAAAGGTCGTCGCCGATCCACAGGTGGTCGTGTGTCGGAGTTGCAGGCGGTTTGATAGCATGCCTATAGGCATGTCTACCGAAAGACATGAAGTTGGCTATGTCATGTGCAAACCAATTAGGAGGGACTCGCGAACACTGGGGATCAACTTTCGCATGGCAGCTTTCCGGTCGAGTCTTGGCGTGGTGACTAAGCGATTGGATGGGCCAATCATGTCCATTATTTTATCACCTCTTCCTACTCTACACTTCCTCCATCCATATTCGTGCATACGATCTTTCTTGATTTGTTTAGTGGTTTCAAAGACAAAGCCACCAAACAAACACATCGTTTTGAGCATGCTACATCGGATATGCCCACTTGGGTGGCTAAGGTTGCGGGCTACATGTTATATTGGACTGGTATTTGCGTGTCTGTCTATTCGGGACAGGCCTCAGGCTCTATCACCACGAAAAAGCCTGGGATGTGTACCTTCGATCGCTGAAAGCAATATGGATGATATCAATGAAGAATTGAAAAGCAAACAGAAGATGAAAACGCCAACAGAATGCAAAAATCGCCCACCAATGGTATCACATGCTGGTCATCTCGGAGAAGACTTAATGGAACAAGTTGGCAAAACGGAAAAACGTAAGACGGTCATGACAGAAGCGGAAGATCAAACCAGAATTCAAGGTGTTCTCCCTTCATTGGGATAGGGTTTTCTCCCTGTCACCACATAGAAGTCCATGTAGGCATGAACATTTCGATCTTGGAGACTTTTCCTCACATCGACAAGAAAGACCTCGATCTCAGGCTTTGACCACCCCAGAGCAAGGAATGGCTTATATGACCACCCAGACAGGGCTTCAAGCCAATTGCTCTCATTCCAGGCACCGATGGTCCGAAGTTTGTCGTCCGTTGGCCAAGTATTCGTAGGAACTTTTGATACTCTTGCTTCAACATCAACAAATCCTATATCCATCATCCATTGCTCGATCCTGTGTGCGATTCGGAATTGTCGAGGTGGTTCAGCATCGCGACTTGATCTCATGTTCAGATCAATCCAATCATGCAAAGCGAATGCACTAAACCCTCCGTCCGTGTTTTCAGGAGGCATGGTTTTATCGTCACATCTTGGTTTGGGGTCTAGTTCGTGACATTCCAAATAAGCGCCTGGCTTGAGGTGTTTGAATGCTTGTCGCAGAATGCGTTTGAAGGATGGCATTGCCCCCGTCATGTGGCCGATGTGAATAAAATCAAAGTGGTTGGTATCCCATAGCCACTCTTCTTCGGTGGCATCATCGACTAGAAAATGCACGTTTGGCGGAACTTCTGTCGGTTGTACAGGGGAGAGATCTGTGCCTATAATCTCGGTGTTTGGAAACAAGGATGCTGCAAGACGATTTCAGGTGAGATGAGATTATTGTAGGGCGGTTGGATAGACATACCCATTTCTATTGGCCATATCCCTGATCCGGTGCCGATGTCGAGGATTCTTTTGGGGTTTATGAGTGGGACATGGAATAATCTGTCATCCATGACCAATTTGAACATGTGGTGTTGCATGTCTAGACGATCGAGCTCTTGTTCGTCATTGGGATATAAGTAGGCTAGACATCGAGTTCAGCTCCTGTTAGAAGTGGGTGGGTCGGAAGCGCAAACATACCTCCCTCATGGTATCTATGATACCGTCTTCCATTCTCCACGGGGTAATCAGTTACACTGGCGGTCAGTGATTGTGTATCACTATTTTGATTTCTGTCAGTCAATTGTCCGTCAAGTGGGATAACCATCGTAGATGGATGAAAGGTTAGGTGGAATTACCATTCAGCGCGATGTACCTGCATGACCAATTAGCATCAATGACCATAAGCATCCACAGAGAAAGCGAGATGACGATGATGATGACGACAAAAAGAAAATATGATACATCTAATATCAGAATGATCAACTCACCGGAGGTCTTGCACCCATGGTCACCTTTTTCTCCAAGGTGGGAGGGCAGATTGTAAGTGCTATATCTCAACCCTAGGGCGGGATGGGTAAACACAGTTGATGCCAAATCAGATCAGTCTTGCCGAGGTTTGGCAAGATAATATTGGAAAGGAGAAATTCTTCTTTTGGGGGGGTTCCAAGCAATGGAGGGGGCGTGCTTTGCAGGATAGACGGCGGGGGAGCTATGAAGTGGGAGAGAAGAATTTCACTATACTCCATCTCACATCCCACGTTTAACCGAGAATCCCCTTATACAGATGCAAAGCCAGACATGACGGGAAAAGAAAAGGAGCCCGACAGCTTGGGTTAAGTTATAATCTGGCAGGGCGGGAGGACGATCCGGACAACTATAAAGCAGCGTGCGGGATCGACATTTGAAATTTGATAATTCCAGAGTAAAACCAAGTGGAGCAGTAACAAAAGGGTAAGGCAAAGTGTACGGAGTAAGAGGGAAAGACATGGGCGCTTCGTGTACATATGTAATGTCACTATTTTTCACTGGGGAAGATCAGGTTTTCTGCTGGACCTGATTGGATGGGACATATGTCACTTTTGCCTGCATTTTGGCGATTTACCCAGTGATTTTTTTCTTTTCTTTTGATGAAATGTCAAATACTTCTTCCTTACATTAGTGAAAGTAAAATGCGCACCCAAGCCCCCGGGAGTCGGGGTCTCCGGAATTTCAACAGGATATTGGACTCTTCATCTGGACTGAATATTTGTCCATACGTATTGCACAACCCGATTGTCTCTCGATCGCATCCCTTTTCGACGACCTGGGTTCGATCGGCCAATGGTGGCCTGTCCCATCTGGCTGGGAATTTACAACCGGCCCAGCCACGGGCCGTCTTTACCCTTTCTCCTGGGATTTTTGGGCTTCGGGTCGAAATCCGTCTATATTCACGAGATCGACACTGCCAATACTTCCGATATTATTTCACATTGCTTTTGTGTCTCCTTATTTCCCGCAATTTCGGCGAAAAAGCAAGATCATCAGTGTTCGGTTAAGTGATGGATTATCGAACTCTCGGCCCCGCAGAGACGTGGAGCTGACAGTGATGGGTACTCCGTACGGAGAACGGAGCATTAACCTGGAATACGTACGGAGTAGTTCCTGTTGAAATGACACATACAGTCCTAAGACCCTCGCCAAGACGAGGTAAGTGATCACCCCTAGGGTGCAGGATTCGAATCTTGAAGTATCGACAGACTTCCGGAAGATTTTCCCAGACAATGGTTTGAGTTTCTGCTCTCGTTGTCCTTGAATACCGAGCCAGTCGACCCTGAAGCGCTAGACACCTACCAGATTGAGGCCTAGCGGTGGAAAAGAGATGATCTGTCAGAAGTAGCGTCACTAGGGGAAACTCAAGCTCCCTAATTGTGTCCAGGCCCAATCACCCCCGGATGAGTCCGACTCATTGGTCAGAAGGAAGTATTTTAATTCCTCCAATTCCCCAAATCTCCAAATCGCCCTCCATTGGGCATAGTCTCAAACACTCCGTCCTAAAGGGGATCTCCGAAAGGAGGGGCACATGGCTGGAACGTCGGAACATGCACAATACAAGTTCCCGGCTTCCTGGGTCTTCCTATTGCACTTACATTTAAGATCTATAACGGTGACTTCCATTTGCTCTTCGCAGGGATGACTCGGTCGCAGCCACCTTTCCAGGCCGGTTTCCAATACTGGGCATATACTTGTCTCGCAATTCCTCTTTACACATCGTCTCGAAACTTTCAGGCTTGGCACTCTGTATTGTGTAAAATTCCAAACCCCGTAGGGTAGTATCTAGATAAGGATTTTGATTCCGTATTGTGGGCGTGTCAAAAGTACAGCAGGAACCGAGCTGGCGGGAATTATGGACCCACTGAGAACAGGGTTTGGTAAGACGCCTATTCTACTTACGGGTTCGCAACGTTCTTGAATGCGTGTCGAATATCTAGATTGGTTCGATCTGCGAGGATAATAACCTTGATTTTGGATGTATTCTGCTATGAAGATAGGGACTCCAACCCTTTACATGCCCAGAGAGTGGAGTTCGGAGTCTGACAATCGTTAATATGCTTCACCAAACCCATTAAAGGGGAAACAAACTCCATTCACGTTTAATGAGTAATTCTACGTGGCTCCGTAGCGGAAGACAGATCCGAAAAAGAAAGGAAAAAGGAGTGAACAACATGTCAGAAGGGTCAGGCGCATTGCCAGGCGCAGCACCTGTGCAGCTGTCCCGGAAAGGAAAAAAAGAAAAGAAAAAAGAATGTTGCCATGGAGGCGGGTCGTGTCTAAATAAAATCTTCGGGGCTCCATTGGAAACCCGACTACGGAGAGCAATTTGCCCGGACCCGACGACGGGGAAGGTTATTCGGGTTCCAACCTGTCGGTAACGAGCCTTAATCAATTTGACAACAATTTGACAGTTAACTACAGAGATGATTTTGAACATAGTGTGATTCTGGTGCCACACATACAGTAGCTCGATCGTGCAATTCTCACTTAGCATCGGAGATCCTCGGTAGCGGGATCCTTCTGGTATTTTTGTCCACATCCTTGCTTCTCAGGCGGCATCTCTGGGAACGATTGCCTCGCGGAGTTTTCGTGGTCTTCCGCACGACAGGGATCCAGCGCAACTAATGTCTAGATTCGAAACCACGGCCTGTTAGCCTAGACTTCACCGCCAACTCCGGTTGCTCCAACGGAGAAAAGCCGGTGCGTCTTACAGGCAAATATACAGACTTGGAAGTTTCCACGATCAGATGACTCCTGGTTAGCATCTTGACTGGCATGGATCAATGACGTCCACGATATCGCATGGAGGATATGGATCTATTTAATGAGCACGTCTACTTATCCACCAAGTGTGACGAGTATGGATCGAGCATCGAGTGCATCCATGCATAATTGCATCTACCGCATTTCAGCTACTCCCAACAACATACTTCGTATTTCCTTTGTAATCGGAACAGGTTGCCCAGGTGTGATGGTGACAGCTAGGGCAGTCGACGCTAGTCCGTCTAGAGACACGTCGTTGTCCGAGCCGCACTTTGATCGCCCCGATAACTCGGTACATCTGTTCATTATAACGTTGGAACCTTGTAAGTGCTTCATGCCACTTGCTAACGTGTCCATGTCGCCACCATCAGGTTGTCAATGAATTGAAAAAAAAAAAATGAAGGAAAGTCTGAGTGGTGTCAGGAGTCTACTGTAGTAAAAATTCGTACATTGTGCTGTTTCCGTCAACGGTCAGAATCACTACTTATATTGTATTTGGCTCACCATCTGATCTCTTCCCCACTCGCAGAATTCATCATTCATCGAGTCGAGTCTAAGATGGATCTTTCTCGTTCATACTCCGTAACGACAGAGCTGATAATACTAGTACTGTACGTACCTATGTCCGCTTCCTGCCGCGGAGTTCTGTATCAAAGGTGCGTGCCTTGCATCCCTGAACACAAATTGAGTGTGTGCTAACATTGTTCTCAACTCTTGAATAATCTGATAGCCCATTTGCTTACCCAGGTGCTGAAGTACCCAGTACTACTGTGATTTGAGCCTTGGAAGACGATCGATTATCCACATATGCCGTTTACGGCCATTCGCTGCATTTACCTAGATGGGAATGTCCTAACCGAAGTATCGAACGCCTTGTCCCTAACTGCAGATAGCCTCACCCGGGCAGAGGCTTGGTATTACGCTAGAAGTGAGACATACATAGTAAATCATAAGAAATGACAAGAAACCTTGGAATTTTGCGTTCGGCCAAGGCCCAACGAGCGTCCCCAAAAGGCCATTCAGAATGTGCGCTGCACACAAGTGCGGGGTGAACTTCGCACAGAAATGATCGACTTGATCCACACGGGTTCGGTTCACAGAAACCCATCTAACCTTTCAAGCGGAACGAGAAACCTAGGTGGGGCTCCTAGGTCGCTTAAGAAAAGTGAAAAGGATTTGGAATTGTCTATCTTTTGCCAGCATTCGAATTTGACTGGTTCGGTGAATGCGCCGGCTGGGGTCAACAAGAGCCACTTAGCAGCTGACAGACGCAAGCGACAAGGAGTTGCTCATGCACATCTGCTGTTAGTCTGAAGCCGATGATCATCAATACTACTCCGTGTTTCGTACTCCATGTGCACCTTGCCCAATGAGATCTGTTACGTGCCGTTCCAAGAATCAGCCAGCCCGAGAGGTTCATCTGGCATTACACCGAGTACCCAATTACGAGAGCGGGGAGCACTCGTATTGGCCTTTACGACGTAAGAATGTGTTTGGGGTTTGGAGATCGAAGCGAGGACGTACATTCTGGGTAGTATTTGTCATTTCCTACCTAGGTATTCCAAAATTGGACATCGGGAAGACATCGATCGTGTGCTTCGCCAGAAAGTCAGGCCATGCTATCTCCCGAGGTCATGCCAATGACGGCCTCGGGAGTGAGCCATGACACAAAATACTGAGGTGTCTATTCAGGAAAAGAGGCAGTGACTATGAGTTTTGTACTAGGTACCTAGTAGGTTTACTCAGGCGATGATTCCAAGGTTTGAACCTTGGAATGTTATACTTAGGGACGAAGAGTCAAGACAGCCGAGATGTTAATGAAATGTCTCTATATAGGAGATCAGAGGTCGAATACGTCTTTTCCAAGTATTTGGTAGCTCCCAGTGGATTCCAAGATGTTAGAGGTTGAAAGTTCTGTTTGGAGAAGATACCTAGGTAATTTTGGAAAAGGATGAGATATATCGACCTCGGGAGTTGTACATAACAGACATGCTAGGAAGCCTTTTTCAATTTAAAATTCGTAGTATTTATACCGCGTGGCGAGAATCAAAGCAAGGTCAACTAAGTTTCCAATGTTTTTCAAAAGACGGGTCAAAAGGCTTTCCAGTCCAACAGGAGCAAACAGAATATTCTCACCAACGTATCAGTAGCAACACATTTCCGAATCGGGTTATATTGCGATTTCGGATAAACTAAATTCCGAGTATGACGCAGGTTTGCTTTGCAAGGCACCGGACGATTAGTTGACAGACCTCCCCGAGGAAGTTTTCTTATGGCTCGAAAGAGCTAAGCTTCACGAATATCAACTCCGTGGCCTACCGGTTCATTCCATGGGTGCATTCCGCCAAGCACACTGGGCGGGGCACTGAACCGGCAACTACATGTGCTGACGCGCGACGCGTAGCCATACCCATTCAGCAAAAGGCCGAGGAGCCGGTCCATTGCTCTCATCTCTGTATCGTTGATCTGATATGGCACGTCAAACACCAGCTCGTTCCACACGGGGTAGGGCTTCGCAGGGTCAACCGAAACGCGGGAGACAGGACCCCGATGTCCCTGATGTGTATCATGAACTGTTGGAGGAAGCTGAAGCCCGAGATCCAGAGCAATTTGCATTGGATAGACCGGTCAAGAGGCGAAAGGTCGGCGACCTGAAAGCCATCCCTGTTGATTCGCAGCCTCCTGGCAACCCACCTGAGAACACAGGAGCAAGTGAACATTTACCCCCACAAGTTCAGACCATCTATGACTCATCTGGATCAGAGGAGTCTGATGTAGAATGGGAAGATGTCGAAATATCACAACCTCAACCTTTTCCGCAAGGGCCTTATGCGCAGAAGGACGATGATGAGATGCTTCAGATTACACTTACAGAAGAACCCCAGAAGCGACAAAATGTTGTCCAAAGGAGGAAACCCTTGACCGGCGCCGAGAAAAAACTCAGATTGGATGTGCATAAAGCTCATCTTCTTTGTCTTCTTGGTCACGTTAACTTGCGCAACCTGTGGTGTAATGATGAAGAACTTCAGGTTAGTGGCAATGCGTTTGGTGGCCCCTTATTCTGTGTTTCTGACAACTTACAGGGCTTTGTCAAAAAGATGTTACCTAAGAAAGTGATCACCCTCCTACATCCAGATGAACATAAGCCGCATTACATCAGATCTACCACTTTCATGGATGGATTGAACCAGGCTGGTGACGCTTTTGCGCGCAGGTTTCGAGTGACGAAGCCGGGGATGAAAAGAGCGCACTGGGCCGAAGATGAAACTCGGTTGAAGGAGAAATTGGTAGCTATAAGTTCCTGCATCTGAGACCATGCCTACTCACAGTCGTGCAGGAATCAGTAATATCGGGCGCCGAGGTGTTTCTATCCAGAGCGGACTTCCGAGCGCAGGCGAAGACGATGCAAGGCTCCCGAGACTTTGGAGCACAGCTCTTTTGTGCTTTGCTGCGTGCAGTGGCCATCGAAGCCAGGCTTGTCTGCTCGCTGCAACCGCTGCCATTCTCTGGCACCGTGAAGGATATGACGCCATCCAAACCAAAACCCCAGCCCATAATTATATCTTCGGATGAACCTGGATCCTCAACAGACGAACATCCCCCCAAGAAATCACCCGTTACTCCAAGGACCCGGCGAATCGGGCAACCGAAGTTTGCTCCTTCTCGTCCCCCCAAGCCGCAGTCTCATTCGGGTAAGTCTGAGTTCTCCAAGTGGTAGATTTCAGAGCTGATTTTGGTACCTCAGTTCCTTATCAAACATCCAAGGACTCGCCATATCCCGTGTTTTGGGTTGAAGCGTTTAACGAAGCCGCGAAAAAATGGGTAGCAATTGACCCCGTTGTGACCAAATCGCTCGCCAAACCATCCAAATTCGAACCTCCCGCAAGCGACCCGACCAACCTAATGAATTATGTGGTTGGGTTCGAAGATGATGCCTCTGCACGGGATGTCACTCGTCGGTACGTGAAGGCGTTCAATGCGAAGACTCGAAAGCTCCGAGTTGAAGGCACGCGACATGGTCAAGAGTGGTGGGATAGGGTATTAAAAACCTATGAGAAGCCCTTCTTTGAGGACCGTGATGAGGCGGAAATCAGCGAACTTACCTCCAAAGCTGCGGCTGAACCAATGCCACGCAGTATACAGGACTTCAAAGACCATCCTGTTTACGCACTTGAGCGACAGATTCGTCGCAATGAAGTGATTCATCCCAAACGGGTGATTGGGCATGTTGGTCTGGGAAAATCCAGCACCAGAAGTGAGAAATCAGAACCAGTCTACCGTCGCGCCGATGTCCACGTTGTGCGAAGTGCCGATAAGTGGTATCGTCTGGGCCGAGATGTGAAAGTTGGCGAGCAGCCTCTCAAGCGTGTCCCGGCAGCTCGAGGTCAAGGTCGGGAAATCAGTGACGAAGAAGACGATGAGCCGGCAGAGACTACATTGTATGCCGAGTCTCAGACGCAAGTATATGTGCCGCCACCTGTGGTGAATGGAAGGATACCCAAGAATGCATATGGAAACCTCGATATTTATGTCCCCAGCATGGTCCCGCCCGGCGGAGTTCATATCAAGCGACCTGAGGCAGTGAAAGCTGCTCGGATTCTGGGTATCGACTATGCTGATGCTGTCACCGGGTTCGACTTCAAGGGTCGCCGAGGCACTGCGGTACTGAAGGGTATCATTGTTGCGACTGAGTACCAAGAAGCCCTGGAAGACGTCATCGAAGGACTCGAGGATGAGAGACGACTTGCGGCACTTGAGGCTAGATCGGAAGAAGCTCTTCGATTCTGGCGACTTTTCTTGGTCAAGCTCAGGATTGCAGAGAGAGTCAAAGAATATGCGGGTGACGACGAGGAAAAGGATGTTGAGGAGATTGAAGAAGAAATGAATGTTGAAGATTCTGGCGGTGGTTTCTTTGCTGAGGCAGATGAGCCGACACGCAGCCCACCTCTGCGACTTTCTGGCAAGGGCAAGTTGGCACAAGGTCGAGAATACCCGGAGTTCGATTCGGAAAGTGGTCCGCTCTCAGGCGATGAGAATGATACCGGAGGGGGATTCTTCGCTGATGATGACATGGAGGACGAACCACTCGAGACTGTCACGGAGCCTCCCAACACTGCAGAACCTGCCATAATCCCGCCAACAAGCAACAAAAGCCCCGTCAAGTCGAAAATACCACACCGACCACAGTATTCCCTCGTGGTTGTTCCAAACAATCCATCCAACTCGGAGACCTACCCCCAATCCGCGGTGGAGAAACAAAAACAGGAAGAGATGCCAGGATCATCTGAAAATGTCCCTATCGCACTGGACTCATCCACGAATGGTGGCTCCAAGTCTGCTAGCGTGATGACCATTTCCCGGCCTCCGACTCCAGTGCAAGATCGAAGGCAGCCCTCGGTGCCCAACCACGAATCCGATAGTGAGATTGACAAGGGCTCATTGCTTTCCGAAGATCCAGATGACGAGGATGCAATCCCGGAATGGCTCATGTCAGATGAGGATTAGTGGGAGATTGCACGATGCGTCCATGAATCGGCTGCGACGCGCTGTTGTTTGTGTACAAATGTATGAATTGTGAAAATATAGGATAAACAACCAACTTTAGCCACTTTGAGGGCATTCATTACCTGAACTCAACTCACATTATTTATCATTCCATCAAGATAGACAGTGATGGTACCTAGGTAGTTGAGTCAGTGGAACATATCAACATTGGAAGTCATTATATAGGTCTACGGGTACTCCTGACCTCGGGAGGTGTACCTACAGAACCGGCCTGGTTTTTCTTCACCGCTATGCCCAGGTGGCTAGCTTGGCTGCCGTACCCCGTGCTACTGCCTAGCAATCCTCTACTTATCAACCTTGAATGCCCAACTCTCCCACTATGAATTTCCTCAAATCCGCTCGGATGAGCTTCATCTCATGGATGCATGAGACACCGCTTCCCTCTGCAGGATCCATAGCAGCATACCCCGAATTCCAGTCGTGGCATCAGTTTGACCCCGTCCAGCGGTGGGTCTCCTGGGCCCCAACGCACTTGGACAATACAAGCGTAAAGCCAAACAACGCAGAAACTACATCAAATCTAGTGCTTCTGACATGGAACATCGATGCCACATCCTCCCAGACCCAACAACGCGTTGCGGAAATCATCACGTTCATCACAAACCTGCATGCTAAAGTCGATGTCATTTTCATCCAAGAGGTCTCAAAGCCAGCCTTGCAATATATTCTCGAGGATGAACGCATACGCGAATCTTGGATTTCGAGTGAATGTGACGATACAGCATGGGGAAGGCAGTCATTTGCAACGATCACTCTCATGTCAAAGACACGCTTTGGGCGGGATGCCGATTCTGGTGCAAACAAAGCCATTCTGGGTCCTGTTTGGCGTGTGAAATATCCGTCTCGGTTTGATCGAGATGCCCTTTGCTGTGACATATTTGTTCCTTCCTCGAACTCAAAGCCTGGCTCTAAGTCCTCTTCTGCTACCCGTATACGGCTTGTCAATGTTCATCTAGATTCTCTGCCGATTCAGCCATCCCGCAGACCCCAGCAGATATCTATTGCCTCGTCATACCTCCGCGCTGCAGGATGTGGTGTTGTGGCTGGCGACTTTAACCCGGTCCTTGAGGAGGATGGCATCCTCATCGACAAAAATGGCTTGACGGATGCTTGGGTAACCCTTCATTCTCAAGATCCCGGTTACACATGGGGAGTAGATGGGCAGCAACCCTTTCCGCCGAACCGGCTGGACAGAGTTGCTGTATTGGGTCTCACTCCCTCAAGTATTGAGGTCTTGCCGCCAGGGCAATTTACGACCCTACATTCGGGCTCAGAGCAGGACAAGCCCTCTGAAGACGTTCCCTGGAGTGATCACCATGGCTTGCTTTGCTCTCTTAGCCTTTGAGCAAAGCGGACCATTTAGCTTGTTGTAAGAAATTACCACCCCAACATTAAGCGATAAATAGGCGGAAAGTTGCGAAATAATTAACGATACTCAATTTGCTCCCAAATGCCCAAGTCTATTGCCCACGTATCGACATTGGAGCCAGTCTTACTGCCGCCCGTGTGTGAGGAGGTTGAAAGTTGTATAATGTAGCCTACTTGGGTGTGTGCCTAGCCTCACAGATCTCACACTGCATCTTTTTGTTTCACTACGCGCCCAATTTATTCGCTTCCAGCTTCTTACTCCGCTTTCCCCTCGCCATTCTGATTATCCCTTGCTTCAACCATGGCAGATGATCAACAGTCTCTCACATCTGTCCAAACTCCAAGCATCGATGATATTGCAAGCCTTGCAAGCCTACTCCAGAATGCCGAAATCCCATCGGCGCTTTGGGGAGTAAACGCTGCTGGCTGCTACGGAGGAGGGCTTTGTCCTTTGGTACGTCGGCATACCCAAAAAGTAATGGTAACTCACAGCGGGACAGGATATAGAGATCGTCATCAATGAAGCCGATCAGACTCGAGTCTTCGAGCTGCTACGCTCCCATGGATGCCGGCCATCGCAGCCCCTGCCTGGGAACCCCCCAAACGAGTTTGAAACGTGGCGGGATCTCGCCTTGCATCACGAGTATCAAGATCGGCGTCGCCTGCGTCCTTGTATACCGATGTATGAGTTGCCAGAAACCGGAGATGAATTTGTTGATGCCTTTCTTCCATTCATCGTGGTGTGCTCGGCCGAATCAGTTGGATTACCGAAGATTCCACCATTATCGTTGATAAAGACACATTCCCAGGGAGAACAAAAAGACGTGGCTCAACGAGATGTAGATTCCCTTTACCAGAAACAGCGAAACACGCAAGGTTATGTTTTACTCAGCGATCTTCCCTACTGCATCCTCGGCTCCCACGAATCCCATTCGAGTCTTCTAGTACCAGAATTTCATCTTCTGGTGCAGTCCATCCTACACGCTATTTTGCAACTGCCTGAACACACGCCTCGCTGGGCTCAGTTCATGGCCGAGCTTTCAGAATTGCTCCGTTCGCCTGGTTGTGTCAAGGGACCTGATTCATTGCACGAGATGGTCAAACCGTCACAATTGAGATTTGCCAGGTGGGTTCAACTCGCCTTGAGAGGGAAGAGCGAAAACACAGAATTGCGCTCAATTCGAGATGAATACCGGGATGCATGTCATTCAGATGAGACCTGAGCCTAGGAGACTCAAGGCTTGCCTCATGGCAAAATATATACCTGGTTCTTCCAAGGTTGCTAGGCCTGTCAGATGTATTGCTTCCATTACACACTCCATTGACCTTCAGACTTCTGCCATTGAGATTTTCTGTCTCATAGATCACTTAGACCTGGGTCTTTGATCTCGTGGCGGCCCGGGGGAGCCATGTGCCAAAATGACTGCCAGGGCAATTGGGAGCTTAGGTTTATGTAGCACTATTCTGCAGCCCTCTTCAACAGCCTCTTGCCGGGCTAGCTCAATCGGTAGAGCGTAAGACTCTTAATCTTAAGGCTGCGGGTTCGACCCCCGCGTTCGGCTCTTCCTAAAATACCAACATGGTCTTCAAGATTATCTTTTTGCTTTTTTGATCTGCAGTCATTGTTTTCCTGACGAATGACTTTTGTTTTTGAGCACTGCAAATAAATAGGCCTAATATACGGCGAACTTACCGTCGCATGATACCGAGTAGAATATATCAGCGCACGGACCAAGTCGATATTGGATACGCGTCGGGACGCGCAGTTGCCTAACGTCATGAGCTTTTCCTCTTTTCATTGAACCATCTATGCGATGAAGGAACAGCAGCAAGCCAGGAACCCCGATAATCAGTTCCGTACCCCGCGAAGACCAAGCACACACGTTCCAACAACTGGAAGATCCAGGAACCGATCACCAGAGTCGGCCTCGGCAAGCAGCCGCAACAGGACCTCGTTGCCACGGGCCCAATCAACCCTCACCCAGATCGATTTTGTGACTCAGTCCACAGCGCTAGAGGTCGAGCAGCTTGATTATATCAACGAACGAACTCGCGAGCCGGACCAGCCGGCCGAAACATCGAGAACCGACGATGGCTCCGACAAGGATTCAGACTATCTTCCAGCGCCCCCGGTACGGTCAGCTCGCACCACAAAAATAAAGCCGAATGAGCAGGCACATGGGTTGACCGAGCGTCCTGTCAAACGGATGAGTGCTGGGCTTGTTGGGGATGCAGACCGAGGACACAGACCGCGCAAGAGCGAAACCCCAAGGCCGAGTGGTCGCTCCAAAGGAAACCGCAAACACCTAGAGAAGTCAACAGGCAAACGGGACAAGACGTTAACCCAGATGGACTTTGTACGACGTTACATTACCATCGCCGATGATGACGACGGTGTCGACATGGGGTATATCCAGCCAACATCACACAAGAATGATATCGGAAGCGAGCAAAAAAAGCCTCTTCCGGAAACACAAGAGCCGCAAAACGTGAAGCGTACCACTCCCGCGAAAAGGAGCCGAAGAATATTTGAAGAAGAACTGGACCTCTCAACCGGAGACCCCATTCCGCAGTCCCATGCAACACAAGACCGGGAACCTGCAGCTGAGAACAAAGGTCCCAAAATGCCAGCACAGACGGAACCAGTGACACCACAAAAATCTCGAAGGCGCGAGATCCCTTCGTCACAAACGCCCGAGAGCCCTGGCCTCACTATTATAACATCCTCTCAGTTCCGTAGCGCTACTCGTTCGCCTTCTAAAAGAACACTACCCAACCCGTCAAATGATCATACGCAAGGTGTCAAACAGGAGTCTCCAGAGGAGAGGAGGGTAGTAGATGATTCACAAAGCCGCGGCCATACGCCCTCCCTATGGAGAACAGAAACAGAATCCCAAAACAAGCCTGAATCTCTGAACATGCCCCCGCCAAACAACTCTGAGCACTTCTCCTCATCGCAACCCCCTCGACAGTTTGATTCCCAAGAACTACCCTTTGGGGAAGAAGACATTTCGAGAGATGAGCGAACCAAAAGGGAGAGAACGGTCATTTATGAAACAGATGCAGACTCTGACTACGACGAGACCGAAGAAACCGAAGAAACCGCAAACAGAAGCTCTGTGACCCCAACGCCCACGAATGCAGACCATGTAGTCCGCCAGGCCAGCTCTCAGGTGGTTCAAAATGGTCCAGAGTCACCAGACGATGATTCACCAGACCTCCCTCTCCCTGATGCAGACGCTCCATCGAGCCTCAACTGGGACGACGCTCCCCCATCCGAACCTCCGATGTCCGATGCATCTGTTTGCTATCAAAGGATGCACGCCGCCACGCAATTCCCACACGAGCCAATTCCAACTCTGAGCACGCAGAAAATGGCAGAGCTTTTCCCCTCAGAAGGCAATACCCAGATCTCGAAACCTGGATCATTACCGACCCGAGGCCATATACCAGGGCCATTCTCGCAAACACAATCACAGAGCCAAGGTGACAAAGATCCTACAGAAATGGTCCCTGAATCTTCACCGGTGCGAGAAAATGATGATAATGAAGCGGATCACGCTACATTCCAACGACCTCAGGCTCCTCAATCAGTGGTACAAGTCGAGTCCTCGCAAGCGGTGGATCGAGATGGCCAGTGGCAGGGAAATGTTCTCTCTCGGAGCCAAATCCTGACATCCAGTGTCATGGAGAGTGTCCCAATGCCGAACTTCTGGATGGGAAGTCAGGATAGTGTGGGTGAGCCCTACAGCTAAGCTGACATTTATCAATGACTTATGAACCAGTAATTAACAAATTTATATGAGGGGGATATATCCATGGATGATAATGTACAAATACCAAGTACCCAGAGATGTAAAAACAAGCTCAAAGCACAAGTAGACATTGGTGGTTGGGTGATCGTCACAAGCGGGGCGGTCGGGGCTTGAACGCGGAGATACTGCTCGTGCTTCTTTTTTCCCCTTCGCAACCACGCAACTATGGATATCGCCTATGATCACATTCAGGAGGAGGCCTTCTCTAACAAAGAAGGTCCTCCATCGGAAGCGAAACCTCAAGAATCCAACCTCAATGACGATCTACAGGAGACCTTCCGTGCTTTCTCCGCCAGCCCGTGGGGCTCCCGAATCGGAGGACTCTGGGACAATGTGCGCAAGCAGGGAGAGACATACTACGAAGGAGCTCGTCAGGAATATGCAGCCGCTAGCGAAGAAGCCGTAAAGGGCTTCTCAGACCTGAAGGAAACACTCGCCGATCGAACAAAGGGGCTTTCCCTGAGCACCGTTGCTCTGGCAAGCAGTGGCGAAGGGTCCAGTGACGAGACCGCCACACCCAAGGCCTCTACAGAGCAGGGCTCTCTGGAAAAGGGAGAGCCATCGGAGAAGGAAGAAGGCGCTGGCGCTGGCGGAGAGAGCTTCATCTCCCGGTTGAAGGCGGAAGCCGCCCGGCGACTGAAGGAAATCGAGAAGGCCGAAGAGGCCGCGGACGAAGCCATCATGCGATTCGGAATGAACATCAGCCAGAAGCTGCGCGAGGCCGTCAGCATCGTACCCCCCGAGACCGACGAGACCGGCAAGCTTCTCTTCGAGAGCAAGGATGCCGAAGGCAAGCGCGTCATTCATGCCACACGATTCGAGGCCCAGCTACACGTTATTCACTCGAACCTCGAAAGCTTTACCAAAGACCCAGTCAGCGACGAATGGCCCGTCTTCAGCAAGGAGTTCAACGTCGAGAGCAAGACGGATGAGATCGCCGCCGATCTAGAGAAATACCCCGAGCTGCGCTCAGCTATGGAAAAGCTCGTTCCGGAGCAGGTGGAATACGCGCAATTCTGGACCCGCTACTACTTCCTGCGTCTCGTCGTGGAAACCGAAGAGAAGAAGCGCAAGGAGCTCCTGAAGGGTATGTTCAATTCTTGACAAAGTTTCTCTTTCAATACTGATCGCGTTCAATGACACAGGCGCCAATGCCGAAGATGAGGAAGAGGTTGGTTGGGACGATGACTCTGACTCTGAATCTCAATCTCCCTCTACTCCCCAGGTTCGACCTGGCAACCAGACCCTTGCTCCCACAGAGACCCCCAAGGCCGAGCCTCGCCGTTCAAATGACCAGCAGTCCCAGGCAGACAGCGAATCCAGCTACGATGTTGTGAGCGGTGCTGCGAGCAAGACACCCGGAAGTCCAAAGGAGAAGGAAGCTGCCACCAAAGCCGAAGACAGTGACGAGGACTGGGAGTAGATGCACTCCGTTCCTCGGCGCGCCTTAGCAAAACACCCAGCTGCCGCTTGAAATCGAGGGCCCCTGTCTACTCCGACGGCCCTTCTGGCTAGTTGTGGTTGCTATAGTGCTGGTATAACGTTTAGCTAGTCTTGAGAATTGCTTTTTCTGGAGTTTCGGAATGTCGGCTTGTTATTTGGCGTTTCGGACTTGCCTTGTCCCTTTCTATTCCCAGCCCTGGTTTTTCACAGCCCTTTGCCTTCAGCGATCAATGTTCCATAGTTTTGATAACTGGACAACTGGACATGCACATCATTTATTTTGTCTACATATCGTGACTATGAAGCTTTGGATAGTCTTACCTAGGTATAAGCTCCACCTTTCTACTCCGTGGCCAGCTTTATTTGGCCATTCCGGTGTATAGAATTTTGAAGGCCGATTCGAGTCCTACGTAAATAATCCGGAGATCACCGAGCGTGAAAAGCGTGAATAGCGTGATAGGTTCTTCATTGTTACATATTCGAGAAAATGATGGCACGGTCTACCTTCTCAATCCGCCCTCCCAGGTTCTGCATCTCTTGGCGCTGAATAACCTTTCATCGAGATAGGTGAGCTCCCATATGCAGGTGTCATGTCACGCAGGCCACTAGGACGAACCCCCGGCGAGCCTTTACGCACCGGAGTCTCGGGGGTGTTCTCTCTCGAACGAAGGTGGAAGCCCTGTGCACGTCCACTAGGCGAGTAGGGATCACCGCCGTGTTGATAAGGACTGCTCCCAGGCTCCCAGCCATACTGGTAATCCTCGCCGCGATGCTTGACCGGACTTTCATTGTAAGGGTCCCAACCGACTCGGCGACGGGCATCGGAGCGAAGGCGCTGGCGGTGTTGTTCGTCGCCACCGGCACCAGTGGTTGCAGATTCTTCTAAGAAGAAGTTGAGGAGCTCATCGCTGATGGCGAGATGGGACTGTTGTTGGAATTGTTGTAAGGAGGTCAAACGGAGGAGAGTCTCGAGAAGGGAGAGTGAGGTGCGGATGTTTTCGAAGTGTGGGTTTGAGACGGTTGCTGAGGCTGTTGATTGGGGTTGTTTGCTGCGAGGTGGTGTTGATGGAGGCGAGGAGCGATCATTGCTTTCTATGGAGAGCTTGGCCATTAGAGCTGGATCGATTGAGGATTCGGTAGAGTCTTCTGTAGCTTCGGCTTCGGACTCGGTATCAGAGGTTTCGTCTTCGTTGAAGACTTCGAATGCGATCCATTCTGGATCCAGCCCAGAAGGAAGACGCCATTCTTCGGGTATGGAGTCTTGGTGGAGTGAGCCGAAGCTCTCATTTCCTGGATTGTGGTCTCCATTCAATTGTGCATCGAGCTGAGCCTGTTCCTCGTCTTCTGATTCTTCTTCTGATCCCGTTGGAGTGACGTTGTCTAGTTCGTCGTGTTCCATCATGCGCCGAGGAGGAACTGCGTTGATGTCTCTTTTCAGGAGAAGTACTGGGTTATTTATTTCTCCTTCCGCACTGAAGTTGAGGATTCTTCCAGTGTCGGCATAGAAAATCTTGGAAATCTGGTGGATAGGGAGAATCTCCCGTATGCCTGCTGTAGACACACCCTCAAAGCTTTGAGGCTGTGGCTCATTCTCATCAAATGTATGAACACGCCCATCGTCCAAATCTTCAATCAATAGAACTTGGTACGTGTATTCATCAGCTCCGCCTGGTCCTGGTAGCTTTCCTTTAGGGCGTTGATCCGGAGGATGTAGCGCATGCATAGGAACACGTCGTAGCTTCAAACGAGCCTTATGCATGACTTCCTTCCAGGTTGCCTCGCGGAAGGATTCTTCATCATGAGGGCGCAAGTGGCCGGCAAACAGCATATACATAGAAAGTGTGAAGGTTGGGCCCACTTGAACTGCCTGAGATGGCGACATGGAGTACTGCGTGTCGCCTGCAGTGAGAAAGGTGCTAGCCTGGAGGAGTCGGGATGGCGACACAGTTGCTGGAAGATTGGTAGATAATTTCGCCCCAGAAGTTGTGATGGCCAGATTCATCAGTGGCACGGCATCTTCGATGCGCATCAACAGTCTTTTGATATCTTTGATGATTAGCTTGATTTCCATCTCGCTGTGTGACCGATCTTTGGATGACTTTGCTCCCTTTCGTCTCAACTCTTCAGAGGCAGCGGCCTTAGCCAGTCGCTGGCCCAAGGCCTGAATGTCCCATCTTAGAGATTTGGTCAGGGTGACCGCAGATTCTAATGACGTATTGCCTCGAGCAGCACTAGGAGAGATATGAGCATTTGGGTTGCCCATGGGTATCCACTTCGGGCCACTCACATCAGCTCGATCATGTCAATAGAGGGAGCAATGACTTGTATCTTGCTCTCAAGGCGCTGTTGCAATGAAAGAAGCTCATCGCGGTCCTCGCTCTCAACATTCTAAAGAGAAAACAGTCAATCAGCATGATGCGATCAAGTGGAGGATCACATACTCACTTTCAGTAGGCGCGAGGACTGGCGCATAGCATAGCTAGCAGTTATGGCGATCCCTGATCTGCATGGCGACTTAGCAGCTGTATGTTCAGAGGTTGGCATTCAAGGCTGACATACCGAATGGCATAGTTCATTGCTTGCCGGGTAAGCTATTGCATGCGTTAGCTCGGTGCCTGACAGGTCGCATGTGAGACATACCCCGGTAAGGAAAGTATCCATCGCGAATGGAACCCAAGACCAATGGCCTTTGCAAGTTGTGTAGATCGGGGATATAAACCAGGGAAGAATGACGGAGGGGGAGCTTATCGATAAGAGTTGGAAGCCCAACTTTTGAAACAATCGAGAGCCCAACAATGGGGAATTTGCCCCGTTCAATGAATCATGGTGGCAAGATTGGGCACTGAGGAGAGCTCAAGATGATTTGAAAAGCGCAATGTCAAGACCATCCAGTTGGTTTCTATAATTTTCCGACTGCACGTCGAGTCACGTGGCACCATCGCGGGGATTTGGTCTTAGTCATCCGTGCAAAATCAAAAGGCGGACCCCTCGTTCCTATTGACACAACCTGTGTCCAATTCTATTTTCGTCTTGATTCGATCCAAGGGGTTTTCTTACACCATGTCGAACCAAACTCCCGAATCCTGGGAAGACGAGCTCTCCCGACAGGCCGAGGGCGTCAACCTGAACGCACAATCTCGCCCTCAACCCCAGGCGCCCACTTTCACACCTGGAGCCGCCTCTTTCACCCCCGGAGCCTCCGCATTCGTTCCTGGACAGCAGTACCAGCAGTACGCTGGCTACCCCCAGCAGGGCTACCCCCAGTACGGCCAACAGCAGGCCTACGGGCAATACCAACAGCAGCAGGCTTACGGCCAGTACAACGCATACGCCCAGCAGCCCGGTGCCTTCAACCAGTACAACAATGGACAGCAGTCATACGGTGCTTACCAGCAGAACACCCGCCAGAATGCGCCTGTAGCTGCACAGCAACCGGCCGCCCAGGCTGCCCCCAAGCCCGCATCGAGCGCCGCGCCTCCCAAGGCCAAGGTTCTGTCCATCGGTGCCACCTCTTCCACCGCCGCTCCTAAGACCAAGGTCCTTTCTATTGGTACTCCCACTCCCACCCCCGCTGCGAAGCCCGCCGCTGCCGAAGAGAAGGAGTCCAAGGGTGACACCAAGGGCCCTGCTGCTGCTGAGGCCGGTGCCAAGGCTGTGGCCACCAAGGGTCTTGATAAGTCAGAGAAGGCTGCCGCCAGCGGCAAGTCTTCTCCCACACCATCCTCCGGCCGTTCCAGCCCTGGTCGCTCCAGCCCGGCTCGCGGCGAATCAGCCAAGCAGGCTCGCGAGGCTAACGCTGTCGCGAAGTCCCAGCAGGCTGATGTGGATGACGCTACCCTGAAGGAAATCTACGGTGAGCGCAGAGAACACGTCAACGTTGTCTTCATCGGTCACGTCGATGCTGGAAAGTCCACTCTGGGTGGTTCTCTGCTGCATGCTACTGGTATGGTTGATGAGCGTACTCTTGATAAATACAAGAAGGAGGCCAAGGAGGCGGGTCGTGAGACCTGGTACCTTTCGTGGGCCCTTGATCTGACCCAAGAGGAGCGATCCAAGGGTAAGACTGTCGAGGTTGGCCGCGCCTTCTTCAAGGTTATGGTTCCCCACCCCGACGGCCCCATCGAGCGTCAATTCTCTATTCTTGATGCCCCCGGTCACAAGTCGTACGTGCCCCACATGATTGGTGGTGCTTCCCAGGCCGATCTCGGCTGTCTGGTCATCTCTGCCCGTAAGGGTGAGTACGAGACTGGTTTCGAAAAGGGTGGTCAGACCCGTGAGCACGCCCTGCTTGCCCGTAACACCGGTGTCTCCAAGCTGGTGCTTGTCGTCAACAAGATGGACGACCCCACCGTCGAATGGAGCAAGGAGCGTTTCGATGAATGTACCGTGAAGGTCACCAAGTTCCTGGAGGCCCTTGGATACAAGAAGTCAGACATCTTCTGCATGCCCATCTCTGCGCAGCGCACCATTGGTATCAAGGACCGTGTTCCCAAGGAGACGTGCCCCTGGTACGATGGCCCCTCACTGCTTGAGTTCTTGACCGACTTCCAGCTTCCCGAGCGCAAGGTCAACGCCCCCTTCATGATGCCCATCAGTGCCAAGTACAAGGATATGGGTACCATGGCCGAGGGTCGTATCGAGTCCGGTATCATCAAGAAGAGCGGTACTTACCTGATGATGCCCAACCGCGAGGAGGTCTCAGTCTCCGCCCTCTACGGTGAAACCGAAGAGGAAATCCCCAATGCCAAGGTCGGTGACCAGGTCCGTCTGCGTCTCCGTGGTATTGAAGAAGAAGATTTCTTCCCCGGTTTCGTGCTGTGCTCTCCCAAGCGCCCTGTCCACTGTGTGTCTGCTTTCGAGGCCAAGATTCGTATTCTGGATCTCAAGAGCATTCTCACCGCAGGTTTCAACTGTGTGTTGCACGTCCACTCCGCTGTTGAAGAAGTCACCTTTGCCGCTCTTCTGCACAAGCTCGAGCCCGGTACTGGACGCAAGAGCAAGCGTCCTCCTCAGTTCGCCAATAAGGGCCAGACCATTATTGCCCGTCTCGAGGTTACCAGCACAGCCGGTGCCGTCTGTGTTGAGAAGTTCTCGGACTACGAGCAGCTCGGTCGCTTCACTTTGCGTGACCAGGTAAGTTTAATTCTCGATCTGTGCGATCTTATCGTCGTAATCCGAACTATCGCTAATCTGTTTTTTTTTTTCAGGGTCAAACCATTGCTATTGGTATGATTACCAAGCTCATCACCCCCGAAGGTGAGATTGCTTAAAGGGTTTCTTCTATTGAGGAGACCTATATGTCTATATTTCCAAAAGTGCAACAAGCAACCAAAGAGCAACGACAAAGTTGTGCTTGAGAAAAAAAAACTCTGGATAGGGAGATACGGGTGGGCAGAGGTTGCTTAATGATACCACAGACAGTCCACCTCAACTGACGATGATGAACTTTTACTTTCCATTGCTTTACATAGATTTTGCTTCCAACATGAATCTAAGCGGTTGAACCGCGTTTGATTTGGATTTGTATCTCTGATCATGTCAACATCTAGTCGTAGAAACCGCAGTCTTTCGTGTTCATCGTATGCAACATATCCATATATGAAAAAGAAACCGCAAAAAGAGCATCATATATCCCGGACTTTTTCTGTCGCCAAGCACAGTCACATACTAGGTACAGTCCCCGCATCTAGCGCTTTTTCCCAACAACCTTAGTGAACCCATCATCATCGATCTCGGGCTCCGCACGCTCACGCGGCGCACGAACCAAAGTCGGCGCATCCCCCATCTCCTCATCCTCCTCCTCATCAGTCTCCTGATCCTCATCCGCAGTCTCAACCCTCTGGAACTGTCCCTCCGCGGAGCGATTCTGGCTCTTCTTCTGGTATTTCTCCCACATTTCCTGGACGATGCCGAACTCGCCACGATCCGTCTGAGCCTTCAGCTCCATGATCATATCCGCCGCGTCGGCGGCACTCTCGTCGTCGACGGCAACATCGAATTCGTCATTCATGACCTGGATCAGAACTTCTTCCAGGTCCTCGGCATCGGTCTCGGGTCTTTCGCGAAGCATGTCGGAAATTGCACCGCAGAGCCAGTCCCGCTTGTCGCTGGAGGTCGGGCCGCCCCAGTGGGATTGCACGGCTAGTGAGAGGGCGGGCCAATTGTTCAGCGTGAGTGTGATGGCGAGGTCCAGGTAGGAGGCGGCATCGGTGGCCGGGGCTGATGTGGTTGCCATTATGGAGTGTGTTGTGTAGGTAATTATTTTGGTGGTTGCTGGTACCCCGCGGAAGGATGGAGGGACCCGGGTGGATATAGTGGTGACCCGGTGGGTTTTGACGCTCTTTTTTATTTCCGACTTGGTTTCGAGTCGAATGATCCGATCGACTTGACAGACTTGTTTTCCGTCAGGATTTCGTACAATTGGAATCACTGTGTTTCATCAGCGAGATTTTTTTTCTTTGATATGCGATTAGATATGATAAGGTCATGTGACAGGGCATCGAGGCCTGCCCAGGTGAGGATGAACACCAGGGCTGGGCAGCAATCGTGCCAAGTGGAGAGTTACAGTACAGAGGAATGACTTGAGGAAGCCAGTAATCATATGGCCATAAAAGTATGACCAGGCCCAACGCTTGGAATGTCACTATGTTGTAGGTTTGAGGTAAAGTCGGAGCGCAAAAATATGCTGAAAAGATGCAAAAAGAAACTCCGATAGGGGGAATCGAACCCCCGGCTGTCGTGTGAGAGACGACGATGTTAGCCACTACACCATATCGGATGTTGGATATTTTAATATCTCTTGTTTGCTTACTCCAGAGGTCCTTACTTGAGAAGTACATGATAATGAAAAGGATAGATGTCACTGTGACCGGATATAAATATGAAACTGTTGCCTCATAAAGCAACCTTGGAAAGCAGCACTTTGAAGTAAATCGGAACAGACACATGATAATGATGACCTCGGAAACTCATCAGCTTTTCACATGCCAGCCTTGAGACAGCGCAGTTTCTTGCAATGCCACCTAAATCAATATTGCAGAATGATCAAGCGAGGACATGTCTCTGGACTATATAGGCTCGCAACGAAACACCCAAGTCTCCTGCTAAAAAACACGATAAAAATCACAAAGATTGATAGCAAAAACAGAAACGATAAGAATTCCCTAATCCCGCCTGGTTCTTTGTATGAGATGTGCCAACAGAACTTCTCCTGTTCATGAGCAAAGGGTCTGCCATTTTTGTATCGATCGTCCCGAAGATAAGAGATGTTGCGAAGCCGTAATTCTTCGAGCGACAACGAGGCCATATTTTCAAAACATTCGCGAGGGTTTTGCATTCTTAGTGCAGATGGAAGCACCGTCCCATGGTTGCAATTGTAAATGTGGATGTTCCACAGAGGATCATCCCTGCGAACACCAGAGCCTAGATTGACCCATCTGGTCAGAACCAAGGCAGGTTTGCAACCCACTCGACGGAATTCGATTAGGGAGACTGTGTTGCACTTGGGACAGGTGTAGGAGCACGAGCCTTTCCCTCCATTGTACATAGAATCAATGTCAGAGGACTTGCTCTCAAGTGACTCATGCCGGCACAGCTCAAATAGGGACAGCGTTGCCGATTGCGAATTCTCTTGGATTTTGTAATGCTCCCATAACTCAAGAAGGATAATATCCTGCATTCTCACATGAACGCCAAGGGGCTCAGGACATATCTGAGCATCGATTGAGAAGAGCATTCGGGTACTCTCATAGCCCGATTTTTCTGATTCGGATGCCAAGGGATGCGCATATTGGCGAACTTGCGTATAAGCAAGAGAATCAGTGCTGATCCCAGAACAAGGGCCGTAGCAATAGCCTCGTATCGCTAGTTTTATCTGGAGGAAGGAAAGACGATTTCTTGAGTGGCTGAAACTATGATGGGTTCTCATGCTGACTGAAGAGCCTCCGATACTCTCTTGCCTCCAATCATATCCATTTCGAACACAGGGGAGTGGACAAGATCTGCAGTGGGCTAATCCACTTAGTCCAAAGCTTTTAGATCCGTCGTATCGATGAAGGATGTTGCAAATATCGCATGCGAAGTATTCGGGGAGATCTCTTTCCAATCGAAGGAAGATTGACAGCCTGTCATCTCTCCGAGTGGGAAGGTGATAATATGTGTTGAAGATGGTATGAAGTTGATGGTCGCAAAGGCACAAACAGACAAGATCGATGGGCGAGAGTAGATCACAGATCTGAATCACTAACTCCAAGGGCAGCCCGGTCAGTTTATCTGTGGTGCAAGACTGAGGGGTGATTGCCTGCTGCGGGAGGACGGCACGGAACTTGGCAAAGTATCTCAAAAGTTCCATGGCGAAGATCGCGGGGATAGATAGCTTGAGCCAGGAGGTAGGCAAAGAGGGAGGATTGTGATGTTCACGGCCCCGGGGGTGGTGGATTGATCCGGTCATATAGTCGGAAGCCTTTCCATGGAACCGCAGTCGTCTTGATTCCATGTTTTGACCCTAAGATTCTTTGATAATAAACTGAAGATTTGCTCGGAGTCACGAAAGTCAGTCAATGGTTATAAAAAGAGAGCGTTGGAGGGGATAGGGGAAAGGTGTAGAAAAGGCAGGTGCTTGTTGTCCGCTCCTTCCCTCTGCTCAGAAGCGAGGTCACCCACAAAGAGACTCTCCTCATCATTTCAGAAAAAAATCCATTCATCACCCTCTAACATATCGAGTCAATCTACCATGACTATGATGCGCCGTGGAAACCTCTCTGTGCTCTTCGCTTCTGCTGCGCTTATAGCGCTGGTCCTAGTAAGTGAACATCCTTCCGAGACCAGATCGATACATGTACACGGAGTTGAGATTGAACATCAACCTCGACTACAAAAACAGCCTGCCAGACGGCATGCAGTCTATTCCCTTTCGATGGGACAATGCGAGAGGACCTATGGCACTGTTTTCGAATACAATGAATTTCATTTCTGTGGGTCCGTGAGGCATGTTGCCTTCTAGATTCGCAAGATTGAACGCCATTTTATGCGGAAACAGTGTGCCATGGCTGCTCTCGCATTATCCGATGGAAAGGGTTTATTATCGTTGTCTTCTTCAGCAAACGCAACCATGAGCGCCTATATGACAGCATGCTTCAGATTGCACGATGGCTCCACTACGTGAAAGCTATCAGAATATACGACAATTCCCTGGAGTACAGCCTTCCCAATAGATTTCATGGATCTCAAAACAATCTGCAGCTCCGTGTACATATGCTGATCTATGGTCTATTCTTGCCCCCTTCAACGGTGAAGGAGGAAGATTAGGAGAACTACCACTAATACAATCACTTTATAGTCTACAGTTGTACTAGTAGCTGCCACAACCAACAAGAGCAGTGCCGCTCCCACCACCCTGGCTGGAGTCACCCTGCCTCTGCCTGATAGTGAGGGCATGATCAGACTGCCAATAAACGATATTATCAAGCTATACGCGCACTGTCCAGCCCCGAGTATATATATACCTTAATTAGCAAATCCCTGTATCATGCCGTTGCTGATGTTTTCGTTCCCGATAGAAGGGCGCAGTGGTCTTGAAATAGCTGCCGACTGGGCAAAAGCTCTCGGTCTTGTTTCTCTGGTCGGGGGGCCGCTAGTCTGGCTGCAGTCGCGCGCCTGGTTCCCCCGGTATCGATGGTTAGACGCCTTCGTTGAGGCACGTCCTGCCTCTCCTTCTGCCTCTCATTTCCGTGCCCCCTCTCTTTCCCGTTCTGCCTCCCCTGCCTCTCCTACCCCTCCTGCCCCTCATTCCATTACTGCCCTTACTGCCCCTGAGGTAACAAGCCCTCTCGAGCTCTCCTCAGTCCTCTATACGCCCCGGCGGGGGCCCACTCTGAATGATTTACGGTCATTTCAACACCGAGGTGAACCCCACCAAGGTAGCATAGTTAGTGCTGGGGAAGAATATGCAGAGGATTTGGAACTCGGTCTCCGGCGTCGCTATTGAGAGCTATTACCATGTTTCTCCCTATTTTATTTTTCATACATTGCTAGAGGATATCCCATAAAAGATGTTAATGATTACAGGCGGACCTTGGTCTGCTGATATATTATCCATCCTACTTCCACAAGCGATTGTAAAACTTCGCATGAATACAACTTGGTCCGCCGGAAACCTTGGAATCATGTCCGGGTTCGCAACCCACGACCGGAGATACCAAATGAGCATGCCAACTCGACTCAGGTTTTCCTGAATAACGTCTTACCGGGTTCCAACACGATAGACACCTGGGCATAACGTATTTCCTTGATGGCTTGGTATATTTGGGCGGATGGGGCGCAATCCTAGAGCTCTTGCCAGAATGTGCGGACGATGTCAAGCTACAGCAAGCAGATATTGATTCTCTTTTCAATTTGGCCCGCCAGTATCTGTCGCTCAATTCGGACGAGATGTTGGAGGTTTTCGATATCGGTCGTTGCTATCGTCCACTCGCTGTTCCCAACAGACCAATTATAACGAGAGTTGAATGGTCACTGTTGGGATGTCTGAATGATCCGCTAAACACGGCCCCATCCTGTTCCATGGACCGGAAAGGACGCAAATCATCTGTGGTAGGAGGGGTTTATATCAATACTGGTCATAATAGTGATGGAGTGACTCTTGGTCCGGGAAGTGGAAAGGTGATGAGTGAGTTGCTTTTGGGGAAAAAGCCTTCTGTGTCGGTCTCAGCATTTGATATCGAGTCTTAGTTCTGCCCAGTGGGAACCCCGGGCTTACTGCTTGAGTTTCTTGAGGGAAGATATATTGGTGCAATCTGTACTGTATCAAATGCATGGTGGATTCCAATGTTTTTCAGGGCCTTGTGCTTGCACTTACATTCTTGGGATATTTTCACTGCCATTAACTCTTTATCGAAACCATGTCCAATGCAATAAAAAATGGCGATCCAGGTAAATGTTGCAATGAGAGAGAGAGAGCGAATGGGGGAAAGGTGTGGGAAAGGCAGGTGCTCGTCCGCTCCCTCCCTCTTCTCAGAAAACATTAATTTCTCACTCAGCGCATCGAACAAAGCTACCATCTCCAGGGCTGTTCCAAGGTGAACACCTGGTCAGGTGACCATGGCTCCCCATCCATGGATAGCTCGCTCTCTTCCTCTCTTCGCTTTTCCCTTTCTTTCTTTCTCTCTCTCTCCTAGAGAATTAATCTCTTTCTTCTGTCTCTCTCTCTCTCTCTCTCTGGCTCTTGAGTAGTCAGATCACCATCACCATGGTGCGCCGCGAAATCCCCCCTCTTCGTTTCCACTGCGCTTATAGCGCTGGTTCTGGTCAGTGAACATCCCTCCGAGAACAGATCGACACATATATATGTGCTGATCTACGGCCCATTCTTGCTCCCTTTAACGGTGTAAGAGGAAGATTAGAAGAGCTATTACTAATGCAATCGCTTTACAGTTCATCTTTGTACCAGTAGCTGCCGCAACCAACAAGAGCAGTGCCGCTCTCACCACCCTGGCTGGAATTAACCTGCCTCTCCCTGATAGTGAGGGCATGATAAGACTGTCTATGAACGACATTATAGAGCTATACGCGCACTGCCTAGCCCCGAGTACCTAGGTATGTATATGCCTTGTATCAAAAGCCCCTGTATCATGCCGTTGCTGATGTTTTGTTCCCGACAGAAGGGCGCAGTGGTCTCAAAATAGCTGCCGACTGGGCGAAAGCTCTCGGTCTTATTTCCCTGGTCGGGGGGCCGATAGTTTGGCTACAGTCGCGCCTGGCTTCCACGGTATCGCTGGTTGGACGCCTTCGCTAAGGAACGTCCTGCCCCTCGTTCCCGTTCTGTCTCTCCTGCCTCTTCTGACTATGCTACCCCTCCTGCCCCTGAGCCAACAAGCCCTCTCGAGCCCCTCTTAATCCCCTATGGTTGGGATAGACTACTATCCCAGGAAAAGAGCGAGAGAAGACTGACTTGATTGAACTACTCTGGGGAGAGAGAGAAAGAAGGAAGGGAAATAGCTGAGGGAGAACTGAGAGCTACCTATTGAGCGTGCGATGATCCAAGATGCCATGCCAATGGACTCTCTGCCGGATACAGACAAGCTTCACGATCTACCCATCACCTTCACTGCTCCGGATGAACCCCCCCAACTAGCTGTTTCTCCAGTCCCACTACAACCAACGGAGTCGGACACAGAAGACCTTCAACCTACCGTCCAACCAGGCCACCAAACTACTTCTACCTCGTCCATGTTCGGCGACGACGTCAGGCCTCCCACTCCAGGCCCACTGTGCCCAACGGAGGACGCGGACCGATAGATGACAGCTGGCTGCCACTCGAGAATCTTCAGGGTTGTCAGGAACTCGTACAAGATTTCGACGAACGTCGTGCTGAAGATAGGTACACACACCGGGGGTCATGTGCCCTAGGGCATGACTCACGACACCTATACGCCCCGGCCCACTCTGAATGCCTTACGGTTATTTCAACACCGAGGCGAACCCCACCAAGGCAGCACAGAAAATCCTCTGCCTCGGGTGTGAGTAGAGAGGATTTGGAATCCGGTCTCCGGCGTCGCTATTAAGAGCTCTTACCAGGTTCCTCCCTGTTTTATTTTTCATATATTTCTAGAGCATATCCCATAAAAGATTTTAATGATTGCAGATGGACCTTGGTCTGCTGATATATTCTCCATCCTATTTCCACAAGCGATCGTAATAGTGATGGAGTGACTATCGGCCCGGGAAGTGGAAAGGTGATGAGTGAATTGCCTTCTGTGTCGGTCTCAGCATTTGATATCGAGTCTTAGTCAGCTCCAGGGCTCCCTCTGGGCTTGATGATTGATTTGATTTAGGGAAAATAGATTGGTGAAATCTGTATTGTATTCCTCAAATGCATGGTGTATTTTTCTGGGCCTCGTGTTTCCACTTACATTTTCGGGGTATTTTCACAGGTGCCATTAACACTTTATTGAAATTACCTCCAACGTATCGAACAGAACTACCATCACCATGGTGCGCCGCGAAAGCCCCCCTGTGATCTTTGCTTCCACAGCGCTGGTAGCGCTGATCTTGGTAAGTGAACATTCCTTCGAGAACAGGTTGATACATGAATATGTGATGATCTATAGTCTATTATTGCTCCCTTCAACGATGCAAGAGGAATATTGGTAGAACTACCACTAACGAAATCGCTTTATTGGAATTCCCTACCTAGGTAGGCAACAAGTGTAATGGATCCAAGAATATCTGCGAGGGCCCATCGACAAGGAGCATTGGGTACACGGCCATTTTCCCCGGCTGAGTGGAAACCTTGAACCACTGCATACTTAAGACTACATGAAATCCATGGATCCCGTAGGATAGTTCACCTGTGGATTTCTCTGGGTAGCTCCCGAGGTCCCTTTGAGTATCGGCGCCGGGCAGTCCACGGGTTGCACCCGCCGCTCTTTCGGAAGCACGACCTTTCTCTCCGTCAAATCATCATCATCACATTCTCAGCTACCTTCCTATACCTGGAAAAATCATTCAATGAGCATTTCGTCCCAAGCGCTAAACATGGATATAGGCCATCTATCTCCCAGGGCCTCATCATCTCTCTTTCGTGTTTATCGCAGACATCCGGATGCGAAGTTTTTTATATTTGGCGGGTTTATCTACAAATTCAGAGGGATTGAATACAAATGTCCCGCCAGCATTTTAGCCGATCTCTTGTTTGCTGAGCATCTATCACGATACCAATCTCAGCTGATGGACGTTTGGTCAGCCCGAATGACCGAAACATCACCCGAAGGCACAAGTGAAAATCACCCAGATAACGAAAGCCAGCTGGAAGAAGAACTTCAAGAACTAAAACAGACCTTGACTGAGCGCCGAAGAAACTTATATCTCGCAGAACGCGCGTTGCCAGATTCAGCTCTTGCAGAGGTCTACAGTTCGGCCCGGAAGGATAACCCTGGATGGTATCTTGGAACATACCCAGTTGCAGAGTGTAAGATGATGGATGGCTGCTGCGCACGAAGTTGTGGTTGCTGCGCAAAGAGACTTCCTGGTTTACTCAGAGGTATAAGCGGACACTGTTCTTTGGCCTGTGCATGTTGTGCTAGAACCGGAGGATATACTAAGATTGGCAGCGACCGGGTGACTAGAATGGATGAGCAGTATAAAAACGCACTCCAGAGTGACGACCCGTCCTTTCTCGCACACATGACCAATGTCTTCTTCCATCCGACCAACGAAGACCAGCGAGGTTGTTTCGCGGGAACCGGCTTGGTCAACGGTTCTTATCGGGATATGGCTGCATCCCCGCCGCCGTACAAGAGACACGACGATTAGACCACAAGACGTGACATGCCATGAAGACTCTTGCTCTTTATCATCTCTGGTGATGTGCCATTGAAATGATTGGAATTCTGGAATGGTATTTGTGTTATCTGCTGCTCACCTTTATGGCTCCGTAGCTTTTTTTTTTTTTTTTTTTTTTCTCATCTGCTCCTCGAAGGTTGCTCCAACCTCGAGACGTCCGCAGTCCATGTCGCTTAATTTTATTCACCCTGGCACTTGCCTCAATCAGAACTTGTACCACCCACCTTCGAGTATGATATGCAAGCCAGACCGGGCATAGTATATCACCTGGCTTGTATGCAAATACCATACCTGAACCAGGCTGCTACTAGATAGACCAGAGGATCGGTCTTAGCACATGCTCTGGGAGCACGAAGTCCGCCAAGCAGTGTTTCCCCCGGGGTCAGCTCAATCCAAATCGCCGGAACAAGCTGATACTTTCACTGGGTTTCAATTTTCTTTTCTCGGGATCAGACACTCTGATTCCCCCCTCTCCTACCCTCCTCACGGTGGGTTTCCTGATGAATGCTTCCTCCATTAAGGATGGCATTGTTAATTCTAAGCTGAAAATATGCCTCGGGTCGTCGTGCGGCTCGGTCAAACCCGCTGCCATCGCGTTCAAGCTCTGGGCTGCGCCTTGTGCTTCGATTGTTTGGCTTCAGCTTGCGGTCCAATCGATAGGATCTTCCTCTCGATCTATCAGACTTTGGTCCCCGAGATCTTTTCCACTCTCTGGTAGACAGGGTGACCTCCAAGGTTGGGCCCTGTCTCCCACTCATTTGTGATCGGTTCACGATTTCGCAGGTGGTTTGTTTGTGTGAGCTTCGTGATCTGAATATGGGCCTCCAGGGGCCGCGGAGACTAAATATCAGACCCACGCTTTGTGGAAATAAATCGATTGGAGAGAGAAAGAGAGAGAGAGAGAGAGAGAGCGAGAGAGAGCGAGAGAAGAGGGAGGGAGAGAGGAGGGAGGGAGAGAAGAGAAGGGAGAAGGGAGAACATTGGCGGTTCGTTTGAAGTGGGTCTTGTTCAAGCCTGGCTCGGAACGGCACGACCCATGCCGGTCTACTCTATAGAACTACCTTGCACAGACTTGATTATTGAGACAAGAACTAGAACGATCATTCTGACTTCCAGGCAGTGGGAGGTGATGCAGGTGCATTCCAGGGACTGGTGAGTGGAGCCTAGGTGGGCGAAGCCCGCCAATAGCATCATCTTGCATCAGTTTGCTCCGCTACGTGTCCACCACGCGGCTGCCCAGGTGAGCCTTGGGGCCGAGCGTCGAGGCTGAGATGAACCCATTTTCTACACCTTATCCTCCGTGCCCCCATCTCCCAGAACTTCAATTTCATCGATTCTCTCTACTGTCCAATGGTAACTCTTGAGACTACCAGCCGTTAGACATGGCCTGTCCTCCGCGAGAGACATTCCAAATTGGTTGGATATGTGCCCTACCGATCGAAGCTGCTGCTGCCAAAGAAATGCTGGATGAAAGCTTTGGCACTCTCGACGTGCAAGACCCCACCGACTCCAATGCCTGTACACTAGGTCGAATCGGCAAACACCATGTCGTGATCGCTTGCCTCCCTGGAGGGCAATACGGAACCACATCAGCCACAACGGTCGCCAACCATATGATCCGCACCTTTTCAAAATCTCTTCGAATCGGGTTGATGGTCGGTGTCGGGGGTGGAATACCATCGGTTGCGCATGATATCCGACTTGGCGACGTCGTAATCAGCTGCCCCCAAGGTACAACAAGCGGAGTGCTCCAGTACGATATGGGTAAGGTCGGTCCAGGCGGGAGTTTTGATCGGACTGGCTCCTTGAACAGCCCTCCCCGGCCGCTTTTGACGGCACTTAATTCAATGCGGGCTGCGGAGTTGACGGATGATCCTCTCTTTCCCGGTTATATTGCCAAATCTACTGAGCGAAATGCACGAACTCGCAGAACCTTTTTTCGACCGGGAGCACATCAAGATCGACTCTTCAAGCAAGAGTTTGATCATCCACAGGGCGCGACCGAGTGTGACAGTTGTCAGCAAGACTGGGAAGAGATGAGGACTGAGCGTGAGGATACTGATCCACGGCCACATTACGGTATCATTGCATCAGGCAATGCTCTGATCAAAGATGCAAGGACAAGAGAGCAGCTGAGGCTGAAGACCGGAGCATTGTGCTTTGAAATGGAAGCGGCTGGCCTGATGATGGACTTCCCGTGTATTGTCATTCGTGGTATCTGTGACTATGCCGACACGCACAAGAACGAGCAGTGGCAAGGATTTGCAGCTTTAGCAGCAGCATCTTATGCCAAGGAGCTACTAGGCTACGTACCTGTGGGTCATATTCTACAGGAGAACTTGGTGATCGATGTGTGTAGTAAGTATGGCGCATTCTAGCTGGTTAGCTTCTTCGTTTAAGGATCTTACGCTAACGTTGTCTAATAAATAAGGGATAGGAGAGGGATTCGAAATGATTGAAGATCGCCTAGTCCGACTACATGGACAGATAGCACGACAGCACGACGAGCACCAAGCAAGAGTGTCCACAAACCTGCATCAGAAGTGTCACCAGACCTTCAAGATAGGTAAATATACTGAGCAAAAAGACATCAACCCAAAAAAGACAGACGGAACATGTCAATGGGTACTTCAGAGCTCTGAGTATGTCCGTTGGAGCGAAAGCAACCATAATGACTTCCTGTTGATTTCGGCTGATCCTGGCTGTGGGAAGTCAGTACTAGCCAAAACCATCATTGACGGCTATCTGGACGATCCCAGTCCAGCGGCGACAATATGTTACTTCTTCTTCAAGGAAAATGAGGAACAGAACAATCTTGCAGCTGCGATGTGCTCCATACTACACCAGCTTTTCAGTCAACGGCCTCATTTATTGGACCATGCTATATCATCCTGGAAGATCAATGGCAAGGCCCTTCAGAATGAGCTCGATGAGCTATGGGATATCTTTATAAAGGCAACATCATCTGACCCGTCATCTAAGATCGTATGCGTCTTGGATGCCCTTGATGAGTGTCGTGAGGTTGATCGGGATAAATTGATCCAGAACATCAGATCTCTCCCTCAACAGACTAGCCACTCACAAAGGGATTGCCAGCCAACGGAAGTTTTTCATCAAACACCGGACGATTCCCAGCCACCACCAGGTAACTACTTGAAATTCCTGGTTACTAGTCGTCCTTATCATCAAATCCAAAATCGCTTTCAGAACATGGATGGTTTCCTCTATCTTCACTTGAAGGGGGAAGATGAAAACGATCAAATCCGCCAGGAGATTGATTCAGTGGTTAGAATGCGAGTCAAGGAATTGGCCCAAACAGCGAAACTGGAATTGAAAGTACAGCAGAAACTTGAGAAACAGCTTCTAAAAATGGAGAATCGAACCTATCTTTGGCTACATTTGGCAATTGACGACCTTCGTGCCACTTTTGAGCTTAGCTTTTCGCCGGACGAGGAGCTGGTCCAAATGACTCCCCCATCAGTTGAAAAGGCCTACGAAAAGATTCTCTCTCGAGTTCCATCCGGACAAACAAATACAGTAAGCAGAATCTTTCAAATCATTATGGCAGCACGACGCCCTTTGACAACCAGAGAAATGGCTATGGCTCTAGGTATATCTCATAAAGGCTAAGAGAGAGAAGAAAGGGCGAAAACACACTTCGTTGGTTGCGCAAGAGAGGAAGGAAGGGAAAAGAAAGCAAGATCAGAACTATATACAGAAGGGAAGTCATATAACTTCTAACACCCCCTATGCATAGATCTAACGATCTTACTAGCAAAAAACCTTCTCCCATCTTTCAAATAATCGAATTAGTAGAGTCTTTATCAAATAAGCCCAATTTCCTATTTAGTAAACCCCAACTGAGATATCCAATCTGTAAACTTCGTCTTTGCCAGTAGCTTTATTATACCATCTACCAATATATTAACTATCGGGGTCTACCGAAGTAGAATATCTCTATTCTTAATCAGATCTCTAATGCTGTGATATCGTATTACTATATATTTGATTTGTAAATAAAACGCTGGGTTATTCGCCAGAGTGAATATTCCTGTATTATCAATATTTAATAATATAGACTAAAGTATAGCTTAGTTTAATTCTTATAATAGCTTTAGAAACTATACTACTTTCTGAGCGGTTAATAATATTATAATATATTTAGACGATAAGTAGGTTGGTCGGGTCGTCGGGTCAATGGGCTCGTCGGGTCGATCTTACTAGTAATTACTAGTAATAACTGGTAGCAAATAAGGTTTTGAATTAGGGTAAGGTACTTTCGCTTAATCTGGTCGGGTCGTCGGGTCAACGTACTGGTAAATGCTGGTAAGAAAAAATTAATTCACCATTTTTTTACTACCAATTACCACTAAGACCTATTGTACCCAACCTGACGACCGATTTTCACTCAAATTGCTATGTATCTTTTCTGAAAAGGGATAGGGCTTAGGACTATATATTAGGGCTTAGGGCTATATTTATTAGGGCTATTTATTTTTTACTACTATTTACTAGTATTTACTACTAAAATTAGGTAGTAAAAAGTAGTAAATTTCAGTAGTAAATTATGGTAAATAGTGGTAAATGGTAGTAATTTTTTTTTTATATAAAAGTACTTCTGGGATAAAAATTAAGTTTTAGTAATAGATTTAAAGGATTTATATAATGATCTAGTTTATTAGTAATTACTAATAAGAAAGTTATCGATTTTAGTTAGATTATATCTTAAGAAAGATCTATAAAAAGTATAGACTTAGGTAATATTTCTCTGATTAATTAAGCTTATTAGTAATTACTAGTAAAAAAGTTATCGATTTTGGTTAAGTTAAATCTAAAGAAAGATCTATGAAAGATATAGATTTAGGTAATATTTCTCTAACTAATCGAGCTTATTAGTAATTATTAGTAAGAAAGTTATCGATTTTGGTTAAGTTAGATCTAAAGAAAGATCTATAAAAGATATAGACTTAGATAATATTTTTTTAACTAATCGAGTTTATTAGTAATTACTAGTAAGAAAGTTATCGATTTTAGTTAAGTTAGATCTAAAGAAAGATCTATGAAAGATATAGATTTAGATAATATTTCTCTAACTAATTGAGTTTACTAATAATTATTAATAAGAAAGTTATCGATTTTAGTTAAGTTAGATCTAAAGAAAGATCTATGAAAGATATAGATTTAAGTAATATTTCTTTAACTAATCGAGTTTACTAATAATTACTAGTAAGAAAGTTATTGATTTTGGTTAGATTAGATCTGAAGAAAGATCTATAAAAAGTATAATCTTAGGTAATATTTCTTTAACTAATTGAAATTATTAATAGCTATTAGTTATTAGTAATTATTAGTATAAAGTAATTTTTCAAAACGTATTTTTAAATAATAGATTTAGTGAAATTTTAATCTTTCTAATTATTTTAATTTATTATTAGTAATAACTATTTATTAATAGCTATTAATAATAGATTTATAAAAGTTTTTATTCTTTTAAAAGATTTTTTAATTTTCCCTAAGTTAATCTACTCTAAACTATCCTTTTTTTTAAATATTTTCCTTTTTTCTTAATATTACTAATTCTTTATTTTGGGATTCTTCTAGTAATTATTAATAATCAGTGATTATTTAAAAATTAATCAAAAAAATAAATTAGAAATTATATATACTATTAATTTAGTTATAAATATAATATAAGGATAGGTTTAGTAGAGTACTATTTTCGAAATTAGTTATAAGTATTAGTAATAATTAGTAACTAGTTATAATAACTTTTAGTTTAGAAAGATAGATACTTATAGGCACCGTCTAAGTTTAAAAGAAAATTAATATTTGTTGATATTTGGATCTTTCTTAATATATATAGAATAAAGGTTATTAATAGTTAGTAGTAATTTATAGTAAGAAGTTATAATATACTTACTTTATTAGTAGTTTACTCTTTTTATTCTTCTTTCTATAGATTATAATCTATACTTTTAATAACTTAATTTTAGTTGTATTATTTTCGAAATCATTTAGATTAGAGGAAGGATCTAAGAGCTCTCTATTGCTTTTATTAGTTATTACTAGTAGCTTTTGGTTATTTAGAGTAGGTTCTTTAATTACATCTTTTTCAATTATGTTTTCTTCGATTATATCTTCTTTGATTGTGTTTTCTTCGATTATATCTTTAATCTTTATAGGGATTTACTTTTAAGGATTCTTTGTGGGGATTTTTCTTATAGTTTATAAGTAAGATTTACTAGTAGCTATTAGTAGTTATTAGTTATTACCTAGAGAAGATTACTTCGAAGATCCCAGATTTTCTGTATTTAAAGTCTACTTTCTTTTAGTAATCCTATAGGTAGACTTATTATTAGGTTTAGGTAATAGTATATTATCTTTAGTTAAACTATCAATAGATTAACTGGATATAACTATATTTTATTAGTTATTACTAATAGGCCTTTTAATAAATTTAGCTTTTTTACTAGGTTTAACGGATTTAGTCTTTATACTAGGTTTAGTAGATTTAGTTTTTTTATTAGGTTTAATAGCTTACTATTTGTTGAACGGCGAGTCACGTGACCATATATCACGTGAGGTCACATGTCATGTCACGTGAGTGGTATGTCACATGGGGTATGTCACCTGACATATCACCTGACTTGTCATGTGATCCATGCTCGACCTTTTCTTCGCCTTGCCTTCACTCTCTTTCTTTCCTTTCTCCAAGACGCCAGAATACAGCTTTGCCAGTTGATATCCATCTCACCTTAGCTGCCTTCTATCACTATTAGTTATTATTAGTAGTATTATCTATAGCTTTGTTATTATTAGAATTAGAATCTTCGAATTTATATAGATTGCTAATAAAGATTTATTAGTAGTAATTAATAGTAAATATTAGTAGTATTTACAGAATATTTTTGTCTTTAATTATTTAATTATTAATAACTTAAAGATTATAAAAGTCTTTCTTTTTCTAGTAATTATTAGTAAAAGTTAATAATATCTATAAGATAGTAACTTTACTATGTGTAATGATATGATATACTTTTTAAGAATCTTTCTATAAGCTTTTATTAATTATTCTTTATCTTTTTATTTACCTTTAGTAATAACTATTAATTTTTAGTAATTATTAATAATAGATATTTAAATACTTATAGAGTATAAGAATAATAAAAATAATAACTAATGTAATAAGGAATAGTTTATTAAATATAATTAGTAATTATTAGTAATAAATAATAATCAAAAAAATAACTTACTATTATTCCTGTATTATAGAACTATTTATATCAGAGATCGTTTTTATATTCTTTATAATTATAAATTAGTTTAATCTTATATTATATTAGTAATTATTAATAATTATTAGTAAAAAGTATTTATATATAGTTTTTACTTATTAGTTTATTCAAGATTTCCTTAAACTACTCTAATGTAGCTATATTAGTTAGTATTAATATTTTAAATTTTTTGTATTATTTTAAAAAGTACTTCTTTTGGTTTTTTTTACTAAGAGTTATTATAGATAAATAGTTATTAGTAGAAGTTAGTAAGTATTAGTAGGAATTAGTAGTCGTTAGTAGAAGGTTTAGTAAACTAAATTTAAAAAAAAAGGTAGTTAATTAATTAATATCTTAAGAAAAATAATCTAGAAAATGGAAATAGTTTAATTAAATAAATATTAGTATTTATTTATAGTTTAGATTAAAAGCAAATAAAGAAGTCTATTTTATTATTTCTAAGAAGTAAATACTAGTAGTTATTTATAGTTTAGATCTAGAGTAAATAAAGAAGTTTACTTTATTATCTCTAAAAAGTAAATACTAGTAGTTACTTATAGTTTAGATTTAGAGTAAATAAAAAAGTTTACTCTATTATTTTTAAGAAATAAATATTAGTAGTTATTTATAGTTTAGATTTAGAGTAAATAAAGAAGTCTATTTAGATACTCTATCATCTTTAAAAAGTAAATACTAATAGTTATTAGTTAATATAGTTAAAAATTAGGAAAGTTTATATACTAGAGATTTATTAAGAGTCTTGGAGAGAGAGAGAGAGAAAAAGAAGAGAAAGAAGAAAGAAGAGGAAAGAAATAATATCTATAGGAAGAAAGTAATTTATAAAAAGAATTTATAAAAGATTCGTAAAAAGAATTTATAAAAAGGATTTACAGAAAGAATTTATTAATAATTCTTTTAATCTTTTATCTTCTACTTTCTATCTTTTACTTTTTATATTTTATAACTATTTTTTATTATATATCTATCTTTTTTTTATTACTTTTATTCCAAAATCTTTACTAAATAGATATTAATAATAGCTCTCTATTACTGGGAGTTATTAGATTAAAATAAATATCTCTAATTCTCTAGAAGCAAAATCTATTTTTTACTTAAGATAATCAATTAGATTTAATATCTAAGTAAAATCTTAACTTATCTAGATCTTCTAGTTTATCTTTTAAAGAATCTTTACTAATTATTATCGATAAATTTGACTAGCTTTCAGTTATTACTTATTATCCCTTCTCTAGATAAAAACTCTTTTTCTGCTACTGTAATTTTATCGTTAATAATAAAAAATATAATATATTATATATTATTTATTAATAAACTTCTTAAGTATTTTATAATAGA